CGCCCTGTCGAAGCCAGACGGTTCGCCAGCTACGGAAGCGGAGGTGGACGAATTAGATAAGAAAACGGATGAGTACTTCCAGAAAGACTCACTCGTCAAGCAGCAGATGTTCAGTACGATCACTGATCGACTGTTACTGCGCGTGCAGAAGCTCGAGGGCTCTGCGAGAATCTGGAAGGAGATACGCGATATCCACGAAGGCAAAACTGAGCTGGTTCAGATTGACCTTCGTAGACGCCTACAAGAGGTCAGATGCGACGAGAACGGAGACGTTAAAGCTCACTTTAGCGAGCTACTCCGTCTACGAGAGTCCCTAGCGGGCATGGGGGCCGATATAGAAGACCGCGACTTCTACGCGATCACGCTCGGCTCGCTCCCAGAATCGTATCGACCCTTGCTATCCTCCATAAACGCTGCCGCGAAGATTGCGCAGAAGCCGTTATCGCCCTACGAATTAATGAATGTCGTTAGCGAAGAGTATGAGCATAGGCTCCTCACCGAAAGACGCCCCGCGAAGAAGGGCACTAACTCTGCCCTATCCGCCAATACCACCCAGAACAGAGGCCGCACTACCACTTCATCCAACCCTGACGCCACGTGCTATAATTGTGAGCGAAAGGGGCATTACAAGAGTGAGTGTTGGAGGCCTGGGGGTGGTAAAGAGGGACAGCGCCCCCCTCACCAAAGAAGGAGGGGAGGACGGCCACAGAAGCAAGGCGCTAATGCGGCAACGGACAAGCCACCAGCTGATAACTATGCCTTCGCGGCAACATCAGACTTAGCTGGAATAGCGGAAGGACTGAACATACCTCCAGATCGTCGTGGTGCGATAATGGACTCGGGAGCGACGTCGCACTTCTGCCCCGATCGGGCGAAGTTTACGAACTACGTCCCCATCCCGCCCCAAGACGTTCACACTGCAGACGGCTCCAAAATCAGTGCAGTGGGAAGGGGAGACGTCACGATCGACTTACCGCTGGGAGACAAGCGCAGTACCGTGACCTTGAAGAACGCTCTGCACGCCCCACGTATGGCGTTCACGCTGATCGCCACGAATCGCATAACTGCGGCAGGGTTAGCAGTGCACTTCGAAGGGAAGTTTTGCAAAATATACTCACCTGCCCCCAACTCCACCCTCATCGCCCAAATCCCACAAGTCGAAGGTCTATACGTGGTGGATGCGAAGCGTCAGCAGCAATACACCAACGTGGCAAGGACCAAACTCACCGTCCATGCGCTACATAAAGTCCTTGGGCACATAGCCCAGCCCGCCGTTAAGCACGCCATTGCAAGCGGACTTGTCACCGGCCTAGAGCTTGACCCGTCCTCGAAGGACGAATTCTGCGATGCCTGTGTGAAAGCAAAGTCAGCACATCACCCTTTCCCAAAGGAGGCAACGAGGAGGGCGAGTACTTACGGTGAGGTCGTGCACAGCGACCTTTGGGGTCCAGCACAGACCACGAGCATTGGAGGGTCCTCCTACTACGTCTCGTTCACGGACGACTTCTCCCGCGAAACACAAGTGACGTTCCTAAAGCACAAAAGCGAGGCGTTAGAAGCGTACAAGGCATACGAAGCACGACTTACCAACAAGCACGGTCGCAGCGTCAAGACCCTTCGATCTGATTGAGGGGGAGAGTACCTCTCCGCAGAGTTCGAGGCCCACCTGAAAGGCCGTGGGACTAGTCGTGAGCTGACAGTCCATGACTCCCCACAGCAGAATGGGGTTGCAGAGAGGCTAAACCGGACGTTAGTAGAGCACGCTCGTGCTATGCTTATCGCGAAGGACTTACCAAAGTTCCTCTGGGCGGAGGCCATCAGTTATGCCGTGTGGTTGAAGAACCGTCTCCCATCCAGGTCAATACCAGGCCAGACGCCCTATGCTTTGGTCCATGGGACGCCCCCAGATCTTTCGAGGGCACGGGAATTCGGGTGCCCAGTGCTTGTGCATGTTGAGCATGCTGGTAAGCTTGAAGCGCGTGCTGAGGAGGCAGTGTTCGTGGGGATAGACGCTGAAAGTAAAGGGTACAGGGTGTTTTGGTCAGCGAAAGAGGCGTGTGTCAGTGGAAAGAAACCTCACCTTCGTCCCTACGCCAGCCGTTGTTGATGTAACGCTGGGCGAGGGGGAGTCCACTACTAATAACGCCCAGCCGTCGCCAATGCCAACACCACATGCCCAACCCCCTCCGTCGCCAATGCCAACACCACTTACCAAACCGTCTCCGTCGCCAATGCCAACACCACTCGTCCCAACTCCAGAACCACCAGCACCTCGCGAGACACGTGCAAGACCTCCTCCTGGATACTATGCGTCTTTGCAGCAGGGGGAGCGAGCCACGCTTGCAGCAGAGCAGGTATTTGAACCTGCAGAGTCAGATTTCATCGACGAAGAAGTACTCACCCAGCAATATGCCTTCGCTGCAGTAGAGCCAGAGGTCACCTACCAGCAGGCCTTGAACGGGCCTGATGCCATTGAGTGGCAAGAGGCGATCGAATTATGAAATCAGCCAACTCGAGAAGTTAGGCACGTGGGAGATCGTTGACTTACCGGCACGCGCGAACCTCATACCGTGTCATTACGTCTTGGCGACAAAACGAGGACCAAACGGTGAGAAGCTGAAACTCCGAGCTCGATTAGTCGCAAACGGTCAACGCCAGAAGTTCAGGATCGACTACTTCGATACGTTCGCTCCTACCTCGAATATGTCCACCATACGGACCGTCCTCACGATGGCTGCACAAGAAGATTGGGAAATACATCAAGTGGATATAAAGAGCGCTTACCTCTACGCGGAGTTGAAGGAAGACATCTATATGCGGGCCCCACCGGGTTACTTGAGGGAAGGAGACGAGAAGAAGGTCTTGAAGTTGTTGAGGAGTTTACCAGGGTTGAAGCAGGCAGGATTTGAGTGGTCTGAGGAATTAGCAGGAGTATTCGCGAAGATGGACTTCAAGCGCTCACAGGTCGATCAGGCGGTGTACTACAGACGCGTGGACGACGAACACACGGTCGTCACTGTATCCGTCGACGATATGGCAGTTACCTCAAAGCACCTACGCCACATCGTGAAGTTCAAGAGCGAGCTCACTAACTACTTCGAAATCTTGGACTTAGGAGAACTCAATTGGTTGCTGGGCCTTAAGGTCGAGCGTAACCGTCTCGAACGCACCATCACTCTGTCGCAGCACGCTTACATTGACACCATCTTACAGCGATTCTACCTAACAGACGCCAAGAGCAGCCAGACGCCAATGGAGCCTGGAGCTGACTTGTCGGATGCACAGTGCCCTGCCACTCACGCCCAGCTGGAAGCCATGCGCGACGTTCCCTACCAGCGTGCCATCGGGTCGCTGATGTACGCAGCTACCAGCACACGCCCCGACATCGCCTTCTCCGTAGCGACACTCTCTCAATTCATGAGAAATCCGGGAACTGCTCATTGGGAGGCCACGAAACGGGTACTACGCTACCTGAAGGGTACTTCTGAGTACGGTATCACCCTTGGAGGGACAGACAGTGGTCTGGAAGCGTACGTAGACGCTGATTGGGCTTCGCAGACGCATCGCCACTCCACCTCAGGATACGTTGTCCTACTCAACGGTGGGCCAGTCGCATGGAGCGCACGCAAACAGCCTATCATTGCGTTATCCACGGCTGAGGCCGAATTTATTGCGCTAACGACTGTCGGGAGAGAGATCCTATACCTACAGATTCTGCTAGACGAGCTATACGATCCCCCTGCTCTCCCAACGCCCATCCATTGCGACAATCAGGCCGCTATAGCCCTCGCCTCCAACAACAAGTTCCATTCCCGCACCAAGCACATTGACCTGCGCTATCACTTCGTCAGAACTCACATCAAGAACGGCACGTTCAGCCTCACCTATTGTCCCACAGACGACAATATCGCGGACGCGTTCACCAAGGCCCTCCCTCGTCCTAGGCTCCAGAAGCTACGCCATCTCATGCACCTCGACAGCGCTCGAGGGGGAGTATTGGACTCCGGATCGAATACCGGACAGGTGACGTCGTAGACGTCACGCTGAGACATTGCGAGCGCAGTTGGATGACGACGTTTGACGTCGGGCATCGCGCCGACGATGCAAAGTGTCAAGGTCGTATGCTACCATATATTTTTTCATCACTATGCTACATTACTTAAATTCACGAGTCTATCCGTCCGAGCATCTCAGTCATTCTACACAGACTGAGATGTAAGCTTATGTTCCCCCCTTACATTATACCAAGCGGCTAACTCGTTCCATAGAATCTATCTAGGTACTATACATTGTATTGAGTCATTCTACACAGACTGAGATAATCTATCTAGTTTTCCCGCTCTCTCGCGTCCCCGCTCGCCTCTGATCACCAGAGATCACAGTTGTGAGCACGAAAGGCATCAGCGACAGCGCTCGGATGCGCAGACAAAGGAAAGCTGCTCAATGATGCATGTAATCAACAAAGGCACTACTGGACTGCGCTCTAGCATCCTTGGCAAGAAATCAAAAGGGAACTTGCATGCCGGTCAGTTGGGAGTAGGTCACAAGTCTAAGTTGGGAGGATGGAGAGATAAGTGCGATAGGGGGACGATATTGAGGCATTAAAATAGTTCCCACGTGGTGTGCCTGCAACAGATGTGCGTGATACACTCCACGAAAGCCTTGTTGATTCAAGGCTTGTCTGATGTCATGACATATGCTATAGGTGGTGTCGAATTTGTCGATGATGATGATGACGATGAGCGGGAGGTATGGGCACATGTACAGCGGGGAAACTGACGTTTTGCCACCGCAGGCTTTTGCCGCTAGTGGAATTACATTTGAAAGGTAATCTAGAGTGCTCCAGGGCGCTCTAGCCAGACTATCATGATATAGAAAGAAGGATCTTCAGATGTTCGTTCCTTTTTGATTAAATGGTCTTTAGGGTCTTTGCGCTGAACCCCTCTATAAATCCTCAGGAACCTTCGCTCCCAGATTCCCCACATCTCACAACCATCATCATGTCCAACATTCCAAAGACACAAACCGCTGCAGTCGTGCCGTCTCACGGAGCTGCTCTTGAAATCAGAAAGGATCACCCGGTCAAGCAATCTTCTGAGCTTGCCCCGGGCGAATGCCTCGTCAAATTATTCTGCACTGGAGTCTGCCACACGGACTTGCATGCTAGCAAAGATGATTGGCCGCTTCACGCCAATACACCTCTTGTTGGCGGACATGAAGGTGTAGGAGAGATCGTTGCCATCGGGGAACACACCAGCGAATCTCCTGTGAAGATTGGTGATCGTGTAGGCATCAAGTGGCTTGCGTACTCTTGCTTGAACTGTGAGCAATGTCGCAATGGACGAGAGCAAAGTAAGCCGAGCGTATGAACGTTGAATAAGATGCTTAATTTTACATCCAGACTGTCCCAAAGCAAAACTGAGTGGTTTCACCATTGATGGCACATTCGCACAATATACAGTATGTCAGCTCCCATGTATGTTAGATTCTGTCGCTGACCTCGTAAGGTCTCCTACGTACATCATGTTACCCCTATTCCACAAAATTTAGACAGCAACGCCGCGGCTTCGATTCTTTGTGCGGTAAGGTTATAGCCACTACATTTGAATGTCGTTCACTCATGTGCTGCATAAAGGGGGGTTACCGTATATAGGGCTCTTAAGTACAGCCGCTCAAAGATTGGCGAATGGGTTGTCTTGCCTGGTGCGGGCGGTGGCCTCGGACACTTGGGTATGTTCCACTACTATGCCTAATATTAATCATCAGACCACTGACTCCCTGATCAGCGGTTCAATACGCGGTGGCTATGGGCCTCCGTGTTGTAGCGATAGGTATGCCGTCCTGCTATACTTGGGAGGAGACTAATATCGTCGCGTTCAGACTCTGGCCACGAGAAGAAGAAGCTCTGCATGGAGCTTGGAGCCGAAAAATGGATTGATTACAAGGAGGCAAAAGACATTGTCCAGGCTGTCCGAGAAGCATGTGGTGGCGAGGGGGCACATTGCGCTGTCGTCACCACTGCGGATGCTTCTGGTTATACCCAAGCCGTCGATTACCTTCGGCCTGGAGGAACGCTGATGGCAGTAGGGCTACCTGGTGAAGCAAAGCTCGAGGCGTCCATCTTTTTCACGGTCTTTAAGGTAAGTTCTATGAAGAATTATTGTAGTGTTGTTGATTCAGGACTTGTTGCAGAGCATCAACATCCTTGGTTCATATGTTGGTAATCGTCAGGATGCCGTCGAGGCTCTGGACATCGCATCGAGTGGTAAGGTAGCAGTGAGGTGTGAGATCAAGGGTCTCTCCGATCTTGAGGGGTGAGTAGATTGCAATGGTAAGGATATATAGCTGATGTGATTCACAGGGCCTATGACGCACTCAAACAAGGCAAAGTAGCGGGAAGGATAGTCTTGGAAATGCCAAAGTGAGTACATATACATATAGTCCTAAGAGTCTGTATAGTCAAACCAAAGCCAAACGTCAATTCATGCACGTATATTCTATTTGGTGTATTCCATTATACTGTTTCTTCTGTTAAGTTCTCCGTTTGAACACCAAGGGAAGGCGGGCAGGTCTAAACAGCCATCAACATACATCATACCGGAAAATAAGTTCGTCACATACGCTAGAGTGAGCACACTTTGTGCATCAAGTACTCTCGCTCTACGCTTCTCAAACGTTTCGCTAGCAAATTGCGGTTCGTCTTTGATCGAAACAGTATATTGTGACATCAAAATGGTGAGAACAGCCGCTCCCTCCGTTTCCGAGAACCTGAACAAATTCAAATGAATGATCCAAGAATAATTGCAATATGCTCACTTTCTTCCCACACACCCTCTGTAACCTTCATTGGTACAGGCGTCTTCAAGTTGCTTCTGAACACAAGATATCAAGACACTTACCACTACTGAAGGGGAGGAATGCATCTCGGTTCCAGTCACCAAGGAATCGCTCGGGTTTAAACGTGTATGGATCTTCCCAATACTTGGCTGCAATCATGCGTCAGCATCTCTTTTGCACTTGGAAACTTATCTTACGGTTGTAGTGAAGCCCAGGTACGCTAAATGTAAGACCCGTTCCTTGAGGCACAACGACCGTTTTCATCGTCCCGTTCACATCTGTGAGGGTGAGGGTCGTGTCTTCGGCGCTTGTCTTTGGCACAATGCCAACCTGCACCAGAAGTAAAACCAAATTCGCTCAGAAAAGTTCGCTAGATCAACATACAGGGGGGAACATCCGCAGTGTCTCGCTGAACACGCTGTCACGATGTCAGTCCACACGGAGGTCGAGTTAGAGGCGGCAAACTGACGCAGAAGAGTAGGCCAGTGATGGCATATCATCATAAGTCTGTCGAAAAATGTCAAGTCTGGTTGTAAAGACGTCTGCAATCTAGGGGTCCATACAGGAATTCTTCCATCAGGTAGTACACGCTTGATGTGCTGGTACAGTTCTTCTTGCTTATCGGGATATAAAGCCAACAGCGCGAACGCAAAAGCAAATGTATGGGCTGTTGTCTGTGAGTTGTCAGCGTGAGGCAAAATCGTCGAAGAGATGTAATATTTATTACCTCGTGTCCCGCAACCAAAAATATGAAGATATTGCCTGTCGAATAATGTCACTATTTCTTGCTGTAGAGTCGGAAATTGTAGCTTACCGATTACCTCACTGTCGGTTAACTTTATTTCACCCTCCGACAATTTCTCATCGTCATTTGCTGACAACAAACTAGATAATAGGTCGTTATTTTCTTCTTTGTGCTGGGACCCCTGCCGTTCATGGATCATCTCCGTAAGGTATTTCTACAAAAGAAGGTCATTATAAATGCGAAGTGTTCAGCCACCATACTGGTACGGACATGCAACTCATCGAATGCAACTCTTGTACGCCTGAAACGTTTAGTGAGTCCCATGGCCCATTTCGGAACTAATAATTTGATGGTGAGGTCCTGTGTCACTGTGTGGAGAGCATCTTTGAAAGTCAACTGGTGCCCGGGTGGGACCACGGTGTCATCTTTCCAGGATATAGGGCGACCAAAGCCTATAACAAGTTCACAATCAACAGCAGGCTATTAATAATGTTGAAAATGCTTACCTGCAGCCCCGATCACGAACAACGCGATCTAGTTATCCGGATTAAATTAAAGAAGCGTGTAGGTGGCGTCAAGAATTCTTACCGGCAAAGTTAAATCTACGCCGTGATCGACAACCACTTCATCTTGTCCAGCCCACATTGTATCAAAAAGGTCGAGCATTATCTGTATCGTTGCATCCCAGACCAATCTGTTATTCCTCTTCAAGTTGAAAGTTAGTAGAGCTCTATTGTACTTGTGGACGTCAGTTACGAACTTCTGAAAACGCAGGTGCGACAATCTTGCGGTAACGCTTCCATTGATCGCCTTCGGAAGCAACAATGTTCTCTCCAAAAAATGTTATGATTTTGTATTGGCCTAGAGGTTTCGGAAAGCGTCCTCCACGAGACCAAGCAATATCCTTTGGTACGATGAATCAATTAATCGACGTGCTACCAAGGCCAACATAGACTGACGTACCTTGATTATATTGGCGTCTGCAATGAACATCGCTCCTTTTGCTTTCGGCCAAAATGCCGCCTACAACTATGAACTTCCGGCACATCACGGGTGTCGCAAGCAACTCACAGAGGAAAATATATCGAGGCCCCACTTCGCAAAGGCTTCCGAAATTTGCATCAATCAGGCAAATTGGATCAACAGGAAAAGTATCCGACGTACGGGTATGCTTCGAGATCCAGGCATGATCATGACCCAAGGTCAACCCGCGGGTCGGGGGAAACATCTGCCCGAGCACAGTCGACGGAGCAAGAATTGTTCTGTATCCTGGAAGATGGCTGTGCAAGTAAGTAGTTTTAAGTAGTTCTACGTAATTCGACAAAGTTGGTCAACCTACTGAATGCTTGCCAGTAGCCGGCGGAAGTCTAAGAAAAGCTGCAAGGCGCGCAGTGCGCCCACTGAACCCACTAATATTGCAAGGGTCTGCAACGACAAGCCAGAGACAGTCATATTCGTGGGGGCGTTGGAGTGAAGATGTCGTGAGCAATGAGCGAACGAGAAAGAGCAAACCTCAGTTCAAAGTACACACCTCTATGTAATAGTATGTATATGATTTGTTACCAGGGGAATTCCTGGAACGAACTCCCACCTTCCGACGGATGACAAGGGGGGATCCCCACTGCGGAAGCCCTTCAAATACCTTCAGACGCACATTGATCGATTTGCAATGCATCGCTGGCTTTCCTGCAGCTCCGCGAGAGATCCTGGAACAACATTAGATTTCGGAAGTGATGAGGTCGACTGAATAATGGCTGATAGGCGCTGTCTGCCTACGGGAGACTAACTTCAGTGGGATATAATTACAAATCGGACTGCCGGTAAATCCGGGAGAGTTCTATATATGGTGCTGCTGGAACAAATTTGATTTATTACCAGTTACGATGCAATCAATTCCATCGAGTTCCCGAACTGTTCCTCGGCGATTCCTCAAAAAGCAGTTGAAATTGCGTAAAGGACAGCAAGTTGAGCGAGCACGTAGGTACTGTATTACATAGTACAATGGGATTACATCGGCGTCCACCCCAACTATTCTTGAATCTCCACCACGACCCACTTGCGCGTCAGCAAATTAAACACGCTTCCGAAAATCAATGTCATGAGCGTACAGCTGAGGATAATGACATTATAGGGCATGCTGAAATCTGGGGTGGGGAGGTCGACAAGGAGCGGTGGGGTATAGATCCTCTCCCAACCATGACCCGAAGAAGCGTCGTTTGTCGATTGAGGGAGCGGGAAAAACACGGCCCCTGGTAGATCCCAGCCTCTCATCGCATCAGGTGGATGTTCGGTATATTTCAGAAAAGCTTTGTTGACTTCCATGGAAATTTTGAGCGTGCTCTTCGGTGGAATTGTAAGGACAGCCTGCAACATCGAGGGAGAGAGGCGGCCACTAGATTGGGGCGAGGGCGGATGGTATTTCAGTCCTGAAAGTAAGTCGCCTGAACACAAGATAATCAGCAGATGCAATCTTCTTATGGTTGTACGTCATACTCCGTATCTGCGAGTTTATTTCGACTTTCAGAGTGTGCATCCACAGTGTAAGAAGTGCAGGCATCATCTCCAGATAACCTGCCGACACCTCCTGGGGAGAATTGTTGGTCACAGAAACAGAAAGAACGCCTCGTGTTTGCGTTGTACCATGGATTGTTCGCTTCACGCTGAGCGGTGTGAGTGATAGTAATGGTGGCAGTGCTGCGTCAATAAATCATCACTGAGCTGGTTAAATTGACAGAGAGGGACGTACGATACTGGAAGCTATGTTCATTTGGCCAGTACATGGCAATGTTGGACGGACTTGTGAAATTAGATGCTTTGACGTAGTATTAGTAAAGATTTATTGCATGAGATACCTGTACAACGCACAGGAGGAAAAATCATAAACGGCCAAACCATCGACATGGGCAGGGATTTTAGGAGTGATCTGGTGGTTCTTCTCTTCTGGGATAATAACGGTGACAGAACTGGAGCTTGCTACCGGGCAAGACCGTTCGATAGAGCGATCAAACAGTGATTGAAGATTCCAGTCTGTCAACATTGTCAACGAGGGATATATCATAAACAGATTACTGGCTCACCTCGTCTCTTCCCTGCGCTGGTTCGCACTGGATTGAATACTGCTTGTAAGGTCAGCTTTAATTCCACACCGACGTCTTCCTTCCATATCACGTGAATCGCCATGCCATGCCAGTCTGCATCAAACACCTTCTGAGGATTGAGAAGTGCAGCAAGCCCTGCGTGGCTCTTGCACGGAAGTAGCTTCAAGAAGGGCGTTAGATTCTCCGTACAAACGTTCTCTGAAGGAAGTGAGGCGTGCCGGAGTTCGTGTAGGCCAAAAGGAGGAGTAGACCCGGATAAAGGGAAGGCGACCGTTGGTGACGTCGTTCGTCTCGAATCTAACGACCCAAGAGAAGCGCAAAAAAGTCCCGAAAGTGCGTTTCGAAGACCAGACCATCGTTCATCCACTCTAACAGATTAAATGAGTGAACATGATCACAGTTGTTCGTTGATCATACACACGTCGATAACTCACTAGTGCCCATCCAAGCCCATAGCTCAGCTCCGGTGCTAACCCCAGCTTCGGGAGGATGCCCCCAGTTATCATAATTCCATTTTCCGGCGTTGAGAGTCAGGTGCAGTTCGGTGATCGCGTACTCGCGTAAGATTTGACCAAGGGTCAGTGGGAATAGAGCATAGTGCTGGGCTGCGCAGCTCGTATAGTTCAGGAGCCAAAAATAGCGGTGGTATACGCACATTCATCTGGTTGTCCTAAGACCTTCGGATTTCGTGGAACTGCACCCTCCAGAACAGTCACGAAAGAGAACGTCGTAGATACTCGCCCATCTCTGAGTGGTTGTATCCGGAGATCTTCCTTGTAATTTTCCCCCCGGTAAAGGCCAAGAGTGGGAGTGAACAAGCAAGCTAAGCAAATCCAGACTGAGGCGCGATGCATGTGGTCTATGGCTCCAAGTGGAAGGAGGCCCGTAACGCGGAAATATGGTTATACGAAGGGGTAGCACAGGCTATGTTGTCTCCCATAGACAAATGAAAGTCGTTCCTATACAGTATGGTCTGGGTTCATACATGCAGAGTCCAACATAATATTATTAAGTTATATTTGAATAATATTGTCGGAGTTTTGAAGTAGAATCAAATTTTCACACAAAGTTGATTTCTGCTTTCCGCTATCCGGCATGTCTGTACGCCGTACGCTCATACAGTACGAGCGCAGATGGCCAAAGTAGTATTCGATTCAAGTACAAGCGCTACACCTGACAGGCCTGATGTATGGTCTCTGTACATTATGGCTCCTCAGGTGTGGGTCCATCATGATGTTCGGCCTTTGTCGGTGCAGGTATTCTACCTAGTCAGACCTTTATAGAGTCTAGACGAAGGAAGATAGTCGTTCCTTCCAATCATAAAGGGGATTGTAGCAACTGAGTATAAAAGGGTTTCTAGCATTTAACTGATAAGACTGATCATCCTTCCAGTAAGCAAGGCATTCCGCTATGGCTTCAAGTTTCACCAGCAATACTCCATTGGATCCCAGCCTCTATAGCCTTGACCCTGCTGCGCGCGAGTTCTCCAAGCAACAAACAGGCATCACTGAAGATGACGAGTTGAAGCACCACATCCTCGCCGTTCAAGCAAAGGCTTTCGCGGTGAGTAATGATGTTTCAAATACCATCAACGTAGGTCGAGTCTTACTATGCGGCGGCTCGTACGTCTATTAGGTTGCGCCCTACTATTGTATCTACACTTTCGTATTCACAGGGCAAGCGATACTCGTAGAACTTGCATTCTACAGTAGCTGATGTGGATTCCAGACTCAAAATTTCGAGACATCCGAAATATCAGAGCGTGCTTCAGCTAGGTCGTGACTACAAAGAGGCACTGTTCCTGGATCTCGGATGTTGCTGTTAGTGTATTTGACCTTGTCTGGTAGATGATGGTCGTGAAGTTGCTTTGTCATAGTTGGCAATGACGTCCGCAAGGCAGTTGCAGATGGTTGGCCAGTCACCCGAATGATCTCTACCGATATCAGGCAAGGTACGCCCCGCGATAGTCGCGACTCTGGTCAAATTAGGGGAAAGCCTGAAACTTTAACAGAACTTTGGGACCTAGGACATGTCCTTTTCCGGTCTACGCCAGCGTCTTTCCCCTCGCACTTCATTTCGGGCAACTGTCTTGATCCAACTTTCTTATCATCCGAGCCTGGGCCTTCGTCGCAGTCACTGCCTGATTTGTCCTCGCTCACCTCGCTGAATGACTTGCGTGGCAAACTTACTGCTATTCACGCAGCATCTATATTTCACTTATTTTCTCAAGAGGAACAGGCGTCACTCGTGCGTGCTGTAGCTTCTTTGCTGTCTCCCGCACCAGGGAGCATCGCATTCGGATCTCATGTCGGATACCCGAAGCAGGGTACCATACGGTGGAAAGGGCCTGGTATGAAAGCGGATAAGTATTGTTACGATCCTGAGAGCTGGAATAAGCTCTGGGAAGACGCAGGTCCCTTCAAGACGGAGACCATCCTGAAAGAGGTGACAGGTCCAAATGGTGGGATCGGGTGGACGATGGTATGGAGCGCGACGATCAGCACGAAATCCGCTGTGTGAAGTCACGATGACTATCATATCTCAAACATCCCTTCGGCGTTAATGAAAATTATGACCTGGAACATCAATACACCATCACCTTAACGGAATTGTGTCATCCTTTCGGCTTCCTTATCTCCCAACAAACCTGCTGTCAAGGGCACTACGGCGAATCATAACCCTCATATCTCACATTATAACGTTCGTCATTGATGCAACCTACTTGATGGGTCTATGATTGTAGGACCGTTCGCACCCCACTCTGCTCCTCAATACTTCGTTGCATCAAAGTGACAAAGACGCCTGAGATTTACTTTATGGTGTATCTTAATGCCTGGTCGTATATGAACAACGCTACGTGGCAGTACCGTACGTGGCCACCTAAACTTAGAACCCGCTCCTTGAGTATTCATTAAGATCAAGCAGCTTCGACATTTAAATGTGGACTATTCTTCCAGTACAAGGCATTCTAATATGGCTTCATTTTTCACTAGTGATACTCCATTGGATCCCAGACTCTACGGGCTGGACGATGCTGCGCTCGAGTTCTTCAAGCAGCAGACAGGCATCACTGAAGAGAACGAGCTGAAGCACCACATCCTCGCTGTTCAAGCAAAGGCTTTCGCGGTGAGTGACGGCATTTCAAATTTCATCAACAGGTCAAGTTTTATGCGGCAAGTGTTTTAGGTGGCACCGTACTATTGCATCTACACCTTCGTATTCACAAGGTAAGCTATACTCATGGAACCCCTATTCTATGGCTGACGTGTATTCCAGACTCAGAATTTCGAAACACCCGAAGTACCAAAGTGCGCTTCAGCTAGGTCGTGATTGCAAAAGCGCACTGCTGTTGGATCTTGGATGTTGCTGTTAGTGCATTCGATGTTTTCTAGTAACGACGGTCATGGACTCACCTCGTCGCAGTTGGCAATGATGCACGCAAGGCAGTGGCAGATGGCTGGCCAGCCACCCAAGTGATCTCTACTGATATCAAGCAAGGTACGCCTCGTGATAATCACCTCCCCGTGCAAATCAGGGGGCATGTGCAGTCAGACTGACTTCGTGACAGAGCTTTGGGACCTAGGACACGTCCTTTTCCGGTCTACGCCGGCATCTTTCCCCTCGCACTTCATTGCGGGCGACTGTCTTGATCCAACTTTCTTGTCATCCGAGCCTGGGCCTTCGTCGCAGTCACTGCCTGATTTATCCTCGCTCACCTCGCTGAATGACTTGCGTGGCAAACTTACTGCCGTTCACGCAGCATCCATATTTCACTTGTTTTCTCAAGAGGAACAGGCATCGCTCGTCCGCGCTGTAGCTGCTTTGCTGTCTTCTGAACCAGGGAGCATTGCATTTGGATCTCACGTCGGACTTCCGAAGCAGGGTATCATACAGGGGAAAGCGGGTGCTATGAGAGTGAAGATGTATTGTTACGATCCTGAGAGCTGGAATAAGCTCTGGGAGGATGCGGGTCCCTTCAAGGCTGAGGCCAGCTTGAAAGAGTTGGTAGGTCTGAATGGTGAGATCGGGTGGGAGATGATATGGAGCGCGACGGTGATCACGAAATCCGGTGTATGAATACGAAATCCTGCAGAAAGGAGAACACCGGGCATTGGTATAAACGAAGAAACAATTATAATGGGCGTAAGCACTTCAGGTGTGCCCTAAACCACATATATCCTTGTATCTCGTTCTGTGTGACTCACAAGTTTGTGCTCGAGTTTTTCCTGCAAATCAGGGGTTGGGACAAACAGTCACGGTCCTTAGGTCATCCTGCTCTGCAGCACTCAGTGGCCATGACTGCCTTATTGTCCAAGGCTTCAAAACTTCGGGTAGTATGCCCACGCATACTACGTTCTTCCTCTGGTCAAATTTTACAGGCCACGGCTTATCTGAATAAGTTGTAGGCACTGATCCTCTACAGGTGTTTTGTTTCATCTCATTGCAGAAGCTGATTTTTCTTATCGTGCTTCTGTCCATCTCTTTCACCCCGTTCTACCACCAATACGGGTCACTTCGAATTGCCGCATGTCTCAAGTTTGACGCATATTTCAGTTTCCGCACTTAGACACACTTGGGTCACTCGGAGTAGACAGATGGACCGAGTCATACCTGGTTATATAGTAATATCAGAATTTATCAGTACTACTAAGGTCAAAAGTTATGTTACGGTACGAGATAGGCCTCTGCTGATGTGCTTTCAGTATCGGTTCCTCTTTGGCAAGTCCCTCATGGCCTTGGTCTGAGACTGGTGTCTTTTCTAATAACCGATCAGTGCCTGGTCAAACACTTTCAGTACTGCTTCTTCAAGTTTTGTACCAACAGTTGTCTTCTTCAACGTCAACAAACTTATTGTAGCTAGCTTCTAATTCCCTCATAATTTCACTCTTATCAACGTACAAGCGACTGAGCAGTCGTGGCCGATGACCATCAATCAGTACTCAGTGCCATCTCTCTCCGCTTTCTACTAGGTTCCCCTATTTTCTTGGCTGTGGCACACTTCCGAATCGGCTAGTCCTCATTGGTGCTAGCAGGCACATTATATTTAATCATGTTATCGCAGCAGTGCGGATTTAATGTGTTCAATTTGTGGGGCATACTTTCGTAAGTGCCGATCGATTCGGACCGGACAGGTTCGTTGAACTGTGTCACATAACAAATTCCACCTCGATTAGATTCGCCTCGGGGCGACTCTATAAATGCAGGAGCCGAGTGAGGTCCGACTCTAGATCATCTATCTTTCCAGTACTATGCCTGAACCTTCAATTTTCACTAGTGATACTCCATTGGATCCCGGCCTCTACAGCCTGGACCCTGCTGCGCTCGAGTTCTTCAAGCAGCAGACAGGCATCACTGAAGATGATGAGCTGAAGCAACCACATCCTTGCTGTTCAAGCAAAGGCTTTCGCGGTGAGTGATGGCATTTCGGATTTCATCAACAGGTCAAGTGTTATGTGGCAAGGGATTTAGGTGGCACCGTACTATTGCATCTACACCTTCATGTTCACAAGGCAAGTTATACTCATGGAACCCCCTATTCTATGGTTGACGTGGATTCCAGACTCAAAATTTCGAGACACCCGAAGTACCAAAGTGCGCTTCAGCTAGGTCATGATTGCAAAAGCGCACTGCTGTTGGATCTTGGATGTTGCTGTCAGTGCATTCGATTTTTTTTCTGGTAGACGACGGTTATGGACTCACCTCGTCGTAGTTGGCAATGATGCACGCAAGGTAGTGGCGGATGGCTGGCCAGCCACCCAAGTGATCTCTACTGATATCAAGCAAGGTAGGCCTCGTGACAATCACCTCCCCGTGCAAACCAGAGGGCAAGTACAGTTGGATTGATTTTTTGACAGAATTTTGGGACCTAGGACACGTCCTTTTCCGGTCTACGCCGACATCTTTCCCCTCGCACTTCATTTCGGGCAACTGTCTTGATCCGGCTTTCTTATCATCCGAGCCTGGGCCTACGTCGCAGTCACTGCCTGACTTATCCTCGCTCACCTCGCTGAATGACTTGCGTGGCAAACTTACTGTCATTCACGCAGCATCCATATTTCACTTGTTTTCTCAAGAGGAACAGGCATCGCTCGTGCGTGCTGTAGCGTCTTTGCTGTCCCCTGCACCAGGGAGCATTGCATTTGGATCTCATGTAGGGCTTCCAAAGCAAGGTACCATACGGGCGAAAGTGCCTAGTATGGGAGTGGAGATGTATTGTTATGATCCTGAGAGCTGGAATAAGCTCTGGGAAGATGCAGGTCCCTTCAAGACAGAAGCCGTCCTGCGAGAGGTTATAGATCCAAATGGTGAGATCGGGTGGATGATGGTATGGAGCGCGACGATGAGCACGAAATCCAGTTTATGAATCCGAAATGCAGCGATGAGGAAAACACTGGCAGATGAAGAAATGGTCATGATTAGACGTACTATGTACTGCACCACATCCCGTGGTCTCGTTCTATTTAGCTCTCAAGTTTGGGCACTGTGGCCTGCAAGCAGATAATCTTACCAAATGTAGGTGATCTGCAAGGCACCTGCAGCCCAATTGATCTCGCTCGTGGCGGGGAAGCAGAACACGTTGCGGCCTCAAATTTCAAAACTCCGCGGTCGGTTCCGGTGCTACCTGTCAATATTAATATCGGACCGGGTCAAGACACGGCGGAGATGCTACAACGACAGACTCGAAGGGACAATAACGGTCGTAGAACTGGCAGGATACGACCGGTATGATATTGTTCTCGGAACCTGTGAAATTAGTATTGAGCGTGGTTATTGTCAACGGTCAACTTAAATCTATTTAAATGTCATCATATTCTGCCAAATGGTAGGCCTTATTACTCTCCGTAAGTGTGCTAAGGGCTTGGAAAGTAGGCATGGTTAAAGGCGTCGTGATGTCATACATTGGATTTTGTACTCATCGTCGCGCTCCATACCATCATCCACCCGATCTCACCATTTGGACTTATCACCTCTTTCAGGATGGCCTCCGTCTTGAAGGGACCTGCATCTTCCCAGAGCTTTTTCCAGCTCTCAGGATCATAACAATACATCTCCACTGTCATACCAAGCACTTCCTCCCGTATGGTACCCTGCTTCGGAAGTCCGACATGAGACCCAAATATAATGCTCCCTGGTGCAGGGGACAGCAAAGAAGCTACAGCACGAACGAGCGATGCCTGCTCCTCTGCAGAAAACAAGTGAAATATGGATGATGCATGAATCGCAGTAAGTTTGCCATGCAAGTCATTCAGTGAGGTGAGCGAGGACAAATCAGGTGGTGAGCGTGACATAACAGGCTCGGATGATAAGAAAGTTGGATCAAGGCAGTCACCCGCAATGAACTGCGAGGGGAAAGATGTTGGCGTAGACCGGAAAAGGACATGTCCTAGATCCCAAAGTTCTGTCACGAAGTTTCAGTCCGACTGTACACGCCCCCCGATTTTCACGGGGAGGTGATTGTCACGAGGCCTACCTTGCCTGATATCAGTAGAGATCACTTGGGTGACTGGCCAGCCATCCGCCACTGCCTTGCGTGCATCATTGCCAACTGCGACGAGGTAAGTCCATAACCGTCGTCTAGCATAAAAAAAGTCGAATGCACTGACAGCAACATCCAAGATCCAACAGCAATGCGCTTCCACAATCGCGACCTAGCTGGAGCACACTTTGGTACTTCGGGTGTCTCGAAATTCTGAGTCTGGAAGCTACGTCATTCACATAACACAAGTTCCACAAGTATGGGCTTGCCTTGTAAATCCGAAGCTGTAGATACAGGGGTACGGCGCCACCTGCACAGGTCGCGTAAGAGTCGGCATACGTCGATAGAAGACATCGCTCACCGCAAAAGCCTTTGCTTGAACAGCAAGGATGTGGTGCTTCAGCTCATCCTCTTCAGTGATGCCTGTTTGCTTCTTAAAGAACTCGAGCGCAGCAGGGTCCAGGCTGTAGAGGCTGGGATCCAATGGAGTATCACTAGTGAAAGCCATACTACCCAAATGTCGTGGATGGTCCAGAACCCTATCACTTAAATACCTTTAGAGCATCAGGCTACGTCAGCTAAAACGCTGGAACCTTCTGCCGGTGCCGTCGTTGGAAGACAAATGACTAGGTAAAAAAGCCGCAGCACTATTTCTATTAAAGATCACTGCACTGCATCAACCCAGTCGCAGATCTTAAACAGAATTGGTAGCGTTAGGCATTACAGAACCGGTCACCGGTCAGGTCGCGTAAGAGTATACAACTGTAAAAAATGTGAGCTGTACGAATTTTATGACTCAGAGTCGACAAGGAGACCTGAAACGTCTTCTTGATCGTTCACTGGCTAATAGTTGCGCGCCTGTTCATGATATAGTATTGTTGGATCAAGTACAGTTGCTACGGAAGATCTGAGTCTCGTCTTGATTTTGGTCGTTGTATTGTGAGCGGTCCCAAGCCCATCTCTGGAGGCATTAGATAGTGAGTATGGCCTGGATATAGATGATGCCCCTGTTCCTTCCGCCGTAACGTGGCTCGGGATACGGCAGCATTGCAGAAAGTGTGCCTAACGCGAGGTCCGGCGGGGAAAGACATTGTGCTTGTCGAAAACAGTATTATTTTAGTGGCCTACTGCTTTTCGATGATAGTCCAGAAGACGATCCTGTAAGCCGAAGATGGACGGATCAGCAACGCGCAAGTCAAACATATTTCTTTCATTCGACATGCCGAAGCAATTTGCCTGCCTAATACCGCGACAGCCTTTCCAATAATATGGGTCCAGGTTCAATAATGCAACAGGATGCCACGCGGTGTTATGTGGCCAGGGGCTCATCCTGATTCCTGATGCTTGTCTGCGCGAGGACCATCGGTGGCAGTAGACTCCCGGGATGTTAAAAACGCCCTACAAAAACGCCCGCCTCGTGGTGACAGCAAGATCTACCAGATAAATGTTAGTAGAAGATCATTGCGGGTCACCGGTAATGAGCTAGTCGCCCGTTTACCCAAATATCTGCTTAAAAACGAATGCGCTAGCATTATAAAATATCCTGCATACCTCGTGAAAAAACACTGCTCCCAACGTGGGCCACATGCACATATGTCGTGAGTTTGCTTGTCAACTTGTATGGTAGATCATACTGGAGAGTGGAGAGTTGAGACTATTTTTCCCGAGCGTGCCAATTTCTCAGCCACTACGGTTATTTGCAACTGTTTGGCACACAGGTTTCTTTCTAACCTTGCATTTCAACGGCTACTTGACCGCGATGGACTCACCAAAACGCACGGGCTCGCCGTCGTCAACGTCAGAGGCAAAACGAATCAAGCTCACAGTCCCTCAGCAAAATCAAGGCGCTTCGCCTGTAGAACCCGAGTCCGCTCCGGGAAAGCGTAGCGAACTCGACCCAATTCAAGGCGGGGATATTGGCAACCTTCCACCTGACACTGGGGAACCTACGTCAGCAGAAAATGGCTCAGGTGTGATTAAGGTGCTGAAGGAGGGGGAGGGAGATGAAGACGCCGGAGACGTGTCAATGGGGGAAGCAGCTGATGAAGAAGCGGAGTCCGGAGACGAGAACGACGATGAAGACCCTGCACAACTAGAGGCTACTCGCTTGCGACTGGAGGACCAGGCAAGAAAGTACCTCGCCGCGCAGACACACGATGTTGTCATACCATCCTACTCTGCATGGTTCGACATGTCCAAGATTCACCCCGTCGAGCGACGCGCGCTCCCAGAATTTTTCAACTCAAGAAACCGCTCCAAAACGCCCTCCATATACAAAGATTACCGCGACTTTATGGTTAACACGTATCGTCTTCGGCCGACGGAGTATTTGACTGTCACTGCATGCCGGAGAAACTTGGCAGGCGACGTGTGCGCGATAATGCGCGTGCATGCATTCCTGGAGCAGTGGGGTTTGATCAACTATCAGGTGCGAAGGGTAGACATATCATCTGAGCACTTTGTAATGAATATGAACTCTTAAGATCGACCCTGAAGCGCGACCAGCCGCGCTTGCACCACCTTTCACCGGCCATTTCCGTGTGCTCCTCGACACGCCTCGGGGCATGCAGTCACTGCACCCTGGGACTCGCCCTACTATCACGCATCCAGCAGCAGCAATGAACGGTGCCTCGAAGCCAATACAACAACACAGTAGCTCTGGTTTGGCATCACTCGAGTTGCGGAATTCCATCTACCAGACGACATCCAAAGCATCACGCGCGGTGACTTCTACCGAGGCGAATGCGCTGGCGAACGGTGTTTCGTCAAAAGGGAACATGTCGTACCAGTGCGACACATGTGGAACAGACTGCACCGCACTGCGGTATCACTCGTTGAAAGTCAAAGACTTTGAGCTCTGTGGTCCGTGCTATCTCGACGGGCGTTTCCCGTCGACGATGTTTAGTGGAGACTTTGTGAGACTCACGTCTAGTCCGCCTGGTGTAAGCCATGGCGGGACCGACGACGACTGGACAGACCAGGAGGTACTTCTGTTGCTGGAAGGTATCGAGATGTTCGACGATGACTGGAGCGCAATCGAGGACCATGTGGGGACTCGTACGTCTCAGCAGTGTATCAGGAAATTCCTGGCTCTACCAATTGAGGACCCGTATATAGCCTCAGAAGGCGACTCGGGTCCACTCAGGTTTGGGCGAATCCCTTTCGAACAGGCAGATAACCCTGTGATGAGCGTGGTCGCCTTCCTTGCTGGTGTTGTTGGCTCGGGGGTCGCCGCTGAAGCGGCAAAGACTGCCATGCATGCTTTAACAGACTGCGCCCCAAGGGAAGGCACGGAGAATACACTTGACGAGAAAGGAGAGTCTGGTGACAAAAAGGATGCGGAAGGTGACACTGCCATGAACGAGGATGCTCCCGATGCATCTACGGCGGCGAATCCCGAACCGGAGACTAGCACTCCATCAAATACAGAAGGGGCAGAAGACGTATCTGCCGACACTGCAAAACCGGCGAAGCTGCAGTCCAAAGTACCCCAGTCGCACGTCGCGCGCGCCGCTCAACTTGCCCTCAAGTCTTCTGCGAAAGCTGCTCAGAACCTAGCAGACGCCGAAGATGTGCATATCCGCTCGACTCTCTCGTCACTCATCAAACTCACGCTCACGAAACTCGAGCTTAAAACGTCTCAATTCGAAGAGTTGGAGGAAGTTTTGGAAGAAGAAAGGAAAGGTCTTGAAAGCGCCCGGATGGCCCTTGTGAACGAGCGCGTTAATCTCAAGCGTATGCTTGATGGTGTGAGGAGTGAGCTGGCGAAGAACGGTCGGACATCCATCCCTCCGACAAACCTAGGCACCACAGGTCAGGGGACGATTGCGGCTGAGGTATCATCCAGCACTCCGCTGGAAGGTGATGCAGGACCTCGGAACGACGGGGAGTTTGCCCAGCTAGCGTGATGGAACAGTAGGATATGTTAATTATATTCGTTCGTGCGTTTCTTTTGACTGACGCAGCCCTGTTGTCCCTTTACGTAGCTTTCATATTTGTCTGTTTGTGCTGCTTTCTGTAAGTGTATGATAGACTAATTATATCTGACTCCTGATCGGAAACCCATTCATGCTCGAGCCCCGGGGTGCATGTGCTGAAGAACTTTGGCATAATCACCCCTCACCAGGACATTCGCCAGTCAGGGACAGGAGACCCTTAGGACTTGCTTAGAATATCCTGCACACTGATATCAATACAACCGCCAGGGCCCGAAGAGTAGCACACAACTTCATGTCAAGTTTTCAAGTCAGTATCATTTCCTCTATCATACTCAAGGACCCCTATTGGTCGAAATGTGTCTAAACGCAACCTGTGACATTGGTCAACTCCGCCAGCGACTTAAAACGGCTGTGAGCCACAGGTTCCACAGCAAAGTAGAAACGTGACTTACCCTCGTGTCATGCCAGCCTGGTATCTAATTAGGCTAAGCTTAGGTCCTACCCGCAAAAGTGATAGCCGACCTATTGCATTGTAGGTTCAATTTGGGTGCAAAGCAAACTCCCAATATCTGTACAGACGTTATCGCAGCAGTCAGAGTTCTTGGTGCAAGTAGAGCCCGAAGGAAGACAGCTTCTGCTGAAAACAGCTGGTGTGGCATTAACAGACATAGATACTGCCAAAGCAGCAACGACAGTAAGGAAGGAGAAATGCATTGGTGATACGGGATCTGGCAGGGAGGTGCTCAAATAACTTCGAGGTGAGTAGTTGTAGCACAAATACATGGGCTGCCATGCTGGCACATGTCGACGTAGCACTCCTACAAACTACCACCGATAAAATATGGGTTAGGGTCACGACGTTTGTCGAAGTTGGTTCCAATCAGATCCTATAAGCGCCAGCGGATCATCATTTCCTTCACACGATGATATTAATTGGTTGACTTCCCGCAAGGGCACTCACCACTGAAATGAGCGCTTGACTTGCGCGCTTTATAGCGTACGGGATAAAACTAATTGGGGAATTATTAGCCAGCCTGAGGTAGGCCTCCGAGAGGCTCCGACGGGGTGATATTAACCGTAACGGCGACAAGCGCCAATCCCCGACTCGTTTTGTTGGAGTGGCACTTGACAGGGCTTTTGACCGATCATCAAAACAAAGCCCTCCTCTACGAGTCGGGGATCATATTTAGTGGAAACGCGAACGATGGCCATATGGGACTCTGACCGTGGTATGCACAGGACGGTTGACGCGCGAGGGATATCTACCTTTGACGTGGTAACCCGCACACTTAGTAATGTCCCTCAAAAAACGAAAGCCGGAAATTTTCAAAGTGCATCCGCTGCTTGAACTCCATCCAGTTCGAAGGCTATCATCTGCCGACAGCCAAGTCTTCTGAGAGATCTTATACAGCATCCACTAGCTAGAGCAACTAACATTGTCATATATGTACCATGTGTCTACATAGAGTGTAACTCTGAAATCATAATAACCAGATTTTCTTTCTTTTCTGAAAGACACATCGAGAAAAGCTGTGGAGCAGAATGGTACACATACACGACCTTAGTAATCCACTTGGAATCGGACCACATATAATTGGGAGGTACATCAGACAATCAAGCCCAATCGATCTCGCCACCGTCTCGGCTGAGGGTGACCAATATCATCCAAAAACGTGTAACGGACGGCGTTGTGTTCGAGAGAAGGGTAACCCATACCAGAAAAAACGCCAGATTGCACGATTATATAGCTATTTCGTACAGTTCCACCTCCTGAAACTACCTCGACAGACCACATTCAAGAAACCCGCATTCACCGCCGAGACACCTCGACTCCACTTCGAACCAGAACAATATCGACGTTATGTTGCATTGCCTCAAGGTCTTGCTACAAAGAGGTAAGCGGAATCGCTACGATCCTCAGAGTTGAAACTTACGCAGGCGATACTGTAAAGTGATTTGAAGAATTCTTTGGAGTAAGTCCTCCCTCGCCTGAAAGCAAATAGACACACGTTTGTATGAGCGCCACTGAGAATGAAATAAACGACGAACAAGTTTTTTCACTTCTTCAAGTTCCTCCTGAAAACGTTGTTCAAACTCTTGTTTTGCTTTCTCCCGAGAAAGCCCAAAAGCCTGTTTCACTTCCTGCTGAGAATGTTCGAAATCTTGTTTCTTCTTGGCCTGAGAGCATTCAAAAGATTCTTTGGCCCTCCTCTCCTTCCTCCGGAAGCGCTCGAACGGTAACTTCGTCATCCAAGTAGACCGGTTTCCTTGATATTGACGGACGGCAGCGCTCACAGCTCCTACATATGCGTGGACGGCAGCGCTCTCAGCTTCTTCATAGGCGTGGAAGGCAGCTCTCTCAGCTTCTTCATATGTATGGAAGGCAGTACGCTTAGCTTCTTCATATGCGAGGACGGCAGGGCGCTCTGCTTCTTTATGTGTGAGAACGGCAGCGCTCACAACTTCTCTTACAGCAGGATCATGTGGAGACGCCATGTACTGCTCGAGAGCGTCAAAAACACAGTGAGCAGACTGCTGCTGGTCCTGAAGATAGCGCCGCGTGTCAAGAATGTAGAAAGAGTGTTCGAAAATGATGAGAGCAGCTAAATGATCAATGATAAGCAGTTTCATTGCAATATCGCCGGAAAATTCACCGGAGCTAAGCTGAACAATCTTCTCCAATGGCGATGAGCCAGAGGCCTGGCAAATTTTCAACATGAGAATTGTGTGTAGTCTGTGACCAATTGGACATACCACAGAGAGTAACCTAGACCCCATCTCTACACGTCGATCGTTGCCAAGCTGGTAGAATTACGATGTTAAGTTGAAAATCATCTCCTTCTGCTGAGGATCAATACACTCACATACTGTCAATGAATAATATCTTCGGTCAGCATGGCCCAAGGTCGAAGGAGGATGAACAAACATACGTCCTATTGATGGATTGGTGATATCGTTCGTGAGCAAAGTTCGGTGATCAAATACTCACTCGCTGTTAAGGGATGCGCAATGTCAGTGATAAACCGAGCTCCCCGACGGATGATAGACACACTGACATCCTGTCAATGGATGAGGAATGCCATTGGTGAGTAAAGCTCGAAGATCAAACACTCACAGTCTGTGAAGGGATGTGCAACGCCAGTGATAAGCACGACTAGACCCAAACAGCAAATCAACCTACTCACAATCTGTCGACAGATCAGCAATGTCTTCGGTCAGCATGACACGAGGACAATGGAGAATGAACTTACACCCTGAAAACACGTTAATGGGCAAGGTGGTAGGTCGACAGAGGATGAACACACTCACAAGCTATCGACGGATAAGCAATTTGTAGGTGAGTATGGCTAAAGATCAGTGGAGGATTAATATACCGACATTCTGCAAACGGATCAACGATTATTTCAGTCACCAAGCCTCGAACTTGGCAAAGGATTACTACACTCACAAGCTGCGAACCATGGGCATTGGCTTGGATCAGCATGACTCGAGCTCGAACGAGGATCAAGACACTCACAGCCTGCGAACAGTGGGTAATGACTTGGATCAGCATGGCTCGACCTCGAACAAGGATCAAGACACTCACAGCCTGCGCACAGTGGGCAATGGCTTGGATCAACATGGCTCGAGCTCGAACGAGGATCAAGACACCCACAAACTGTGAACGGTGGGCAACGGCTTGGATCAGCATGGCTGGAGCTCGAACGAGAATCAAGACACTCACAAACTGTGAACGGTGGGCAATGGCTTGGATCAGCATGGCTCGACCTCGAACGAGGATCAGACACTCACACCCTGCGAACAGTGGGCATTGGCTTGGATCAGCATGGCTCGAGCTCGAACGAGGATCGAGACCCTCACATCCTGCGAACAGTGGGCATTGGCTTGGATCAGCATGGCTGGAGCTCGAACGAGGATCAAGACACTCACAGACTGCGAACGGTGTCAGCATGGCTCGAGCTCGAACGAGGATCAAGACACTCACAAACTGCGAACGGTGGGCAATGGCTTGGATCAGCATGGCTCGAGCTCGAACGACGATCAAGACACTCACACCCTGCGAACGGTGGGCAATGACTTGGATCAGCATGGCTGGAGCTCGAACGAGGATTAAGACACTCACACCCTGCGAACAGTGGGCAATGGCTTGGATCAGCATCGCTCGAACATCAACGAGGATCAACAGACGTACTGTCTGCAAGCAAAAGCCCAACATGAATGAGAGCAACTTTCAAATATTCATATGATCTTACCGAAATATGTGGAAACCAGCTACCCAACTTTGCTATTGCATCCTCAGATGAGATTTTCTCATCAGAGGCAACAATATTTGCAAGTGCGCTGAACAATAGTAAAACAACACTCTCGGCAGTCGAATGAGCTTATGAGCAATTACCTTTCTACTGCATATTTCACGCAGAGCTCCAAGTTGGTTTGCTGAGTTGAGACGAACAATTGCTGAAGGACTTCACTGTCCAGAGTTTCAGCCGTGCGCTCGATCAGTAGCCCACAGTCTGCATCATCCTTGTGCATGTCTGATGGATCAATGGTCATCATGTCTCGCAATTCAACAATTCACCACTTACCAGAGAGGCATACGTGACATTTTGGTGGCCGTCGAATATCCTTGGAGTGGTAAAGAAACTTCAATTGCGACCAGTTCGCAAATGTCTCCTCGGCGCGCTTCGGAGCCAGTTTCTTGGCGTCCTTCCTCGATGTTCCGCCTTCTATCAGTTGTGTGAATTCGTTGGCGTAGAGTGCATCGAATTTCGTAAATATTGCGATCACTGGGACTAAGAAACGAAGTTGTGAATCAGTAGGTCAACAGGCAGATGCGAAAGCTTACTGCTTCCGGTATCACAGCGGGAGAAAAATTTGAGTTCAGCTTCGGTGAACGGCCTGCTTGCTTTATCCATTGGGATACAGTACCTAGGTCAAAGAAGTGAGCCACTGCATATCGCCAACTTGGCTCATTACCATATTGTGTGAATACGATCCTTTATGACTTCTTTCTTCGAACGTTCTGTGATAAATGCGTTCACCCCATCATACTCGGATTCGCCGCCTGCTTCAAAACCACGTGAATCGTGAAAGATGAAGCCTGGGTTTTTTCGAAACACCATTTCGTGCTCGATGTCGTGTTCCCCACGCTGAGAACACGTTAGTTCATGTTGCTAACGTTTGACGATAGTAGACGTTACCCCTCTGGATTCCTCCAAAACGACGTCGATCTGATGTTGATGGACAGTCATCACTATCATGATCGTACTAGCATCACGATGCGCACCTTCTCCCCGGCACCATTAAATATATCTGGGTTCTCTTTGGTATTGCAAACCCTCTTTAGGATGGTCGTTTTTCCTGCGTTCGCTCTTCCTATGATGAGGATTCGAAAACGAACGATTTTCTCTTTTATCTTTTCAGGATCCATGGATGAACTTGAAGGTGCTATCGATGACATATTAGTAATGCAAATTGATTTGCACTCGCGTTTTGCTGCTGAACCACTGCACGGAAAGTGTCAAAAATTAGTGTAACTTGTAGGTAGAGGTCTGTAGAACTACTCACAAAAATCAGTGATTTTTTTAATGATGGTGTGCGCGCAAATGCGACGGCAAGTTTCTCTCCCTCAAATTTGCATTGTATCACACGATGTCACGCTTAGTAGCAGCAGGACGCGTCAGCGTGCGAGCAATGAGAATTGTTCAGCACTGGGAGTAGGTTTATAACCACTAGTACTATTGTGGAGAGCGCCCTAATCCAGTGGGCAATGGGAATACCGGTACCATGAGGCGTACACGAATCGCCGCCGGTCCCCGACTCTGCTACGCAATTGTAGCCGAGAGTGCGCCATGAGACATGTTTCGTAACTCAAAAATGAAGCAGAATTGAATAAGGATGAAAAATGCGAACTGTAGTTGCAGCAAAGGGTACGACATGATAACTCAGCTGGTTATGAAGGAACACAACCGTCAAATTCGTGATTTGTAATGCAGGATGGCCTTGGTCTGACTGGGGATTAATAACTTAGTAATTAAGCGACTTAAAATAGTTTATTCTGCACGGTAGAAATACATCGTAGCGTCTATCTTTAATCAACCGAACATCCAATCGTCTAACCGCATGAAATTCCTCAGGCATGAGCTTTGCGCAAAATCTGGACCATCTTTTTAGTATCGCCAAGATTAATCGTAATGTATTAACGTACCGAAGTTATCGTTCGGATTGCATGAGCAGTGTCCTTCTCGCCACTGTTTACCCTGGGGACAGTGAGCAAATTCAGCGTGTTTATAACCTTTAAACGGATCAGTTATGACTACGAAACGATATGACCAAAGCTTACCGATATCTTTAAAGAAATGCAATTGATCCTTGCGAGCAAATAAGGCTGCGGCGATGCTATGAACAGGTGCATCCCCCCATCTCTGTGTACGGTCAGGCGACACGAACAGAAAAGAGATATCTTAAACTCACCTCATAGTAAAACCCTCCTGCGTTCTCGAGATAGTCAAAGAATTTTGTGTAAGCTTCGCCCCTCCAGAAATCCATATCCGCAATTTCGAAGTTTGACCAAACTGAGGGCGTCAGTTGCTTTTTTTTCCCACCATAATATTGAGCGGCTCTTACAGTGACACATGTTGAAACTATCGCCGGCATCATCAGATATAAAATCCATTGCGTTGTCGGGTGACACGTATTGAGGGAATTCCGAGATGAACTCTGGTAAATAGGTTCATCGTCGAGCTACCGAGCATGATAATCAGTGCTTACCTTGCACTATCGACCACAGCGAGATTATAGTAGGTGCCCATTCTGTTGAGAGCGTGATTCATGCTACAAAAGATACAGCGGGAATGCTAATTTACCTGGCATTGAAATCGTGAAGCCTGGTCGTGGACATAAATTTAGCAGCTCAACTACTGTACTGTGAATAACTCACCATAAACCTTGTCATGATCTTCCATGAATACAAAAGGGTCATAGTCCAGGTCACAGTAAAATCTGACGTCGGGTCTACAAAATAAATCAGCACTCAATTCATCTGGCATGCTGAACGACTGACTCTACTCTCCAGTACCACTTGTATGGCGTTAAGAGTTCATGGCGGAAAAAGAACTGCACAGAAATTAGTTGAAAGAACTATCATTCATGAACCCGCAACGCGAAGGACCCACCCCTGAGTTAAACCGACACATATTACGGTAACTAATGGCCAAGTATGAGACACGACCTGAATGGGTTGCACGAACATACGCACGAAACACTGCCTGTGGGTTCAGAGGTAAGATAGTAAAGGAGGGCAGACCAATGCTAGACTTGCCGCCATAAATTACGCCTTCTTTCACTAGCATATTGCGTCCCGCCTGAGCTCGCCCTTCATCTATCCAGTCCGGTTGTACCCACATTTCGTGAGGGATTAGCCCAAAAGACACATCTGCATCAGTCAACACGCTGACACGCCTGAAAACACATGATAAACCAAGTGCGCTAAATGGTGACACGGTATACCTTTTGAACTCAGAAGAGAAGGGTTGGTCATTCAAAAACACCCAGGGGTATTTGAACTTGCGATTGAACTTGGCCTCCAGCTGTTCTACACTTGATATCACGCCGTCGAGATCGCTGTTGCGCGCGAGCATCACCAACGTAGCGTTGGCTCTGCGGGGAGAAGATACGTCATGTGGAGTGATATTGCCAAAGGAGGGTGATGGTTTGCTCTGTGCTGGAGCCGATCCGAGTAGTAGTGGGGTATCGCTTGTCTGTTCGACACTTGTAGAGTCCTTGGACTGTCCTGTGGACAAACTTTTGGCAGACGAGTAATAGTCTTCGGGTCCCATACTCATAAAATAAAATACACACAACTATACGCGAAGCTGAGGGTAAGGTGACGGGGCACTCGGATATGGCTTTGACATACCACAGCGATTAACGCAATAATGATAAATCTGCGATGTGCTGCAGTTAATAAAGGAAGGACCATGTTTTTTGGAAGGTAGTCTGTATCCCAATGGGACAGCGGGCACTACTTAGTGTCGAGGGCTGGGGGCCGAAAAAGGTTGAGAGAGAAAGCAATCTATAAATATTTATGAAGCTCGGGGAACCGAAGAACCTGTGACGTTCACGTTCCAGATCACGCACGCCCATACTTGCCGTATGTTAACGCAGGTATACCGTACCACTGGTAGATTCTGGAGAAGGGTTATATCTATGAGCCTAATCGTCATGGAGTCGTATATCACCGTGGTCAAGTACTGTGATGGACTACTTAGTTGTGGTAGTACCGTAAGAAAACATTCATACCTTCCTTTTCAGGTTTTACTGTTACCGCCACCTTCATGATTTTCGCACTTCACTAAGAAACTTAGTGCTGCACCTTGCATGGCAACATGGATCCTCAGCCAACCACCTTGGCTGCATGCTAGCCGTGTGCGCTTACGCCTAGATGTTCTTCCACCAAGAGTTTGGTCTCAAGCACGCAACAGACTCAATGCATCTCTCGCTATCTCGACCCAGTCACCATCCTCCATCGAGGTCGAACACATGCCTCTTCCACGTCAAGCACCTGATATGTCGGTTTTCGAGGAGATGACTACAGAGTATACCTCGGCCGTGTCTCAGTGTTCATCCGTATATACCCCACAGACATCGTCTGCGACCCTCGTAAATCTTATACGTGCGGGGGATTACGCAGTTGCGGACTCATTGCGAAAAGAGATGGTTGATCTCAAGATACCCATTCAACCGCACACAATCTACGAACGGGCAGCGAGAGCTGTTCTTCAGACGAAAGGGCTCAAAAATCGAGCCGAAGCGTTTTCGGCATGGCTTTCGTTGGTGCCTACTGCGACAGAACAACGGAGTACATTCAAGGATATCCGCCAGCAGCTCTTTCGTGGATCGAACTACCTTAATATCTCACTCGTCATGCGCTTCGGTCTTGCCATGGCATCAAAAGGGTATCTTGCTGCTGATGCACAGTCGCAAGTGTTGAGCACCCTTGCCCGCTATGCGAGTCCTGCCACAACTGAGAAGTATCTTTGCCAACTGGAAACAGCGGTAGAGGGTCTCTCAAAAACAGGCCACGTGGAAGTCACTCCAGAACAATGGGCAAATATCTACAGCCTCGTTATCAGAAACCAACTTCTCGCTGGCCGAGCGGAGCACGCCCTTCAACTTACGCGCGTCGCTGCAACACGCGGACGTCAAGTCACAGACTTCACGTTTAAATTCCTCTTAGAGCACTCCCCAGACGAAGCATTTACAGCCAGCGTCCATGAATTACGCAAACAAATATCCAGTAATCCTTACAGCATCCCAGACGTTTGGCATAAGCGCACTTGTTCTAACACCGACACCCTTACCCTGGCTTCCCGTCTGCGTTATCTCCGACGCGCTATAATCTCAAAGAACCCTCCCACTTCGTACTCCCTTTCCGAATTCATGAATGCCTACCATGCCACCGGGCGTACACGTGCCTTACTCACTCTGCGGAAAAAAGCTTTCCAGCACTCTCACAAAGCCAAGTCCCTATGGGTCATGGCAGAGATGCTCTACCACCGTTCCCGCAACGAGCCTCAACTCACCCTCGTCGTCTTCGCATACCATTTCCACATGATCGGCGTCCCTCGTAGAACTATATTAAAAGTCATGAGACTAATATCTAAGCGCCGTGCTTCGCTTTCCCAAAGAACATCGCTTCCAAAGCACATGTTAAATCACCAATACGATATCTCAGAGAAGCTATGGCCGACACCCTACCACACTGCTCTCGTATGGGAAGCGCTTGTTTGGTCAACGCAAGAGCGCGATCACGAGCGCATGTACAAATATCTCCTCGCCATCGCAGATTCAAGCACCTCACAGACGCCCATTTCTGAGCCCGGCTCCAAATTCGCGCCATCATTGCTGCAGCTCCCAAAGCGCGCCGTCGATGCGGCTCATTTTTCGCCCTTCATAAAGCTGCATGCCAAGCGCGGTCGGCCGGAGCAGGCGGCGGGCGTCTTGGGGGATATGGTGAAGTTTGGGTTGAGACCTGGGGTCGTGCAGTGGAGTATTGTGGCAAGAGGGTTTGCTGAGTATGGGGATCCGGCTGTGGCGGTCTCTATAATCGAACGGCTTGAGGAAGATGATGTATCGCAGGTTCAGGCAGGCACGAGCGTTGATCAAGCGGACCGAGCGCCGCCGATTCTGGACATTGGGCTCTATACGAATGTACTCAGGGGGTTCGTCCTTGCAAGGAGGTTGGAGCATGCACAGGATATGGAGAGGAGGATTCGACAGAGATTTGAGTATGTCGATGGCGAGTTGAGGGCGACGGATGATGCACTGCATCTGCTGCGGAATCTTGAAAGACAGACGGCGAGTTGACGGGAGGCGGTACGAGTATTCTTGATTGTTCTAGCGTAGATGAATTCAATAAGTTTCACAGCTCGTGATTCTAGAGGCCAATGAATTGAGTTGCACGACCAATACCTCATTTCACACACGACTTGATCCCGCATTTGCACGAAGTTGGCTGGATAAAAACCAACTATGGGTTTGATGACGCGGGCTGCATGGAAAAACCAATCGCAGACTGGACCCTTCTCCTGTCACTAGCCGCGGATTAAACCGGCGTGCTCGTTTGTGTACTACCACGTACAAGTCGTTTTCCCCTCTGAAAGACGTACGTCAGACTGGTCACGAGCCTAGGGACGATGACAGTGAGTACATAATACAGCTGCCCCAGGCCTCCCTGGCTGCTCCAATATTTAAACTCCATGACAGGATAGCATGTTGTAGTATGCCCCACCCGTCGCCTCTATTGTCCATGTCCACACCTTTCTCCAGTGATGAAGCTGCATTGCAGGCTCCCGCAAGCGCCTCGCAAACCGACAAAAACTCTGTAGATTCTGGCCTTGACGACCACTTGGATGCGCCAGATTTTCCCGAAGGTGGGTTTACAGCTTGGGGCACAGCGCTGGGCGCGTAAGTGCTTTTGTATCTATCGCTTCATGCTCGCAACCAACCACTCTCTAGTTTCTTGATCCAATTCTGTGGCTTCGGGTAATAGTCGACTCAAATATTTGTGCCCAGACTACTAAACGCGTTCCAGATATACCAGCGCTTACGGTGTCTTTCAAGGCAAGCATCTTTAGGGATTGTGTTACAGAACGAGCTGACAATCCCGATATGCAGACTTTTACACTCAAACATACCTGACCAATTCCACGCCATCTGAAATCGCGTCAGTGAGCTATAGACTTGAGTCATTTCTTGCCTGCCAGCGTTCTGACATCTACGGGCGTATAGCTGGATAGGAAGTGTCAATGCATTTTTAATATTATCAGTCGGTCTCGTGTCAGGAAGGATGCTTGACCGGGGCGCATTGTATGTGTGCAAGAAGTTCGCATAAATATGTCCCTGATCATACATTTTCAGCTACCATGCGATGAAGATCGGCTGTCTCCTCCAATGTTTTTTCCTCTTTATGTTGTCCCTGGCGAAGCCAGATAGATATTATCAAGTAAGTCTCGTTTCTGTTACTACGTGGCTTCATTGACCGAATTGTCATATAGATCTTCCTTTCCCAAGGTGTCGGTGTCGGTTTTGCAATAGGCCTTACGAATGTTCCCTCCATCGCTGTGGTATCGCACCACTTCCAGCGACGCAGAGCTTTCGTGATGAGCTTTGTCGTTGCGGGGGCGTCAACGGGTTCAATCCTGCACCCCATCATGCTTAACAACCTCATCAATGGAAGACTTGGCTTTGCAAATGGTGTTCGTGCAAGTGCAGCCTTGATTGGTGGCCTGCTTTTCATAGCAAATCTCCTGATGCGAACGAGGCTTCCACCGCAATCAAAGGCCGTAAGTTACACACGCGTTCTACGAAAATCGTCGAGAGATGGTGCGTATGTGTGTGCGTGTTTAGGGTGCGTGAGTCACTGCTGATGACATGAACATTATAATTGATTCCACTGCTTAGGATGGCTTTGTACGAAGCTGGTTACTTTTACGAAACCTTTTATCTCCAGTTGGACTCCACTTTGCACGGTCTAAGCCAAGGATTTTCATTTTATTCAGTGCGTGTGCCAGAGACTACTTGAATAATAAGGAATTACTCATCGCCTTTCAACAGCTCACAATTCTTCATTCTGGTTCTTTCGTTGGCAGACTGACTGCGGGTGTTATCTCCGCCTACGTGGGCATCCCAAACACGGTCATCGGCTCTTCGTTAATATCATCTGCTGTGATATTCGCAATGACCGACTTGCACTCAATGGCCAGCGTGGCATTGATAGCTATTAGCTATGGTTATTTTTCCGGTGGCGGTGCGTAGGTTCTTGACGTTCCTCTGACAACTCACCAAGTTCAACCCACAGTTGTAGCAATGATAGGCCCATTGATATCGTATCTGACCCCTGAAATCTCAGACATCGGGTAACCACTTTACGTATGCCTTGGGATATAATCTGACAAGCTGCTCAAGCGCACGGATGGGGATATTATTCGCGATAGGTGGTAAGTTCTGCGGGTCTGGACTCGGTGACGTTCTGACATGTGTTCATAGGTATTGGATCGCTCACAGGCACGTGAGCCATTTACTTTTTTTTTCACCCGTCACTTCACGTTCAGCTTAGGGGCGCCGATTTGCGGGGCTTTCTTAACTTCGCATTATATCTGGTGGAAGGCCGCTGTCTTTGCTGGGGTGAGTGGATTGTGTCAAGCTGCGCTTTTATTTTTTATTTGGCTAATACACTATGGATAGAGCGTTGCTACTGGCGGGAGCATCATGTTCGCATCCATGCAGCTGATCTTGAAGATGCGTCAAAAGACTGCAAGTGTCTGTTCCAAGGAAGCTGGTGTCTGATTCAAAGCGTGTCAAGTTTCCCCGCCTCCCTACGATGGCAAGTCTTCTATAGGATCGATTCGATCCCACATATACTGTAACATAACTGTGGAGCGAGCATGTGAAACGAAGCTACAATGTATAATACTGAAACGTACGTCCGTGTACGTATATATGATAAAGCTACGTCGATACTGAAGTCTTTGAGCGTCCGATCGGAGTTGGGTGATATCATGACAGTAGCTGATATACAACAGGCATGATGTATGTAAGTGATATAGCTTCTGACGGGGAAATAAGTACGCACTGGCAGGAGAATGCAATGGATCATAAACAAGAACATGCACAAAATTATGAACGATGTAGGGTGCGAACGAAAGAAAGAAAGCCTGGTAGGAAAGAAAGTAAATGAAGTGGGAAGGGGAATGATTCAACTTGTTTTTCGGATATGAGTATATGCAGGGGGAAGTTCAACAGTGTCTGGCTCGCCCTCGGCCTGCTCGTCCGCGGCACCTGCGTCGTCGTGCTGAATAATATTAACAGGCCGGAGCCTTGGCATAGGAGATTTGCGGGAGCTGCTTGGGATGGTACTACCACCAGTGATGCCCATCTCATAGTCAGGCGTCGCAGACCGGATATCGCTGAAGCTCGTGATCCCAGACTGTCTACGATCCGAGGTGCCGTAACGCGAGCCCGACATGACGGTGCCAGCTCTGACGTCCTCACGTGCGTACATAGAAGACGTCTCTGTAGGTTCAGTGGCGAGAAAGGGTTCAGGACGGTAGTAATTCCCGAGTTCACCGGGCGTTGGATCTTGATCGTCTTCTGGATCACCTTGGAGGAGGTCGACGGGTCGTTCCTTGATGACCTTGTGGGCGGTTCTGCGACGGATAAAGTAAAACCCTGCGAGCGCAAAGATGACGATTGCAGCAAGGCCGCCGATAACGCCGCCTAGAATGCGTGAGATGGATATTGAGGGAGCGGATATGAAACGAGCTTACCAACTATTGCGCCGACATTACTTTTGCTGTCGTGGAGATGAGTAAAAATAGCCATCCATGTGGTGAACAACATGGCCTACCTGCTGCTGGTGGCGCCGCCGGTGGTTTCTGCACCGCTGGCGTTAGTTGGGTATGTACCACCTGCAGGAAGACCGGTAGTGGATGAAGGCGAGGCGGTGGTCAAACATGAGCTGTTGGGATATATGCCTTGCGAGACGGTATACAGCCCGCTTCCTCCTGTACCAAGCCCACGGTCGTCTCCAGCGACTATAATGAGTGTCGAGCCCTCGCGGACAGAGGGTATCCAACTGAACCCAGTGCCCTCGTTGGATACCTGCGTTATCTGGCCTTCGGGAATTGAGAAGGATTGTCCACCAGGAATGACACCCTGGAAGGATGGGGTGCTGTTGGGACATGTTGTTCAAAGGAAGCTAGTATAAGGGAGATAAGAGCGCACCCTTCGACTTCAGTAGGGTCCCACCACAATCTACTTGCGTTGCATTGTACGACCTGGTTGGTAGGGTATATGTTGAATGGGAAATCTGGCATGACCGTTGCAGTTGAGTTGAAGCAGCTGCTGTCGGTACTGCTCATCACTGAAGCAGCAACGCTGGTTCCGCCAGATCCAAAACCAGTGCTATCGCTGACCTACATAAGAGTGAGCTTGTACACACAAGATGTGGCGCAAGTGACGAGACTCACCACGGCGACGAACTGGGATGTGGTCGGGTATTTGAGCTGGAAGCTGGTGGTGGTGGAATCACCACTAAACTGTTGGTACACAATGGTGCGTGCCTCTACGTTATTCGGGAGAGGTGTTGGTCCATAGGGAATAATTAAAACGCTGTATGGAGGAGAGCCAGAGCCAGATATCTGTAGAGATAAGGTGGCGCATTGCTGAGGTGTGGTAGTAAAGGACCAAGTGTAACTGGAGACGAGAGGAAAGATATAGAGGGCCAGTTGCAATGCAAGTATGAATCGGCGCATGACGGTCGACGTCGTGACCGGGTCGTCAGATATCCACAAGGATCTGTGTTCAGACTTTGTCAGACTTAGTTCAGATTCCTGGGTTCATTCGTAGACGCAAGGAAAGCCTTGCGATCTTGGACGTTTCGTAAAGTTGGACACGGTGTGGATAGCCCGTTCCAAGACTTTGCTGGAGTGGGCACGGCTTGGACACGCCACACGGTCGTAACCAGTGAAACACAAAATAAGCGCTCCCTAGGTACGAAACTCCGATGCTGTCATGCACGGGCCTCCATTTCTGATATTAAGCACTGACCTGCTATCTGATAGTGTATCGACCACTTATACAAGGTCTATTACAGAGAAAATCATTGATGAACTATATAAAGGACATCTAAATTCCCACGCATCACCTTCTCGAGGATCGACGCCAGCCTGCAGCTGCTTCCTCTCGTCCACACACTACACGCTGTATACTATATTCTGTCCACCGCTGGGGACATTATCATTATCTATATATCTTACAAGCATATTAACCGTTAATCAAACCCACAGATTCCTATCGTAATGACTTCGACAGTCGACCAACCTCCTCGTGCGCCCCCCATTAAGTATACCGCTCACCTAGGAACTCGCTGGCAGAAAGAAAAGGCTGCCGCAGGTCACGGCGCCTTCGAATTTCCCGAGGATCCAAGGTATATTGGCCAGTGGATCATTGGCGAGTGTGTCGGCAAAGGTGCAAGTGGTCGCGTCCGCATTGCAAAGCACCGCCGTACTGGTCAACTCGCCGCCGTCAAAATTCTTCCCCTTCAACCAGTAGTCAACTCCCGCGCTTCCCTCGCCACACAGCAGGCGAAATCAGAAAAACAACGGTTGGGTATCGACAGAGAAATTATCATGATGAAACTCATGAACCACCCAAACATCCTCCGGATCTACGATGTTTTCGAAGGCGAGAAGGAACTTTACCTCGTACTCGAGTACGTAGAAGGTGGCGAGCTCTTTGACTTCCTTGTCAACCGCGGAAGGCTCCCTCCTCTAGAAGCTCTCTCCTTTTTCAAGCAGATCGTCTATGGACTAAACTACGCCCACACTTTCTCTATCATTCACCGTGATCTTAAACCCGAAAATATCTTGATTCACTCACTAAAACCGCCGCTCATTAAACTAGCCGATTGGGGCATGGCCGCTTTTGCCCCTCCTGCCCTACAGCTCGAGACTAGTTGTGGAAGCCCTCACTACGCAAGCCCGGAGATTGTCAATGGCCTGAAATATAGAGGCAATGCCACTGACATTTGGAGCTGCGGCGTTATCCTCTTCGCTTTACTTACCGGCAGGCTTCCATTCGACGATAAGAATGTCCGGATCCTTCTTTCCAAAGTTAAGGCGGGCAAGTACGACATTCCAGCCTACATCGATCCTCAGGCAAAAGATCTCTTGACTCGCATGCTTGTAGTAGATGTCAACCGTCGTATTACGGTAAGTAGCAGCTCTTTGCTGTTCTCAATGTCATCAAACCCCCTCAGATTCCCGAAATCATGGCCCACCCTTGGTTCAACAAATCAACACCTGGGATTGTCTATGTTCCAGCTCCCTCTGTCGTTGAATTGGCTCTTCCCCTGCCGTCAGCGGCCCGTATTGACCCTGATCTTTTGGAATCTCTCCGCGTCATCTGGGGGAGACATGGTGACATCGAAACGATCAAAGCCGACCTCTTGAGCCCAGCAGGCGAAGGCACATTGGCCAAGGCGTTCTATTTCTTGTTGCAACACTACCGCGAGCAGACTTTCAAAGATTATGGTATCATTCTTGATGTAGGCGAGGCACCTGTTTCTCCCGGCATAAAGGTTATTACAAAACAGTACATGTCACCCCCTCCGAAGAGAAGCGTCGATGTAGATGCATATTCTCTACGTTTACGGAGTAGTCGGGATGCGCCCCCACCTCCTTCCCGCACGCCATCGCCCCAGCAACCTGGTCTGGCGTCTCCTTTCCTTGGTGGAACTTCACGAGCCCGACCTCCGTCCCCGATTGGACCCAGACCACATCGCGTCCGACCTATGTCTTCCCCTGTCCGCGAGGCCCCTACACGTCATAGGAGCATGAAATCTGGCCACATCACTGAACCTGCGAATCCCCACCCCGAGCCCCAATACAGGACGCGTGCATCAACCGTCTCCCTTCTCTATCCTCGAGCGAATCAGGATCAGCACGGCTATCTCGCTCATAACCAACAAATGTTCCAGCCCTTGACTGTTCCGAGCACACCGCCAATGGGGTCCCGCTTTCCTGGCGCTCCTGCACACCCCGCCCTCAACCCTTGTATCCTCCGAGCTCCTGTTCCAATCTCCGCTGTTGCAAATGAACAAGTATCAGCGAACTCAACGGAGGTTGAAATGCAGTCTGCGACGGGCTCTGATCCGGATTGGGTGAATGTTCTTTCGGCGTGGCAAAGCGTAACACAGGGGCGCAACCAGGAGCAAGCTTACCATTCTCCGACTCAAGGATACACCGAGGCATTTGTTAACCGTCACGGCTATGCCCCTTTGAATGAGCCTACGGTCGATTATGAGTATCACCAATTCCCCAGCGAAACTAATAAGGAAAATCATGATCATCATAACTTCCGACAGCCTTACCTGGAGGTCATGCAGACACGTGGTGGGTTGTTTGGTGGTAGGCTCAACGAGGCACGCGTCGGACGTGAGTTGCGCAACAGTATCTATGGCGCTCGTGAGGTCATGAAAGAAAAGGACAAAAAAGCACGACGTATGTATTTTTCTTTTCCCCTGCTGTCTTTAAAATATTAACATTTTACCAGCCCCAGCGCTTGACCTCCACTCACCAGCCCACCCATCCAAACGCTCCATCCTCGGGTCACCACTCCAGATCTCCTCACCCGTTATGCCCTCTATCCTCTCCACCCCCGTCGGGGAAGTCAAAGGCTGGTTCTCCAACCTCTTCAACTGGAAAGCACACACCTACGTACTCTGTTCGACGGACACGATGTACGCCACGCGTAACGAGGCCGTTCGCATTCTCGAGCAGTTCGGTGTCATCGTCGGCCTTGAGGAGACGGATGGGCATGGGGTTCTCCGATGTCGCTTGAATGACCTTGTTGATACTATGTCCGGGTCGGTCGTGCAGAAACAAGTTCGGTTCCGAGTCGAATTCTCTTCCTCATCGTCTTCGTCCTCGTCTTCGCAGGGGCACCCGCAGTCCCCCACCCCTGCATCCAGTCCACGATTGCCCATGTATCATGCTTCAGGACCGATGTCGCCTACATTTCGATATGGGTTTGGGAAGCCTTCGTTAGGAAGCGGGTTCACGTGCGCAATCGTGCTCGTGCAGGAGAAGGGGTCGGTGTCTAGCTTTAGGATGGTGTGTAGGTGGTTGAGGGAAGAGTGGGCGCTGGATGCTTTGCACTCACCTGTTGCTGGGGCCGGGGCCTTTGTGGAGAGATTTGTGTGAGGCGGCGATATTTGCATACTATTTCACCTCTGTCCTTACTTGATCAAGCGCGGAATATCAGACGAATCCTGTACAGTTCATGGCATTTTTAATAATTTGCACCCGATAATTTAAGAGTACGGTATCGGTACAATGAAGATCCAAGAGTGAAACGAAACTAGACATAAAACAATACGAGTAATCAGTACGAAAAAAAATTGAGTGTTCGTAAACAAGGAGCCAACCACAAACATGGCCTTAGTAACCCAGCCTAAACCATATAGAGTACTACATCAGCCTACATCAGCCTACACATCACATACAACAAACACTGGTCGAGCCATCGATCCCTAAACAATTGACGCAGGCACCTCTGTGGGATGCTGGGTTTCTGTGCCCTCGGCGGTGTGCCCGCCATCAGAACGTGCCACGCTCAGACGCATGAGGCCTGAGCGGAGACTATTAAACATGCGACCAGATGCTGGTGCTCCGGTGGACAGAGGGTGCTCGTCATCCTCGTCCTCACGCTCATGGTCGTGTTCGTGTTCGTGTTCGTGGTCGTGCTCGTCATCTTCATGCTCGTGCCCATCGATGGATGTACGATGTTCGTCGTCAGATATATCCTTTGTCGGAGGTGCCGTTGATATCCGCAAGAGCGAGGTGTAAGCTGGGGATGTGCACGATATGTCAGGCAAGACGCAAGTAATATAAATGTCGCTTACGTTGACGGCAGACGGGGCAGAACCAGCCTTTTGCCTTTCGCTTTCTCCGGATGTTCTGGGAGATCGTGGCGGGTGTTGGAGCTGGAGCTTCTGTAGCGGAAGTTTCACCGCCCGTGGTTGCAGTTGTGGCTTCGTCGGTGTGGATAATGTTGCCGCCTGCACCGAATTCAACCATGTTGATGGCACATTCCTTGCATGCGACGAGGTGGCGGCAAGGTAGTAAGATTACTTCACGCGGGGAAGAAAGGCATAGTAAACACTCGGATGATGGCTCATCTTCGTGCACAGGCGCTGCGGGTGCAGACGCGGGCGGGTAAGTGTGTGCGTCCGCAGCGGGAGAAGTCGCCTGTGGTTGAGAGGATGAGGTAGACTGAGAGGAAAGACCGTAAATCTCGTGCAGCTGGAATGTGTGAGGTCCAATCTTTCGAATCATGATATGAATATATCATCAAAAGTGACCAGATGTAAAACGCACTGTGGCTTCACGCTTCACGACCTTGACGACCCAAGGCCTAGAGTCATCTTTTTCGTCCTCGGGAGGAGCGCCAAAACGGACGACATGGAGGTATGTTACTTGCTCGTTAGCCACAGCCAGGTCAATACCATCCTCGTCCAACGCCGACAACCGGATAGTGACCCGGACACCGTCCTCCAAGTCCTCTTTATTCTCCTTCTCATTACTTCCTTCAACGGTGGGCGCAGATGCTTCTACATCAACGACGGCAAGTGCAGGTCCTGACACAGACCTGTCAGCGGAACGCTTCCGGAAATTGAATCCCGTAAAGCGTTTCCGTACACGTTCATTCCTGCTGCTAGCAGGAGCGGAATCAACGCCATCTGCTGCTCGGGATGACTCGGGGGCTCCGATCGCCTGGGAAGAGGCGGTCTCTGCCTCGGTCTGCTTTTGCTCAAACCTTCCTAATTCGAGGGTTGCACCTTCTTCTAGCTGGAGCATTTTACCAAAACCTCCGTCAACGACGGATTCGAAAACAGAGATGCACGAGTAGCCTGTGCTATCTATGGTCTCTGCAAAGGGGTGATCTCCAGGTAGCACCACATTGACGTTTATGCGACACTTGGCTGCGTCGCAATCGTATTCGAATTCCAGGCCGTGGTGGTGGTGAGAATCGACATGCTCCGGATCATCTCCCGGTGAGATAGTCAAAGGACACAAGCGGAGCGTCGGCCGCTTGAGATTAACCAACGCCTGGAGAGTAGTTGTTGGTTGGGAAGGCTGTCCATGAGTCAGTACATGAGGCAGGACATTAGATGATACTTGAAACACCTCTTTGCTCCTTGTAATCCAGTTCTGGATGATGTGAGAAGAGACGTTATCTGCGGGAACCTTCTGTCCCATGGATTGAGCCCACTGGGGCGAAGCGCTGACAACACCAATGTTGGGCCCAAAGAGGGTCTCCTGTTTCTTCTCCTTCTTGGTTGTGGTATCCTCCATGTTGATGATGACGGCATCCTGTGTATTTGTACGAGCCATGGAGGTAGCAGTACGGGATGTGTGGGTATCTGTGCGAGCTAGGTAAGGAGTAGCGTGTAGACGACGAGTGCGATTCCAAGTTGAATACTGATTGTGATCTGCAAGTCGTTGTGTGATTAACAGTGAAAGAACCGAAAGAGGAGGTTTTAATTCTTACACCAAGTAGAAATGGAAGCCATCCTCGTGGGTGAGGATAAGGAAGCGCAGCAGGGTTCTCAAGTGCTAACAATGGCGGTATAGGCTGTGGGAAGAAGCCGATGCTCCTGCCAACCAATGATGATGTTTGAAATTAGACTGCAGTGGTTCTCAATTGATCATCCTCTGATCTTCACCGACTTCATCATTCACAGATAATTAATCATGTTTCAGGCATGGGCGCTCTTATTGCAGCATGTCATAGTATCATGGTGTGTGATATGTAAAAGAAAAAAAACAATGATAAAAGGAGCCTATGCCACTAGTGACACAACACCACCAGCCTCCTTAATTTTAGCCCTATCCAATGCGTGAGCATACTCTCAGGAATAATGGAGCCTGTCCAACTTACTCTGCTTTCTGCGATACAAAACGGGCCTTGACGATAAAAGGAAGTTTGGGCAGCCTGTCTCAAAGTCAGAATATTTGTACGAGATTAAAGTAGATCACAACGTACTGTCCATTCCCAAGCACTTTTCCGTATCCATGTTGGAGGGTGTCAATGACAGGAACAACCTCAGAGCTCTCCGTCAACCCTTCCTTTTCCGCTGCAGGCACAAGCGTCCATAGTTTATCAACGTTGATGATAGGCCGCCATTGTGTGTTGCGGGTCAAATGGTAGTGGCGCATACCAACTTTACCGAAGTAACCAGGATGGTACTTGTCGAAGTTGGTACTGAGGGTGATCAAATTTAATTCGCTGCAAAGAGCCTGATACCAAATCAAACACACCGGTGGTGGTGCTGACCACCAGCGAGACCGCGACCTCCAGGATGTTTGCGGTGCTTTCCAACACGACCGTGACCGGCCGAGACGTGGCCACGGTGCTTGCGGGTCTTCGAGAGGTGGGTCGGCATTTTCTGCAAAACCAAGCATGCAATATCAATAATCTGAGATCATGATGCATCCGAGTCGGGCCCCATCCATCCAGCAGCAAGAAATCATCTCTCAGCATCACAACACATCCATTCGACAGCTCCGGTCGCGTAGAATCTCCTGCTGGACAAACGGGGTGCAATGAACGAGCATGAACTGACCTTGAGGCGCGAGTGTTGATGTCGATGACCTTGCCTCTAAGTTTCTCAATGTAGAGCCGTCGGTGGTTTGAGCGGAGTTTCAAAAGTCGGCTTTGCAGCCAAACCCCTACATCTCAATATTTTCAAGGCCTTGGTAGCGTACCCTGTGGTGAGTTTCATTATCAATTAGTACGCGAATGATGGCCTTTAAGGCGATATTTATTGTCGGTGAAGAGAGAGAGAAATCCTCTCCTATGAACACATCTTTTTTTTCTGAAACTTTTTGTTCATGATTATTTGTTCGTCTCGAGATTCTGACAATGTCCACCAGATATCTAGTTTGTTGGCCAAGAAAGCAACAGTTGGTGCGAGCACAGGAGCAAAAGCAGGACTCTACGCGATCATCGTCATCGCGTACTGTGTTGAATTGAACGATGTTTGTGACCACCGCGTCCCTCCCTTGCCACTGTGAGCTTATCGTCTCCGCGATGCTCCATTACAGCCGTTATGAACGCACCAAACAGATTTGAGCTCTTTGTCCTTGAAGACGGCGAGAAACCGTGCGTTTATGCCATGTAATCCCAAAGGTAGACACTTGACAGATGGATCACAGCGTCGAGGTCACGGAAGATACCAAAATCCCTAATGCAGCCACTTTCAAGATCGTGAAGCAAGACCACACGTTGGGTAACATGATTCGCGCGTACGTCTCTAATAAGCACCCATGTTCTACCTCCTGGAGTGTGTGAATTGTCTTCCAGGCAAGTTCTTTCGATGCCTCAAGTACTCTTTGCTGGGTACAAAGTACCTCATCCACTCCATCCCTATTTTCTGTTGAAAATCCAGACGGATGGGTCGATGACGCCGCAAGCTGTCCTGGAGCAAGCCTGCACGAAACTCATCGCCACATTATCCTCGCTGGAGGCAAAATTCAAGCGAGAGTTCTCCTTCAAGACGACTGAGGGCACTGTGCCAGAGGACCCATATGGCACGACGGGCGCGAGTGCACAAGGCTGGGGGACGGGGAAGGATTATCTGGACTTCTAGAATTTACATATCATGGGTACCTGTCACATCGTGGTTGTACATGTATACATAAATTGCTTTTGGTGTATGCGCGGGTCTACATGTACACCCCGACCCACACGGATCACCGCGGGAACGTGTGTTTCCCATGGCCAGTGAGATTTCACACTACACATTGGGAACATTAGGTATTAGAGTGATTGCGTGCAGCGAAACGTGATATATGATATATAGCCACAAATACAGCGTAAGCAATGCGGGGAGCCGCAGAAAACACCGTGGATAATTATGCAGCTTTACGTGCAGCAAACTTCGCCTTGGATTTCGCAGCGCGCGAGGCCTGCTTCTCCTGCCAGCTCCGTTTCCTCTCTTGGGTCGTACTAATCCCGACTCCTGACCGCTCGTCCTCGCTCGCCGCCTTAATTGATTCATCTATGCACTCTTCCATTTTCATCTGCACCGCCGACTCAAAACCTCCGCCGGTGGAATTTATAGACCCGTCCACTGTCCATTCGAAATCGAAACCCCATCCACGTCGCAGTAACGGAGCTTGAGTTCCATCCGACCCCATCGGAAGATTTTCTGGAACCGAAGCAGATGCGAGCCCCCCTTCGTTCCGCCACCATTCTACGAACCATTTTGCTGCTCTCACGGTGTCCTTCTCGCCCCCTCGTAACAGCATATTAAGCCGTATCGCCAGCTGCTCCAAAAATTCTTCCGCATCTGTAAACGGTCGACAACCAAGCGGGAGAAGCGTCAAGTATGCTGGTGCTAGATTTCTATCGAGTCAGAAGGCCGCAAGGCAGTACGGCAGAGCAGACGCACATATAGGATTTAATACGTTCAGTCTGTAAAGCAAATATGCGACGAGTCCTTCAATGTCATATAAACTCTCCTTGATGCCGGCTGTGGTGAAGTAAATTTCAGCCAACAGTGCAGCGGTGATTAAATCCATTTTACCTATCAGAGCAAGCTTGACTCCTCGCTCTGCACCTCGATCACCTCTTCCAAGAAATGGTAGCATTACACCGGGCGAGTCGTATGAATATACAAGTGGGTCTTCTGAGAGCTTAAGGCGGGTCGAGAGAGTGCGTGTATGGCCAGGCTGCGCAGATGTCTGGAGTGCCTTAGGTGTCCCTGCGCGGATATGCTTAACTCGTTTTGAGGGCAAGGGTATAATTTAAACTCACGACCTGAGATACCCATATTGCGAAGGGAATTCAATAACGTTGATTTACCAACATTAGGCATACCAATCACCAGGACGTTCATCTCAGTTGCATGAGGGTTCCTCTTGGCTATATCTGCATTTTTGGTCAGCTCCATCGCACCAAGAAAAACACCATAGACATGTCGAAGGAATCAGCGACATACTTACGAGCATCTCGCTCAGGGATTTTATGTCTCGCGGCTTGTTACAAGAAGCAAAATGCACTGTCTGATCAGGGAACTTTGCCTTCATGGCTCTCCTAAAGGGCTACATTTTAAGGGACATGAGCTGGCACGACGAACAGAGGAGGCAAAGAATCACCTCGACGCCCCATTCAGGGACGAAGTCGCGCTTGTTCAAGACGACGATACGCTCGCAAATTGGACCACCATATCCTAAGGACGAACCCCCAGATGTAGTGGGGGAAAGGGGAGCGGCGTGGGTGGAATGGTGTCCACGCTCGGCTCTCCATTTGTTGATGGCACCTGTCAAAAATAGAATCGGTCAGCCGAAAAATGTTGCCGCCGAAAAATAGGTTTGACACAAAAACGGAGCAAGAACGGAGGAGAGACATAATAAGATAACGAACACATAGGTGACAGCGGAAGCAATGATGGGGTGAAACTGAAACCAGACCAAGATGATGTTTTTCTTTCTCAAAGCGGCTACACACCGGGAGCGAGTATGAGTGGGCCGGAGGAGATAAGCTTACCTTCTAGATTGTTGTTAATGCTAGTAAGAGGCAAACGAGAGTCTCTGAGCTCTAGTACAACATCTGTACGGGATAGTAGTGCCGGAAGCTGCTTTGTGAATCTGTTCATGTGTCCAGGGAACCATGACGGTGCGGATGGCAGTGCAGGAAATGGCACGACGGACAGCATGTTGAACTAGTTGGTGAGTAGACAGGAGTGTGAGAATTCAGTTGGCAACAGAACGGGCGGGTGGGTTCCGACCGAAGTGCAGGACGATTGATCCGGGAAAATGGACAGAACTTAGAAGTAAGCTCCGGTCCAAATTGAAACAAGCGATAACCGTAATGCTCACAATAAGGATTGACCTATTGACCTAGCTGTCGTGATCTTTCAGTCGTGTGCTGTTGGTTTGTGACAAACCTAAGAATTGCCAAAGTACTACATGGTATGAACACGGTTGTTTGGTTCTGTTGAATTCTAAAGCCTCCGGCATCTCGGCACAATCATTCCCTGAACGGTGAAACGCATTGAAACGCGATCGCAAGGAGACCCGGTAAGGACCGGGCAGTGCATCAGCATTTCCTGTGATCAATCAGACTTCTATTCAAGCTGTGGATACATATTTTCTCATAAGCTGTATCATTAAGGTACAATTCCAGGTCATTAGGAATTCCATTCATCGACTGACGTCAAAATCCGTCAACATGCATACACATATCTAGCAAAGAGGACCCAGGAATGGAGAAAGGCTGGTAGATAAAGAAAGCCAACACCATAACACCCAACCAAGCAACAGAAACGGAGACAGAGATTCAATGTTAAAACGAACGGGTACAACAAATACAGAACTAGGACCAAAATGATATATGTTTGCATATACTGTAGCTATAGTTATTGGGACGAGCGGGGTAAAGGTGTAGGAAGCCAGCTGAGCAGGGGATAACATGGTGAGGGGTACAGAAAAGGGGGGTAAGTTTCATTTCGGACGAAATCCTTCTGACCTGTGGTGGCTGGTATCAGTGTATTTCCAAAGGGCATCGCGATGAGAAGGGCAGGGGTATGATGCTGTATGCGAGGAGCTGTAGAACATCCATCAAATCAAATTTTACAGCGGCAAATGAAGCGGCAAAATATCGGACCATTTATACCCAACCATCCTTTCCAACACCTATTGCGTCGAAGCTTTTGCCACTGCGTGTGCGTCTCTCCTGCAGCACAGGAACTGCGTCTAAATTGATGAGCTTCTCGGACGGCGGCGGGGAACCCTCCACCCAACCCTTCCAACCCTTCTTCACTGCAATTCTCTTCTTTCGTGGCTGGGCGTTTCTGTAGTGACTCATGGTCTCAGAATCGGGGTAGTCATCCGCCGGGGTGCGGGGGCGCTTTGATGATGTACGGGATGTGGCGGAAGAAATTGACGGTCCGGGGGTAGACTGTGGGGATGATGGCATTGGGGGCGGTGTAACGGACACAGAGCGCTGCATAGTGGCAATGTGTATAGTAGGCCGGTAACTCGTCCCGTGGGCGCGCCAGAAGGAGGAGGGCTGCATGACGGGCGCACTGATCGACTGGACCGCTACGGTGGGCGCCGGTGGAGGCGCAGTGGCGCTCTCCACTTTGATAGGTTTCTCTGGGACCTTGGAGGTGGCCTTTGTCCTTTGTCTCTCCTTTAAGCGTTCCCTCTTCTCTTTCTTTTTATGTCTACGCGTCTCTTCCTCTTTCTCGACCTCCTTGTAAGGTGCTATGCCATTGAGGAGGCTAGTAAGCACGTCCCGGGGAGGACGAAGATCGAAATCGCCAGCGAGGACACTGGTAGCGGTGCGGCGCTGTCGCTTATGCGCCGGAAACATTATTGGGTGGTTGTGGGGAAGCAAACGAAGTGTTGTTGTGAGGGGCATGGAGTAGGGGGAGGTATAAAGGAAAATGCGCAGTGGAGTCGTGTTTTAAAGTAATTCTCATTGCTTGTTGTACACTTACGGCAAAAGGATAAGCACCCACAAACAAATCATCGTTGATTCTTCCACACCATAACCATATCAATCACGGAACCTTCCACGCTTCCTTGGAAGTCCCTAGAAAATGATTATTCTATACGATCAAGGTCACGGGCGGCCAGCTGCGCCAGGCCAGTGGCTCAAACACAAAAAAAATTTATAAAGTTATCTCCCCTCTTGAGAGTTGCGGACCACACAGCCTGCTGCTGTGCAACCTTGCACGTTTTTGGTCCAACACTGCGGTGGTGATACGGTCTGGGAATATTCCAGGAACTTTACTCCCGCCTTGAACTATGATTGGACATAATACTGTTATCCATCGCAATCAGATGAAATCAGTATCCCCTGAATAGTCCTGATTTTTCTAATCCTCTCCATGGCGCTTACATTTGACTTCGGTCAGTAAAAATATCCCTGCGGCTGACCGCACCCGGTGACTCGTAGTTTAGGAACCATTCAAGCCCCGAAGAACAAAGAAGAACGTCTTCCAGATCCCGAGTCTCTCCCGCGCATCCTCCACGACAAACGGATGCCTCACGGCGTTATTGCGGGATGCCGTACCTGTCGAGCCTCAACCTTCGCGCCTTTCAATCGAATTATTAAGACGGTCGCTAATTTACGCACTAGCCCTAGATCTATCCTACTTTGTAGGTTCGGTAAGCCTTCTTTTGCTACCGTAAATCACGCACTGACACACGCGGCTGGCGTGTGCTTGGAGAATCCGTCACTCCGCGATGGTTTCTTCTCTATGGGGCACAACGAGGCATAATACCTAAGTGTTTCTCCTGCCGTGATGGTGGAGCAGATACACGTGAATGAACGTGGGCTTTCATTTTGGAGAACGTGAGCTAACTCAGTCATACAAATTCACTAACTTCACTTGACAGATGAAGGACGCCAATCACAGCCTCAAGGCTAGCGTGCGGCTGCCTGTACATCCAATTTGTAAAAGAATTTCGCCGATTTTTAGGCGGAACACAAAAGCGCAGGTTAAACTCTCTTGAAGGTGATAACCCTGCGAAACAAATGTGCTCAGTGCGGAAGTCTGGTGTAGCCTATTCCTGCGAGCAATCGAGCAGGAAATTTATGCGGCAGAGGTTACGGTCTCCTTGGCCTGTTAAACTCTTCAAAATCTAACCGATAATAAAATGTCCTCGTAAGACGACGCCCACTTTTTGCCTTGACTTCGACGGAACGTTATTGGCCCCAGCATATGCCAAGGAGTTATTGCATAACGACCGTTCCACTATATGGTATTGGAAAAGGGTTGCGACACTTCGAGGCAACCAGATGCGGACTGAATTGCCTCGTCACGAGTCTCAACAGGTCTCGACCGCTTCACTTGCCTCTTCTACTCATTGTGGCACTAGCGTCTCTTGACACCAGATTTCAAACTGATTGAGCTTAGGACACGTGGTGATAATACGGGGTAAAAACACATCCGCGCCTGTTGCTTCTGTCCTTGGTGCTCGGCATTGCCAGCGAAGCGCGGGCGTTGTTACCGAGTATGTTCTCATCCATCTTGGGATCATAACATCCGAGTGGCAGAACCAAAGATCTCGGTTTCAATGTGGTACAGCCTCCTCCTTAATTTGTTGATCACACACGTATCACTATCCAGGGATGCATTCACCTGGCTCACATGAGTCTTCTCAGGGTAGGTGGCTGGGCGTTGGAAGGGTGACGTGCAACTTTTGTCTAGCTGAACTGTGGCTGAATAATATTTTTGTTGATTTACAAGTACCACAAGTTCCAATTGTATTGTAACGGGACCTTCCGAAGGATCCATGAAACATGTATCAATTTCTGAAGCGGAATGCGGTGCGAACACACATTAATACTTATTGGAAACCTTGGGGGGCAGGAACGCTAGCCTCCAGACCAAATAGAGAAATGGTAGTCGTACTTTCTAGGGGAACGCTTCCGGGAACAACAGATCGTAGTCCTCACTACTTTCACAAAGGAAAATAAAAATGGGCTGCCTTCAAGTACGTACGTAAAACCAGTGTAACGCATCTTCCCGATCCATTAATAAAGTTATGTACTTAGACAGCGGTCGTAATATCCAACAAACTGCAGGGGCTAGGGGGTGGCGCAACGCGTGATCTGACGATATTCTGCTCCGTAGGTGCGCGGGATAAACAGCCAGCAGGATTGTCGAGCTGGTTTGCAAGTGGATGTTGAATGTTTCAATAAGTCTTTGCGCAGAAAAAAAATCAGGATATAGGGCTACCCTGAGGACACCAATTAAATTATCTCATTATAGTCCCGCTCTCAAATGAAAAGCGTGTCGTACAATATAGGTGGAGGGGTCAATAATACGCTCGGCCAGACTTCCCAAGGAAAGACGCATCAACTACCGGTCAATATTCTCTGTATGACCGCCAGCGCCAGCCCTGTATTCCTCCATGTCCTGGTCGAGTTGAGCAAGTGACTTTTCGGCAACATTTGTCTTATTTAGGCGTCGTGGGCCTTTCTTCTTGCGGCGCCTCGACACAGCCTTCGTTCCAGCAGTCTGGACAGTGCGCGGTGTTACTACAATTTTTTGAGGGGCGCTGAAAAATCGGTTGTGGTCAATGTAGTCAGAAAAACAGTGACCAAGCAATATCTTACACGGGCGAAACATTTATGTTCAATACTTGGCTCTGAGGAGCAAGAAGGCTACTCTTCGGAGCCCCCGCGACCTTCCCGATGCGTCCTAGTAACGAAGGAATTGCAGGCGCAGGCGTAGACCCCGCGGCATCATCCGAATCTACAATTATTTCGATCTTTATGGGACGTCCTAGGCACAAAGTCAACATCAACGGGCCGAATGTACAAGAGGAGCGAATTTAAATAGGCTTACTACCATCGATGAGTTTACCATCATATTTTGCACGAGCTGCGACTGCATCTCCTGGGCGCTGAAACGTTATGACCGCCATCCCTTTCGAGCGCCCTTGTGTATTGTATATCACGAAACACTCTTTCAGAGGACCAATGGTCTTCTTGAATAGTTCCTATGAACAGTGGCTGGTGGTCCTGTGCCTTTCAGGTGGACATTGGGATAACAACGCACTTCGACTTCTGTTTCTCCAACATCTACAGGGAGCCTACTGAGCAAAATTTTGCTTCCTCGTTCTTTCTGCTTGTCCTTGCTCTCCCGCCATGCAGGTGGCACATTTCCAGCTTGGTTTCCGAGGAGATTACGTTTTGCGCCATGGTAAGAGGTGATGCGCGTTGCTTGAGGACGGTCTCGCGCAGACATGGGATTCAAACTTCAAAGCCTAGCGATAGCAAACTGGGGAGGTGCGAGGTCAAGACGCGTCGAACAAAGAGCGCGAGGCACTAATAAAATATATTACATAAGGAGAGGGGTTAACTAGACATATAAAGAGAATTGATGGGGGTTGAGCGATTGAAAGATTAGATTTTCCATTTTTGTCCTCTTCAAGTGCCTTCGTGAACACTCTCCCCTGGAAAGACGCACAGTGTTCCTGTTTATGCCGCTTGCCCTTCTGTGACGGCAGACGATCCTGAAAGCTACTTGTTTTTAGTGTCAGTCGGAAAATGGACCCAAGCCGCGTGCATGATAACAACCACCAGAAGGACTTTATGGCCTTCTTGTTTCCGGAATCTTCCTCTGACCAACAACGCGGTCATGACTCTCAGCAGAACGAAGCTATCAACGCAGCTGCTGTGCACGTTCAACGCCCAACCTCCGGGATGCTCAACTTCACCGGACTCACCAACCCTCCTCCTTTCAATCAACAATTAGATCTCATGACCATGAGCAACCTCATGTCTATGCAGGGCATGGACACCACATCACTTCCGGCGCTGCCCAGCTCCACGGGCCTCTCTCCTCAGGTCGTTTTTGAACAGCAGTACAAGCTTACTCAGCTGCACCAGCTCCAGCAACTTCAAAATCAAATTCAGAATCAAATTTTTCAGCAGCAGGTGAGCTAGCATTTTCTACCACCTTGTTTGGTGCAGATTGATTTGAGCATCGTGCTGAAGTATAATCTCCATTAGCTTGCCCTAATCAGTGCGCAGTCGACCCTGAACGCCCATGATTCCAGCGTCGAGCCCGCCGCGCAGATCACAACGTTTAGTGGCCTTCCGACTCCCAGTGAGATTCATTTGATTCACCTCCAGATTCGCCCCTCATCATCATCTTAGTGTCCTCCACGGAGCTCCGCCCCTTGCCTAACCCAGAGTTCCTCGGCCGTATCAGCTCACAATATCCCAATCCTCAAGATATGTACTCGTCCCATGCGCTTGACCCTGTCTCCCTTCCTTCTCCCCATGATGCTTCCGTCTCTTCACAATATCTTCGCGAAACGCGCCATCCAGGTTCTAGCTCTGCGCCTGCTAACATAGTCTTTCATCACACAAGCCCTCCTATGCCGCTTCCCTCACCTCCAGACCTTGACATCGACATTTCTCCGCTGACGAGCCCCTGGCTCGAGGCATATCATACGCAACGGCCCCCAAATAAGCGCACGATATCACCAAGTGCGGAAGATGCGGCGCGTGCGGTGCGAAAACGGGGACCATCCACGACTTCACCGGCACCAACGGTGAAACAATCCATAAGACATGCCAAGAGTGCGACGAATACTCCACTCCTGCGCTCTACAAAATCTCGCAGGAATAGCACGATTATGGAGACGGATTCGCCGTCACCTGTGGACTTGTCGATGCCGCCCCCTGCGCCTCCGGGACCTCGCCAATCTCCTCCCAATTCTGCAGCACCAAGCACTCATGAAGGGACATCACCAATCACTCCGGTTACTCCCGCAAGCATAATGAATCTTGGCCGTCTGGGTATTAGCAGTAGCCTCACTACCGCCGCAGCACCCACGTCTCAGAAAGCTGGCAGAGTAAAAGAACCCGCTAGGGCCAAGATAGTGCCTGATAGTGGTGCACCAACCAAAGGATCAAAGAGAGGCTCACTGCCGTTCATCAGTCCTGGACCTAAGCCGATTTTACCAGGTGTGCTCTTGTTTCAATTGTTGTTAAAACTATTTGGTGTGAACTTCTGTTCGTCTTAACAGCTGGCACGCCCTCGTCTCTAAATGCAGGCTCTTCTACACTCTCACCTGGTGTTCCTAATCGCAAGTCGCACAAGGACGCTGAACAAAAACGCCGTGATTCTCTGAAAACTGCATACGACGATTTACGCGTTCTGCTCCCACCAGTTCCGCTACCTTCCGATGAAAACTTCCCTGATGAACCGATCCTTCCGGGAGCTTTACCCCCAAGAGGACCACCGAAAGTTGGCGGGGATGGTCCAAATAAAGGTGTCAGCAAGCTGCAGCTGCTCAGATGCGGAAACGATTTCATTCGAACGCTCAAGGGTCGGGTAGAGCGGCGAGATAGCGAAATCGAGAATCTGAGGAGAGAGGTGCTGAGACTGCGTGCCATTGCTGGAGATGCAGCCGGAGGAGAGCACGTAGATCTAGAAACGGATCTCGATGCCATTGAAGCTTATACGACTTTCCGCCAGTCATCACTGGGTGCCGTTGCGGAGGGGGACGACGCTGACGATGCGGAAGAGTGAAGGGCAGGCTGCTGGTCTATGCCAACTATTTCCCTTGATTTCTTCTTACCAAAACTTGTACACATAGTTATTCTTGCCAAACAAAGGCTGACTCGAGCAAGACTCGAGTGGACGCAAATCCACGCAGTCAAAGTACTTATAAGTCAGGTATGAGCCCATCCTTTGGTGGGGGGAATGTAGTCCTTTTGTAGTCATGCTACGGGAATCTGGAGCTTATTTGTTTGATCGGTGACCTTGTCAAATTAAAACAAAGTGATGGACGAAAATCCTTTCGAAAAGACCATGCGACTCTCAGGCACGAAGCAGATAAGCAAGCCTTGCTTACATAACTCGGTTCATTGGCAACCTTGCCGGTCCTCCAAGTTTCCTTCGCAGGACTAGTCTCTCCAGATTCATCATGTCTGGACGTAGCCCGCTGTAAGTCAAGCCCCGTTGTAAAGACATGCCTAATATTCGCTAGATCTGCTGTGTTCCTGCTGCATATCGCGTTGGAGGCTCCGCTTGCCCTTCAAGCGTTCTGGTCCCCACAGAGCCTCCCCTTTCTACAAATGAACAACACCACGGTAGTCATGTTGAAGGTTTGCTTTTATTCGAGATTTAACACGCGTGTAGCTGCTGATATCACCTAGCTGTATGCCGCATTGGTCACTGGATCCTGCATCACCGCTTTCCTGGCGTATCCTTTACCAGGTATTCAACATTCTACTTTCAAACAGATGAGGCGAATAACATTTCTCAACCAGAATTCCTACCTGGAAAGCGCGCACTCGCTATAGGGTTTTGCATTTACCACAGCGTGGTGTCAACCATTCTGTTTCAGACTCCAAGGTTCATCCCTCACACCCTAGGTCCCTTCTTTGAGTCGTGCGTGTTCTTTTACCTGTTGTCTTAGAGTGGTCCTAATGATAACCTCATAGCGTGAATCTTACACCTGAGGTCGTCTGGGGGGGATTTCACGGTTTGCTAGGGCTTGGGATGGTTGTGTGGTGGCAAGCGACGCTACAGTATGCGGCAGCAGTGAGAGGAGCTGCGAAGTAACTTTTGGCATAGAAGGGGCGTGTACTAAACTTTGTCTATGGAAGAGAACCATGAGGCAAGTTGATATGACTACATGGGCGCGTTAAAGTAGTGTATCCCGTTTAGCTCAGTTGGTAGAGCGCGTCACTAGTAATGACGAGGTCAGTCGTTCAAATCGGCTAATGGGAAATCCTCTGTTAACTTCCTTTTTTTTTAATACTTGACTATAAGATGCAAGGGAATATTGATAATTACAATGAGGTACCTGGTGCCGTACTGACTAGAAGTTGAGTTATAGTCTCAAATCCTGCTTCGCACCGTGGGAGATAAGATAAGACTGTGTAATTAGATTCGACCTCTCTTTGCAGTGTAACAGCAACTTGAAGCGCAAATCCCCGTTGGGCGAGGTTTACCAATCCCAGGCAATTGAAGCATCGAAGCATGGCAGCACCCCTCTATACAACGGCTTCGGGCTTACTGTTTCATGCTGGAAAGATCCTCATCTTAACAGTCGGCTTACCCGCTCGTGGCAAAACACACATTTCTCGCGCGCTTGAACGTTATCTCAGATGGATGGGTGTGAAGACTCAGGTCGTATCTCTGGGTGACTATCGACGGAAGACCCTTGGTGGTACCAAGAAGCTGCCGCCAGATTACTTCACGTTAGGTACGCATGAATTCAATCTTCTGAGGGGCCTATATGAATTGCTATCGGCAACAGGTGAGAAGAGTCCAGAGACCATGGCAATGCGCAAGAGGGTGTCGGATGGCTGCGAAAAGCTCATCGAGGACTTCTTTGAGGCCGGTGGACAGGTTGTCATTTATGATGCCAACAATGGATCGCGAACTACGCGGCAGGCCCTGGCAGAGAAGTACGATAAGCAGGGAATTCATGTGATCATCCTTGGTATGTTTCACATCGCGTTATTGGGCTCATTGGACAACGGTCACTTATGTCCCTTCGATGTAGAGTCTGTCTGCGATAACAAAGAGATCATCGAGACTAATATCCGGAACGTCAAAATATCCTCTCCTGATGTGGGTTCCCTCACCTTTTTTGCCTACCCTCTTGCTGAACCTGGTGTAGTATCGCGGCTGGGATCCAGACAAGGCAGTAGAAGATTACTATGGACGCATCCGTGATCGCGAAAAATCATATGAGACGGTTGAAGAAACCAATTGGCCGTTTATCCGTATAATAAATGTGTGTAACATGTATACGAATCTTGTTTGATTGTTTGGCTTACCCGCACGGCTGAAATTAGGTAGGCGAGAAGATCATGGTCAACGTATGTCCCGACGCGTTTTAATTTCGGTTGATTTAATCAATCCCCGCACAGAATATTCGTGGTTACTTGCAGGTGAGCAAAAATTCCAAGTCGTTGTTCCGGGATGTGACTGATCGCATGAGCAGTCGCGAATCGTCTTCTTCCTCATGAATATTCATAACAGGCCCCGCATGATTTACTTTGCTCGGGTAGGTAGTAAAGTATAACATAACTGTCTCTTGATCCATATCCTAACAGTCCGGACAATCGCTCATTGAACATTCTTACAAAGCCGACTCGGATCTCTCTCCAGCGGGGTGGGAATACTCTGAGCGGCTGAAAGAGTTCGTGGTCGAGCGCCGTGCCAAATCACTCGAGCAGCGTGGGTTCGACCCTAATGACAGACGCCTCGTTGTATGTGGCCTTCGATCTTTGATGTACGAATTGATTTTTTAGACAGAGATCTCTAGATATGGACCTCAACTCGGCGTCGTGCCCACCACACTGCTTGGCCATTCCTGACCCCGACACCTTCCATTCCCCAACAACTCCCCCTTGTTGGGTCCCATCTCACCGTGCCACCACAGTCTGCGGTTGCACGGAATGTAGTAACCACGGACGAGGCTGGAGAGCTGACAGAAACAAAACATACCGCTGGCTCATCTTTGAAAGTCAAGGTGATCGAGAAGACGCAGATGTCCGAGATCAATCCTGGGGTCTGGGACGGCCTCACTCCCGATCAAGCGAGGAAGTATTATCCTGAGGAGTGGGCAAGATTCGTCAAAGACCCATACGCGTTCCGCGCTCCCAGGGCTGAGAGCTATCACGATTTATCTGGTAATAGCTTCCTCTTGTATATCTATCTGTGCTATCTTTGTTCTAAAATTCTGTTTTGGTTAAGTTCGCCTAGAACCCGTCTTGATCGAATTGGAACGTGAAAAGGAAGACCTCTTGATTATCGGACATTCTTCTGTCATCCGATGTCTTCTCGCGTATCTGATCGGTTTGCCTGCGAGCGAGATACCCGCAATTGAAATTGCGAGAGGTGATTTGCTGGAGGTTGTTCCGACTTCCTATGGAGTGCACAGCCAAGCTTTCCACTTCTGGGATGGTCCTGGTCGACGGGGCGAGGGTATTGATGGAGATGGCGATCCTGAGGAGGGAGAGGTCGGGAGGCCAAGGAGAGATGAGACAAACTTTTACGAAAATTATGCGGAGGACACGAAGGGGAAAAAGCGAATGACCGCTGTTGATCTGGGGTTCCTTACCCCCAGTATACGGGAAGACAGCGGAGGGGCTCTGGTAGATGGAAGCTCACGCGCACCTTAACAGTTTTAGCGGTTTCTCAGGATTGTATACCCGTGGTGTAAAGCGGAACGATGGCTCTTACATATCGGTATCACATCGGTATCGTGCACTTTTTCTTCACGCTTCCATTAATTATTGGCATGGTTCAAATGAAGCAAAGCACCTCATAACGGTTGCGGCCGCGCATTTCACTCACCTTCTGTACTTAATCTTCTCTGCAGGGAATATAGGATACCCCTTGCACCATTGCACACAGGGGGATTAAACCACGAGTGCATTTCGCTATCATGGAATGAATTGAAAGAAGACACGACGGCGTAACTTTGATTTCCTCTTGTGGTCACAACTTGGCAGCGCTTCTCCACCCGCAATCTCAGTGCTCGCTGCTCGACGTCAGCCAAACCACTCCCAGTGAACGTGAGGATTTATATCGTGTAAAATCGCGCCCTGAGCACCTCGTGGACCTCGTTTGGCGAGAAGCCAGGTCCTATCCACCACGCCCCGTTCAGGCACAAAAAGTGGTGAATGGCCTTCGCACACGCGACACGTGGGCGTGCAGCACCCTGCCACATCTTGTCTCAAATCCAAAAGCCGGGTCTGTCTGTGTGGGCGTAAGCAAATACATGTGATGATTCCAATCATAATGATGACGCGGTCTTCAAGCACTGGTTTCACGAGAAGTACTGTCATGCTCGATTGCACCTCGTAACCCCAATCATGACACCAGCGCCACGTCAGACCTTCCCTCTGCATTCCACCAGCATATACAACATAGGGTCACCGACTCCAAAGGATTGCTTTGATGCGGAAAAAATATTGCCTCCAGCACGGTGCGGTATCGCAGTTTGGCAAATGTGTCGCAAGCACGGAAGACTCCTCCATGATCCTAACGCTGACACAACGCGGCAACGGTATCTGGATATCGTTGGCGATTCTTCCCTTCCTCGCTCTACCTCGATGCCGTGAAAGGTACTGTGGGCGAAAGATACCAACAATCATATGTTGTGGATCGGATGAGCCGTCCGTAGGGCAAGAATCAGACTACAAGCGGCTGCTAGCCACACTGTGAGGATAACTGCAAAGTATTGATGCGCACACCTCAGCAGTGGGCAATACATTCGTGTTCGGGCTGCCAGGTTCCTAGTCTCCCCTATAGTCAGACCTTATCGAAGGAAGTTCAAGTTGGTTCCCACCACTGACCTTCGACGGTACTAATGAATGTCAGTTCCTGAACCGTAGTAATCACCGCTCGCTGGTATGGTCTGCAGCAGCATCTTGCCATTAATATCGGTTATGGATGATCATTTCATGCGAGTCAAGTTAAGCTTTCGCCATCATGATGGCGTCAACAAATGAGGCATCTATGTTTGCAGAGGGAAGCATGGAGTACGCAGTGAATGGATAAAGAGGAGCTTGCCGACCATAGCTAGCATGATAGAGCCAGCAGAGCTCATTGTCAATTTGGTCGGGGTTAATTGTCGTGCATGAACGCTGAGCGTTGAGTGCGGAAACTTGGGAAACTTGGATTGACCCGAACAACCATGTCTAATTCCCGCCCACTACGTACACCCAGCCTTCCACCGGCAGCACGCTACCGTCCGCGTCCAGCACATGGCCTCATTACACCGCGGGCGCCAGCACCTCGACGCTCCTCTGTTTCGGGGCTAGCCACTACTGGCCAGAAAGCTCAACGTTCCTCCAAGACAATACAAAAACTCGTCCTCCTACCGTCTGCACCACAAACAAAGCCCCTACGAACAACTGTTTCCGATGATATTCTGGGCTACGAGACCGACGCCGGTGTTGTTCGTGAATACAAGTCAGCTGGCGAGCGCATGAGCAAGGAGCAGAGAAAGCGTGCAGGATACAAGAGAATCACAGCGTATTGCATTGCTGAAGAACTGAGGATGAAGTTGCTCGCGAGCTTTTTGAAGAGGGAACATAATGTCACGCCAAGAGTGTTTGACGAGGCAATGTATGTTGTGAGTCTCGTGTTACTCATTTGCCTGACCATGTTCCTGATCTGCCTCATGTAATTTTCCCTGGCTGGTGTCATGTAGATGTACCACCTGCCGCTCCTTCCTGGGTACGGGCCTAATACCAGCGTCCGTTCCTCCGCAGCGCCTGTCAAGGAAGCCAAGTCCCTCCAAAAACGCCTTGCCGAAGCGGAAGAAAATGGTTATCAGGGTTCATATTTTATTCCTCAGGAAGAAGTACCACGGACTTCGGATGGTTACATGACGTCTGGATCTCATACAGAATCTCACCGGCCCCCATCCCGTCCTGAAGTAGAATCTGAGGCCGAAGGCGAAACGGAGTGTGTAGAAGAGGGTGAGGGTGAACGGTACAGCGCGAACGGAAGCAGTCAGGAAATAAAGGAGAGGGCAGAGGATGAGAGACACGAGCAGGCTGAGGTGAAAGAAGAAGACCGTATCGCGGAAGTGGTCTTCTTTGCTTATGGCGTTGCGGTCTTCTTTGGACTAGACGAAGGGCAAGAACGGGCTATTATCGAGGACATCAGTAACGCGGGTATTTTGAAACGATCGATGAAAGAAGACGACTGGGAGATCGAGGAATGTCATTTTGCGGTACGTCATTATCCTGCAACCTCTACCGCTCCTCATGTAACATTGTCCAGCATGATCCAACTATCTCATACCCACGTATATATCACGATTTCTTCAGTGCGTTTTCAAACCGTGCTTGTGTGCTATACTAAAACAGCGTAGCGTTCAAGTCACCTTCTCATTTGCTCAAACTGTCTGTTGCGCATGCCCTCGCCCAGTCTACGCTCCTCGCACACTACGAGTCTGTCGCCTCTTCTGTGCTTTCCTCCCCCAGCACCGTATCGATACCAAGGCAGCTCGCATCCTCTGGCGCCATCAACCTCAAACGCCGTGATGCGATGAGGCTCACAGGCAAGTTGTTCAAGCTCAGACGCGACGTAAATCTTGTGAGCAATGTCTTGGACGTCCCAGAGTTGTTCTGGAGCGAGGCAAGTCTGGGAGGGTTGTATGAAGCTGTACGAGAATACATGGAAATTGGAGAACGTGTACAAGTACTGAATGAGAAACTCGGAATGGCGAGCGAATTTGTGGGCGTTTCATTGCAAGTCGGCTTGTTACGCAACTGACGGTATTTTGTTTTCAGCTAGATGCTATACATGATCATTTGAACAACAATGCAATGGAACGGATAACGTGGATTGTTATTTGGTGAGATTTACTACGGTGTTAAAGTTAAATGATTTGATCTGACCTGTTCTTTACCAGGCTGATCGTGGTCGCACTCCTAGTGGAGTTGGTGAGTTGTTTGCAATTTATGAAAAAATAATCATGACCATCGTATTGCAGGGCGAAGTGGTCGCACGGTTAATCGTACATGCAACAATGGGTGAAGAGAAGGCAGAACGCATAGCATTGCGGGGAGGAGGTGCGCTCAGAGCCCTTTTCAAGATTGCGTCACAACGGTAGGTCAGGAGGTGGTCATGACATTATTGTGTTGAGTTCCGCAAGGCTCATCAGTTGAAGATAGACTTGGGTTGTTCATCGGAACGGTATGCAGTAACGAGATTGTAATTTTAATTCATAGCAATACCTCGCTGGTCTTCAATAATGTTTTTCAGCCCCTTGAGGAATACAAGCCCTGGGTCGATTCATGCATAACCTCTTACCTCTTGCAAAATTTCAATCAAAAGCATATCTAGCCCTGGCCAGAGCGTTTCAGAGCACTCTATATTATAATCACCTTTCGATTTAATAATTTCACTGGCGGCAAAAGGTGCCGCTGTGTCAGAAAAGGTAGATCTCACTAGGATTTTACTGCTACTAGTGATCGATGGCGCGAAAACAGGAATTGACGCAATGATTCTTGCATCGGTTCATGAGCCACATCTGGATCTTAGTTCTTGCACCTCTTTGTGTCATACAGAATCTATACAATATGTAAACCGAGATACATGTATGTAGTCTATGTTATCAAATACAGAATTGATTTTATTGTTTTAACTAGAACTTCGGGACGCCTCCGTTACCTGTAGATTTGTACATATGAGTGTGGTAGACAATGCGGATTCATAAATCATTTAGTATTTCAGTTCACGCTCCTCACTTTCCTTGCGCCATGATTCTCCCTTGTGTAGCACCAATAAAACCAGTAATTCAGTCACAATCAAAACCCCAGCCCATGCCGTATACAATCCCCCATCCCCTAAAGCATTCTGTGGGGCTAGGCATCAGAATTTGTGAGATACAGCAGGTATCAAGGAAACTCACTTGGAGCGGTACAGCGACCAAAATCGAAACAAAAGCCAAACATCCTCGGAACGAGCTGTTGGTCGCCACCGCTGTACACGAACGTCCAGGATTGGCATCAACGAGGTATGCCAATGTATTAGTATACATCCATCTGGAAGTATATGTTAGCGCGTCCGCGACCATGAATAATGGATCTACTGACATCGAAGAGAATCCGATAATTACAAGCAAGATGCAAATGACGGCAACGTGAGCATGCTTTTCGCAAGCCCAAGCATAACCGACGACAGATGGAGGTAGCCACAGCATCGCCAGTGTCGAGCTCTCCAAGCGCATCTTCGGAAGATGTCAATCAAAAGTTCCAGTGTGGGAGTATGAAAAAAATATTCACTTCTGCATACCACTTTCCTCCGTTCGCTTCCATCATCTTCGCAAGAACCCGGTCAGACCAACGCCCGCTAATCACACTCCCAGCGATACTTCCTTCATAGGAAATCAGTCATCTGCTACGATCCAAGGTTGTATATTGTCTCACCTACGCCCAGGCAAAGCAAGACCAAGCCGATGCTAAAAGCATCTAAATCATACGCATTGGCGAGAGTGCGGGCGCACGTGTATGAAAGGCAATAGCTGAATCCGAAGACGAGTCCTTATCCCGAAGTTAGGTCACTAACAACGTGGACAAGAGCCAAGCTGTTACTCACCATTAGCGATGAGAATCAAAGCGTTGTTCTTTCGCGACAGAATTTGAAAGTAAGGTGGAAAGGGGTTGATGTCCCTTATTGATAGCCTTACATCGTCCATCGTTGGTGTAGAACTCGTCACTGAGATATTGTCTGGAACATTCGGCTGTTGGAGCTGCTTCTCGGCGTCCTTGACAGGTGTCATGTCCTTGCTGGACTCGTGCCCAGCGATGACAGACACGTCTGAACTCTGAACGCGTACTTTGGATGTAATAAGTCGTTGCAAAGCAGAGCAATACGTGAGACTCCGTTCACGTCGGTATGTGTCCTTGAAGAGGACGAGGAAGGACGTGAAGATGAGGACTTCACAGATCAGCAAGAAGTAGAAACTTGCGCGCCAGTTGAAGGCTTGTGACAACGATCCACCGATGATAGGGCCGAGTGCGGGTCCTAAGAGAGGTGCAGCAAAGAAGATGCCCATCGTGGTCCCTCGCTCGTGAGTGTCGTAAATATCGGCTAGGGTCGCAGCTGAAATAGCCATGACAGCACATGATCTGCAGGAGGGGGAGTCAATCAGTGCCTAAGTTTTGTAGATGAATGCTCACCCTGCAGCTTGAAGGACTCGCATACCGATCATCATCTCGATGGTCTTCGAAAGTGCCAAGGCAGCACTTCCTGCCATGAATAAAGCCGAAGCCACCAAATACACAGGCTGTTATAAACGAGATCCGCAATCATTAAGTAGATCGAGAAGGGTATGCTTATCATAGACCAACCTTACGTCCTCTAATCTCACTTGCGGCACTCCATATAAGAGGAAAATTCCCTTGTACGACTAGGAACGCTGCCAATGTCCAGCTAATCTGGCTGCTTGTCGCATGCAGATCTTCCTCTATCAGAGAGTTCGAGGCTGCGAGAAGATATCAATTTCAAATCATTCATTAGGAAAAGACATGCGACGAACGATTTTGGATGTTAGAAGCTAATGCAGACATCATTGTAGCCAGCGACACAATGCACAAAGTTGTCGTCTACGGGTGGTACAGTGTTAGGTTAGCCACAGAGCACATGGTGTGATACACGCACTTTTCTGGCACGACTCCACTGACGGGGGTCATCGTTAACTGGGACATGTTCTATGTCGATTGTACTCTTTTCGTCTGTGGACGACTCGACATCAGAGTTTTGGCGCAGCATTTGTGGTTTGGACACAGAAGGCGCGTTGGCAACGGTTGGACCAGACATAAGTCACAGCTTGGACAGACGGTGTCAGCGGAAGCTTAGACAGACGATGTCAGCGGAAGCTTGCAGTCTCTCATCCAATATCGCGTTTGCTTTTATACGTCCGATGGGGCCACTTACAAGGTGATCTTACGCTCTCCGGAAATTGCGATGCTGTCATGTGCCGAGTATGAGCACATACCTTTGCGTGAAACGGCGATCCTAGCCTAGCTAGTCACACAGCTGTAGTGAATAATAATTCCAACAGAAAATTCCGGGCAAACCTGTCCCCGGTTCCGAAGGGCGACACAGATTAGTTACTTCTGCCGTACTTGAGCCCATCGACATTGACATTTTGCGTTGTGTTATGGCACAGGTCCGAGCTTTGGAGCGTAAAGTCGAGTCTAAGAGCACAATGATAATTCTTGTTCGAAGGCCTCAGTATGGTGCCCACCCGCACACAACAGAAGCAGCAATCAGTGCAGACCGCACATAGCAATGCCATGGCACAAAATTGCCAGGATGTGGAGGCGAAATAGCCTCTTAGATCTAAGGTTATTCGGATGAATTGGCCCCATCTAGATGTATGGGTTTACCGCTCTTAAGTTACCGCGATCCCGGGCAAAATTGCCATGTTATATGACGCTGGCACCTGTCACCAGTCACGTAAACATACAGCATTTCGGTGAAAGAGAAGGGAATAAATGATCAGCTGCTACTTAACAGGTGAAAGAAGACTGTGAGATATTGGTGTATTGCGACGATGGAGAGACATCTGAGCAATGTACTGTGTACATCTTTCGGCGTGTTTTCTTCGTATTGAACTCCTGGGGTGCAGATAGTTGTATGATATCAAGGTTCGACACTGCCGCGTGAACAAATGCACACCCGTGTCTTCCCGATCTCCGATAGATTTGTCCAACACTTTAGACTCAAGTTGCATTGAAGTTCTTTTCTGAATACATTGACCAAACTCACAAATACAATTGTATGCATTTGGAATGGGGGCACAGAGCTGCCGTTGATAGAAAGGGACGGAATGGGGATTCCTACTTGTCCGGGTATAGTGGCTCGCGTCAGGTGAGGCCAAGGCATTGCTTGATCAGTGTTGAGACAAGAACCCGAGGAGATGCTGGATTGGACAATTGTTTAAGAGCGGACTTGTGTAAGGAATCTGAATACATAAAGATAATAAATGTGTGCGAATTGCAGGGAACTGGCTTGCCTGAGGTTGGTTAGGTGTAATGACGAGGGTCCGATTTGTACCTGTGTGGGCCACAAGGGTTTGAAAAATTCTTGGTATTAATGTCTTGGTACTTGTGGAACGCATTGCCAGTACTCGGAGGTCTTGCATATTTCTATCGGTGCTGAGATGTGACTCAAACAAGCGTTCGTATCGTAAAAATATGCAGGCCAGCGCTAGTCACTTGAAGGCGTTGTGGAGAAGATGAGCTTGAAGCAGTGCACGTGCCGAATAATGAACTGAATCAAGAAGGCGAGTATGAATTTCGTTACGACATCGCCACTGTCACGGTGCTTCGCGGGCCGAACTTTGAAGAGAGACGAGGACGATACGCCTGAAATGACTGAGGATTACTATCCCTAGGGGATACGACTGCACTAAGGGCCTAAGGCCTAGGAGATAGTATTGCTTGGTCAGTTCTGCCGGCACAAAGTTCGCCGAAGTTCGCCGAACAGACTCGGAGGCGAGATTTTGGGACTAGTCGCAGAAGGAAAACAGTCATGATGATCAGCTGTGGGCGCCTCATCCGCATCTCATCACCGCATAATCCATCACTGTGAGAGGTACTACTCAGTATGAATCTTCTGGATTCTCATCACATCCGGTCTTCCTAACCCTTCAAGCTTCAATACACTTCATATAGTACCTCATAATAGTTAACGTTACCTTGCTGTGTCAATCTGCTTCAAGGGGCAAGATCAGGGTAATTTTCCAATGAATGTATACGACGTTAGCTAGTATTTCGTGTACTAATCAGAGACATGTCATTTATGACCGTCAAGTCAAGATCAGGCTGCATGAAAAGGATCAGAAGAAGAATCCACTCTTGAAACGCCGACTGCGTCGGAGGATCAACCCTTGCTTGCACTAGGCTTCGTTTAGTTTCTGGGTCGATAACAATCAATTCTGGTATCAGAAACAAGAGAGACTTCCCAGCAATGGTTGCGAATGCAGACCATACCAAAACCTTGCACCCCTGCCTCCATACCTGAGAAGGCGGTGCTTGATACCATCGTACCCTTGAAGCAAAGGATTTAATGGTGCCCAAATGTCGCCACAGCTAGAACAACGCATAGCTAAACACGGTGGTTAGCTGGGACATTTGAGTTTAAAATCAGCAGCACCCCTCCCGCCTTGCTGATATAGCTCATATCGCAGCGGCGATCTCCAACTACACTGACCTTCCATACCCATACGCTGAAGTCTCAGCTACGTAAGGCTCCGAAAAGCCGGAGGCCTCGAAATCTCGCACCCATTGATATTATAGTTGCAATCACCACAGACGTTGCAGCCCGCCGCTATCCAAACCGAAGAAGATTCGCCGAACAAACTCCCAAGCCCAGCAGTGGCATAACAATCACCGATTGATGCGGGTGATTATCGTGCCAGATCTGTACATGGTCAGCCTGTGCTGGAGTTAGAAGAAGCGGTTCTTAGATTGTGACTGTAGAAAGCCCGCAGTGTTCTGCACAGCGATAAGTCCATCAGCTCCTATGTCATGCAAGAGGGAAGCTGAGTAAAGCTGAGTAAAGCTGTATCCCAACCTATCGTAGCAGTACCCGACACCTCTAGATTGCACTGCGACGCTGAAATGTGAGATGGCAGGGCTGTTGCGAAGTGAACCGTGTGTGGCTCGAGAGGATACTAGGAACAAAATGTTATGCCTAAAAGTATTCCGCGACAGACGCAAAGGTCGTCGAAGCCGGTTCCTGTGGACAGTAACTCTGGGATAAACTTGACTCCAGCGGTTATTTGGGTTGCATGATTATTACTATTGATAATCTGCGGCTTAAGTTGATAGAGCAATGAAACATGTGGTTTGGATGTTGTACTTGACAAGCTTGACACGCTCAGTCGCGTAAGTTCAACTCACCGTGTCACGTGTGCAAATGATGAACGATTTTATGTAATTGGCTAATCAGTTTTCTGGCACATTACATACTACTCAGGAGCTACTCGGACGACTCGGACGTCTTTCAAACACCTATATTTACTAGGCAAGGAACATTTTGCTTTAACTTGTACTACTGTTACGGTAGTACACGGTAATAATTTGATTCCTTTACAATCGTTATTCCGGGCACACACTGATTTCTATTTTATTCGGCCCCCCCAGTTCGGAAAGTCTACAACTTGAACGAGGTACGTTCACTGTGTTTGACTCTTGTCTCCATCTGATTGGTCGAGAACTAGTAGTAAAAATGCCACGAAAAAGCGAACACGCCCTCTCGAATGACTCCCAGCAGAGACAGTACGCAGCATCCCCAAATTTGCGCTGGAAGACATCATCAAAGATGGCATGATGACAACTGCTGAGGCCAAACACCAGGTTATAGCAGGCCTACCGTTCCCTCACGCCATGGCATCAGTATGGAGACAACGTTATATCGTGTCCGCCGGACCGGCACGGACTGCAAGGGAAACCTAAGGCCAAACCTCTATAGCAGGAAGCGACGGCTTTGCCAGTGTCTATCGAGGACGGACTAGCGACTACCCACAAGCCAGGACTTTAGCCACTGAGCCGGGATCCACGACACTCCATGGAGGACCTGCGCCAGATCGCCCCGCTACACTGCTGCGCCTGTGCTCTGGACTCGTATTCTATGCCTGATGCCTTATAAGAGCAGCCATCGGACGTCGACCTCGCAGCTTCAACTGACGGACGGTCATCTGATATTGATCATGGAGCAGCTCACAGTCTCAATCACCGGTGGCAGAAGGACACCTTGACATACGTCGAATCCGTGACGCTATCATTCGGAGATGAACTTCCGTGCAATGGACCTGGGCATTTAGCAGACGATATCCCCAAAGCGACGAATGCGGTCCCACGAAGAATATTTTACCTCGTTATCGGTGGCCTGCAATTTCCTTCCCAGACCATCTCTATGATGAAACACGAAGGCCTCAACATTTGGGGCGGAGAAAGCAGTTGTACGCGGGTGCATGACAATTTTGGATATGGCTGATGATGATTGCAAGACTATTGTTCTTTGCAGCTGCAACGTTGTGGAGGGTTCGCGAGCCAAAGCATTATCACCCTCGAATACGCTGGAGTTTATTGGGGGCTTCGGCGACAGTTTGGAAACAGCGCCTCTGACCCCTTGGGACGGTGATATGGTGATAGTTACAAACGGCGACTCGCTTTGCATGAAGGCCGCCCTGGTGTTCCTGGGAGCACCTTTCAAGGACTCTAGTTGTTCTCTGTGGCCACGGGTCACCACACTCAAGTTCGTGGCCAAGACTGATTTCGTCATGAAGTTCCCCTTCAAAATGCTGAAATCGATGATGAGCAGTCGGAGGGAGGCTGCAGGGCATCAGAACCTGGGGAAGAACGACGCGGAGTCGGATGGTGTGGGGCCCAAAGGGATCCGTCAGATTATGGTGCCTCGTGTGCACGGGGGCCAGGTCTGTTGCGCAAGGAGAGAGAGTGGTTCGAGGAATGGGTGATAGACTTTGTTTGGGACTGTAAGAAGAGGTGAAGGAGTGGTGATATGAGCTGGCCGTTTTCTCGGTAGAGCTACGTATGTGCTACCTTTGTCGATAGCTGATTGTACTAATTACCAAACAAAATACATGGGCGCTCTGGTTATCCAGGCTTACAGCTAGCTGTCAAAGTTATTGATGCATCCGAAGGCGGTCCCGATCTGCGATGTTCACCTGGGTTCACCTCTCTGGAATACACATACTACTGGCCATGGAATACACCTGCGACCAAAGTTCATGGTGTAAGCTATTGATTTTCGAAGATCGCGCGTGTCGTGTTGAAACTCGAGCTCCACTTACGGAACAGTGGGTGAGTCACGACAGATCACGATTCGGTAGCGATTCGGTCGCGGTGTGTCTCTTGACGTACGTTGAAGCTGGTATAAATAAGGGGCTATTGGACGAAATGACACTCATAAGCCCTCTCTATCCCTCTTAGAACATCTCAAAGTCCCTTTATCAATACAAATGGCCCCAATTGGCTCTCTCTGGGGTTTTCCTCGTCAACGCCAAACTAAATACGCAAGTTCCATTCAAATTTTGTACACAGTTCCATTCCTGACCAGACACAATACAGATATTAAGCGCCGCTGCTATCGCAGGCCTCGAAGTAGATCTCCCACCTTTCGAGTTCGGTGTCACCAACAAGTCACCTGAATTTATCGATAAATTCCCCTTTGCCAAAGTCCCTGCCTTCGAGGACAAGGATGGATTCACTCTTGTAGAAGGTGCCTCAATTGCACGTTATGGTCAGCACGTTGTGCTTCACAGCCTATTATGCAATTCTTACTATGCACCGTTGCATGATTAGTTGCATCTCTAGCCCCTGAGTCTGGTCTTCTTGGCAGAAGCATCAAAGATGCTGCGCTAGTCGACCAATGGATCCACTTTGCGGAACACGAGATCAACGCATTCACCAACTTAATATGGATGTTGGTGGATCGTTTTGCCCCAGAGAAAGCCTATAGTGAAAGCGTCAGTTGTTCTTTTCGTATACAGATTAACTCCGAGTCAATGGCTCACACCGGCACTTTCATTACAGATTCACAAGTCTGTATTCGAACGTCAAGAGCGTTCAATCAAGTTCCTCGAACAACACATCGACCTCCACGAGTTCATCGTCTGTGACGAGATTACTCTGGCGGATATCGTTTTAGCTGGTGTGCTCCAACGCGCTGCTCGGATTACCCTCGGTGCCGCTGAACGAGCACTCTACTCAAAAGTCTTCGCATACTATGAGAAGGTGGTAGCTGACCCTCGCATCAAGGATATCTTCGGGGAAGCAGATTTCGTTGAAGTGCCCGTAGCACCTAAGAAAGATGAGTAGAGCCTTATGTGGGGAGGAGGTAGAAGAACACGAGATTGAATTGTTTGTTTGTATTTTGGGGGGCTCTGGGCTTCAACTGCCCTTTGTACCGTAGTCGAGTATGACTGATAATTCCTGCTACACTCCCAGTTCTTGATGTCCCGGCAAGTAAAGCTGTACCAAGTCATCCTCTCGTTTGTCCCTCCCGATCAATTTCCGCGACAGTCACCAGTCCCTGTAAGTATAATGCATTAAGTCTGCTTACTACAAGACATGAGTATTGCATTAACTATGCTCATTAGCATGTTCAGTGATGCATCAGTTCATGCTAAAGTAGTACACCTAGGCTATAGACCACATGTTCGCATTTTCAGGTACCTACTGTGGGAACTTCTCCACAACTCCCAAAACATAGCCCATTTTAGGTATTCTCCCAAATATCAACCTTTCCCACACCCTCCCCATCAATCCCTGGCTCCCCACCAAACCACAATTAGATACAGCCTCTAGTTAAGTAGTAGTATATGTTATATACATACCATAGAACATCTCCACATACTGTCATTCTGATGTATTACAGCTCTTTGCATAAAGGATGGCAGTGGCGTGAAAATTTCATTCAATTAGGAAATGTTAGACTTAGTGAATTTTGTTCGTCGTACACTCACGAGATGGTATCAGCATGTGCCGTTCATAATTATTTATCCTTCCAAAAGACACAAGCCTGCTAGAACAGTGACCTTTATTCCAATGGCTCCGATGAGGACAATACTCAAATCAACAAACTTTTGGAGCAAGGGGACTCAGAAGATCACGAACAGATTGAGCCTATGACTCAGATGCGTGATGCGTGCCATGAACCTGGCACGGAGAGTCTCATTGCGTTCATTGGCAATGCAATTTATTTTCTTGTAGCTCAGCATCAGTAGTTGTACGCTAGGCTGCCAGTTCATGACACTAAAGATCCGAAACCGCGTGCATTCGGAGAATCCACAGCAATCAAGGATGTCGTGAAGGCTTAGAAGGTTCCCTTCATGGAGTCAGATTGCTGCAAGTGTGACATCGCGACATTGTGAAGATGGTACTAATGGTAGTACGACGTTGATACATGTACAGTGTGTCCTTAGGCTACACAAGCATAATTTTCACTAAGTCCAACACTTCCTAATTGAACAAAATTTTCACGCCACTGCCATCCTTTATGCAAAGAGCTGTAAATATGATACTGTCACATGAATACTGATACATAAACACGAAAATTTGTCAGTCTTGGGTATATAGCACCACCACTGCAGTAATACATCAGTCCCGAAAATCTGTCAGTCTTGGGTATATAGCACCACCACTGCAATAATACATCAGTCCCGTGGTGATACATTATGCAGGACCTGTATGCCATGGTCCAGCTCCCAAAGTGATACATTTCCCTCGAGTGCGTTGTACCTTGAAGTGCCGCCGGCTTACCTGCTTTTGAATCGATCTTTGAGAAGGCCAGAAGTAGGTTAGAACATAATACCATCAATTCTCGATTTCATCGGGTGGTGGGCCCTCAATATATACATCAGTAGGTACGTCCGAGTTGTCGTCGTCATTGTCGTCATTGTCGCCTGGAAGAAGTTGAGATGCTACTATTTTTGGAACATCAATCCAAAGTCGTTGGCAGTGGTTAGCCATCGCTAACCGTAGGCACGCTTGTCGTTCTGCATAGGCGAGAGCTCCCTCCTGATAGAAGGCAGGACCAGAAACAACAGCTCCTCGTTCTTTCCACCAGCGCGACTGCCACCAGAAAAACTCGACCACTCTGCGCATTTCTTCGAGAAGCAACAAGACCTCTTCTGACCAGCGTTCTGCACGTGCTCGCGCTTTGCACCATTCGATGCGCAGGCCTGAATGACAGTGTGAGTCGGAGAAAACAATGCAAGATATTGACATACAGTCTTGCAGGCCAGCATCGCCGTTGTGCAAGGCACCTGGTGTTTTCCAGATCCACGAGATATCTCGTGTGCCTTCTGACTGACCGGCAGCGATATCACCCAATGGGCGCATGTCCATGACATGTAATACATGTAAACTCTCCTCCCAAGCCACCTTGCCGAGCAATGGCCCGAGAGTGAGGAGCGCTGAGCGTGCATCATCATACTTGAGTTTGCTTGCCATCTTCTTGGTTTCCATGAGATCCAACATGCCACGAGCACGTGTTGATGCTCGTTGGCCACGTATATGAATGCGCTTGAATGACTTGAGGTGGGAGGAGAGTCGTATAGTCTGGCGTACTTCATTCAAAGCATCTTTCGCCTGAGAAAATCTCAGATCCCATTCCAGCATGCGAAGGACATGGTCACATTGGTATGCAGGCGGCAATGTGGAAGGCAACCAGAGAGTGAGATTGTCAGGTTTGTCAGTGCCTGCAACTGGGGCTGATAGATCTCCTGCACGGAGTGAGACAACAGCAGGAATATAAAGGGCCTGGACCACTGTCCATGCCTCGATCTTGCGCCGAAGTGCGTTGCCTCGCATGCACAAGTTGGTTCTTTGGGTTTCTGTGGCATGAACCCCGAGAGCAGCAGCATCTGCACGAAAATGACGCCTAAAGGAGTGGTGAGCAAAGCAGACGAGGCTGTAATCAATAAATTACCGCACTGTTGATCTTCTAAGTCTAATCCAGAGGAGATGAGCCGAAATGGTGATATTTCATTGTGCAAGGAAGTGTTGATACCAGCCTCTAAATCACGAGCCTCGTTCTCAGCAAGTTGTAGTCGGACCACAGTCTGTGTCATTGCTTGAATTAAATCAGGACGTGGATGCAAAACATTCCAAATGTGACACTTATGTGCAACACGGCTTTCGAATGGATTAGGCTGTGAACTGTCCTCTTCCCAAGACTCCACTTCTGATTTCCAGGTGGCAAGGTTAACCTCATCGATGGCGCGCTCAAGATCCACGAGTTCTTCACCATGGGACTTGGCGCAGATCACCGCATCCTTCAGTTTACGTAGGAGAGTGCGACCTGATGTAGTATTAGTCAATGAGCTTCGAGTAGCAGAAGTCAAAACTGACTTACCAAGCATCGTGACTTTCTTCCAATTCCAGTCACTAAAATTGTCGTCTAATGTATCACGACGCGAGCCTGGACCCATTTCTCTGGTGCTTGTAGCTACCCGGTTGATATTGGCCCAACCTCTCTCTGGCGCTTCTCCGTCTGTGCGCCCCACACCCTTTGAATAATTAAATGAAAATTTTGTCTGACAAGCGGGGACATGAGCATTGAGATGAAATTTTGGGACAAAAAATCGCAAGTGTTTCTTCTCCCGATCAAACCATAGATTGAGAGGCATGGTGTCCAAACGATTCCAGATCTTCTTGTGCCATTGGCACACGATATCGTAAGACAGGTTGAAGTCGAGTACGTTGCTGCCGGCGATCACGGAGAAAACTAAGTAGTCCATGTTCACGTACCTGGCGGCAGGGTCAGAGGTGTGAGAACGGTGCTAGATGACACTTACTTCTCCCCCTTTTGAAGATCACCAACACCGTGAGCGAGCTTCATCTCGTGCCGTGCACAGTCAACTATTCCTACACCTGTGGCTGCGAGACCTCTTGCTGACTTCGTATCGGCCATGTTAACAGCATTGTGGCTAACGCATGTACTCCGCTATCCAAAACTCATTGAGTCACATGGGAATCAAACAGCAAAAGAGATCAACCTCTTGTGGCACAGTGATGCGTTCCGCCAGGTATGTCTTGTATTCACATTCTTCAACAAAATACGCTGACCCAGCATTCAAGCTAGGGTCACAGTCGTCACTTGATACCACTTTCCGTTTGAGACGGAAGTTCGCGTCTATTGCAAGAAAAAGGGCATGCAGCCATCTTGGTGAGTTGGTTAGTGGAGGCGGCTCGTTCCTGAATCATATGTAAGCTGACCTTGTATTGGTTGGTGCCTTCTCCCAGCCTTCTGGCAGGTTCTTGCCCGGATGGGGGCATGCAGGACACACTACTACACATTCCCCCTCACGTATAGAGCCCAGGCCATCAGGATCATGACCTTTTCCCGCCCGTTTGAAAGCCTTCAGATTGCGCCACTCTCGTATCATTCTTAAAAAAGCAGAATAGCGGTCCTGTTGGAGTGTTAGTAAATAATCAGCATTGACAAGCATGCACGTACCTTGATCGGAGTCATTCCGGTGTTGTCAGAGCGTCGGGCCAGACTATGATAGAACTCGTATGCTGAAACTTTTGATTCAAAAGACAGCAGATGGAACATCTCCAGAAGAGCGAAGCTTGCTGCCGTCTGAGGCTCAGAAGACGTAGCTGGAAACCAACGTGCGCGTAGCAACTGAATATAGTGAATCTGCACCCTTTCGCACCCACAATAATCCAATCCAATTTCATGAATCCCATGCACATCAACGACTACAAAGCCATCATCGCTGGCAGATTTGGCATTGAGGCACCATTCCCCTGGACTATGCCCGAGCTGCACACGCAAGCCAAGGCATTTCAGTGAGGTGCACCGGAAAAACTTCTTGTCCCATTCCTAGCCCAAAGTCAGTCATGTGAAGATACTTCGATACTAAACTTACATCTATTCTGTGCAAAGGATGGCTTGCATGACATCCGACGATACAATCTTGACACATCATCTCAGTTCCAAAGCAATCTCTGCACCGGTAAATTGGCTCCCCCTCGCCATTGCAATGACACTTAGCATGCTGCATATCATATCCGCGGCCTTCCAGACAGATCATTTCTTCCAGATACTTAGCCTGCTCTAAAAGCCACGATTTAAGAGGATGATCCTGTTCACACTGCATAAGACCATGGTTCTTTGAAAGATCATCAGAAGTCCAAAACTCACACCTATGGGCCGATGGCGCTTGATAGTCGGAACTTCCTGTGGAGTATTCTCAAGGTCAGGTCCGCTCACAGGGAGTTCATTCCACGAGTCAAAGGCTGGTGTGTCCGAATCCGCAGGCAAGGGTGGGTCCAGCAGCAGGGTTTGGGAGGAGGAAATAAATTGTGTAGCTTGAAGGACAATATTGTTGTCTTGAATTCCATATACTCTGTGTCGCTGATATTCAACAACAGCATCCTCTGAATCAACGTAGGGAACGAGTTTAGGCTTTTTGGAACGGCGGCCCCCCATCATATGCACCTGAGACCTGGGTGTGACGGTTGCCTATAGATCGAGGAGCAAATGAACTGATCACGATCGAAAAGCAAAGGAACTGATTATGATCCAGAACAAAGTCAAAGTTTGAAATTTGACTCTGACTAATGTCCGTTTTAGGAAAGTTTGAGAGGACTAGTTTAACGTCTGTGACTCTCAAAATATCTTACAATTGGGATCCGCTCAGTGTGCTGCTGCAGACTCTAACAGGATTCACCAAACTTCGATACTAATCTGTAAGTCAGGTACTCAATATCACTGTCTGACCCCCCAGTAGGCCCAGTCTGACGCGTGCCCTGCCCCCCAGTAGGTGAAATAATCTCTGGGCCTCACACCACTCTCTCGAAACTCACGCCTTAGCAACCAGCGTGTCTCCCAAAGTAAAAAACATTTAATTTGCTACCATTCAGGTCAGTACATATTAGCAGATGAAGTCCAGAGTACTCACAACACGACATTTTTCCATTGCACGGCGGAGTTGTGTTGCTTGCAAGACCGTTATAGGTGTGTCTCTTTCAATATCAAAGTCAGGTGGCAACACTCCCTCCCACAGCGGCCATCTCTCATCCAACTCCTCAACTATTTCATCAATTAAAAGGTCAGTTTGACTGGCCCAGGGCCGATGCCTCCTGAACGCAGGAATTTTAGACCGTAGGAACTCATCCTTGGTCTGATTAGCTTCCATGTTGATCCTCGTGCTGTACAGTGTTAGTGAAGGTGTTTATGGTGAAACAGTTATTTGCGCACCTGGTGAGGAAAGGAAAAGATGGTATAGGTTCTTGTAGAATTTAGATGCATTTATACGTAGCTTCAGACGGATTCGCACTGTAGGCACTGTGTTATAATTGAAATGTACTGAAGCCAAAATCTCGCATGAATGTCCATCAAATGAATTACAGAACATATTGTAGCTTGGCATTCATGTTCATCTCACTAGTATGAAGCTTACTGACGTCCTAACCATCTATGTGAAGAGTAGTTACACTATTGCATGAGTACGAGTGTCGCAAACGAGCAATCATGATCATAAATCTCGCATTAACTGAAGTGTGACCTGATTAGTGATTACTAGCACAATTAATATGTTAGTCAGTCGACCAAGTTCACGTTTCTCCCTGCCAGTGAATACAACTTTCATGGCACGACGACGTTTGTATCACACTCCTGAGGAACAGGCAGAGGCAGCTCGCAGATATAGACACAGTTATTATGAAAGGTATGTTTAGACACTGATACTGGAAGATGTATATGTTTTTAAATTCACCACAACTGTGTCTCAAGAAACCGCAAAGATGTCCTCCTCAAGAACAAGGAACGCTATCTTCATCGTAAATCCAAGTAAGTTTCACTCTCACCACCGTATTCACAACTGTGACTTCAATATCATTAACCAGCTCACGCATCATTGTAAACGATGTTGACAGCGAAAGCACCCGCTGCCCCATCAAAGAAACTGCCAAGCCACCTGCACCTGTGAAGCTGCCTGTGGCATCCTCACGGCAACTTACCAAGAACAAGATGGACAACTGGTATGTATTCCTTCCAAGTGTCAGACCTTGGTACTAGCTTTCATCTGTAGTTATAAACCACTGGACATCAAGAGTCGCTTAACGAGGCTCCTTGGTGGCCATGGAATTTCACTGCGAGAATACCTTGACACGATCTGCAAATCTTTATTAGGCCAGACTAGCAATACTCTCGACGTCGAAGATATCCGTTCGGCCATTGACGCTGCTCTGAAGTTGGAGAAAACTGTGCATACTGAGGAGGATGGGGTCCTGCAGCGCTATGGTGTTGGACCAAAGCTCCTACACGTCCAATCTGTGAGCAAGGATGTGCGCTACCTTCTGAGTGCATTGGAGGAAATTTTTCTCTACATTCTCTCAGATATCACTCAATTACAGGCCACATATGACGAGCGGGAACTAATGTTTCAAGTTGATGCTTTGATTTGATAGAGGCCGTGTTATCATTATCTCCATAGTCCGCGCTCTTTTGTGAAAATAGGTACTGCGGAGACAGGGATTCACCACTACCGCCCGAAGTCATTTGAATATTGTCATGCCAGCCAGTACTCACGTTCAGGCCAGAAGCATGCAAATCAAGTGTGATACATCAGGCCGGTGATACATCAGGCTCGTGTATGCTGGAGCCTTGGATCTCCAAATTAATGAGAGTTGTTCTTCAATAAGTTTGCCTGTGTCAGGCGTCCCAGACATTGAAACGATCTAATGTGAATAGCCCGCCAAAAATTGTTTCTTCCCCCCCATCGATATCAGACATCCCAGACATTGAAACAGTCTAACGTGAATAGCCCACTAAACATCGTTTCATTTCTCCACTACAAAAGCTCAACTATCCTAGAAATAAAGTACGTGACATAGTGAAATAGAACGAGAATGCGCACCCATATTTTTAACATAGATGGCTCCTCGGCCTTGGACATCACAAGAGGCGCAGGAGTTTGTCAACACATTCTATAGCCGATATCAAGTATGCCAAGCAACCAAGGATTACAGTACCTTCTGGCCACCTTTCTTTGAGGCCTGGAATGAAAAATACCCCGAGCGCCTTGTCGTGTTCCCCGACATCCCACTAGACCAAGATCTGGACATAGAACAAAAGGATATTGTCAAGGACGCGTACCAATTACGGAAAGACGTATGTATAATATTACTCACTGCTTTTCTCAATTGTTAACATGTCTTGGCATCAGAAACTTGTTAATAAGCTTCGGAACGACTGGGGAACATCAAAGGCTTCCAGAAAAGCCAAAAATCACAGGGAGAAAGTGGGAATAGATGCGGCAGCAAGTATTCTTGCAGCTCGTCAGACCAAGGGGATGCGGTCATTGAGTGTTTACGAAGCTTACTCCAAGCTTTACTATGCTTCCTGCATAAAGCCAGTTGTGGACGCAGAGATGCAAATGCTCAAGCGGGCTAAGTGCGGGGACTTGCAGCCCAATGACGGGGAGAATGAGTACGGCAAAGATGTTGAAGGTAATGATGTGTCGCAGAAGAAGTGTGAGGTGAAAAGGGTCACGGTAGTCAAGCGGATTACGAAGGAGATGTATGAAAAGGAGACCGATGAGGTCAAAGACGAGGTTGCAGCATATATCAAGCAGATGGCTGAAAAGAAAACCCAAGCGTTGGGAACAAGAGATGCAGAGATCGATCATCAGAAGTAGGTTCATATTTTGTGTGTGTGTCCGCACTTACCTTCGTAACAGAACCATCGATCAACTAGTTGATATCCTCACAGAATTTTTCCAAGAACTTCAACGCCTCACAGGGTGGTCTTTCTCCGTCCTTATGGGTGGGCCTACTCCTGTGTTGGGAGGGAAGATCGATGTTAGTAGCTTTCATATTGGTCGCACGGAGATGGGAAACCTCTTCTCAGATGCATTCCCTAACTTTAACAGTGGGGTCATGAAACCCTGGCTAGAATTTATCAATCAAGTATTTCGTGAGTGTAAACTGAATTCACGCACCAAATTTATACTAAATGTACTCTCAGCTACTGCTGCAGCAAAGGCATTAGTAGAGGGCCAAGGCATGAATGAAGCGCTGCCACCAACTATGGCTTCAGCACCTGATGATGTATTATCCCACGACAAGGCCGATACACTTGCATCCGCACTAGCCCCACCGCTGGATGAGTCAGAGGAGCTTGAGCGCTTGGCAGAAAACTATCTTGCCACCATGGGACATAGCCTGCCAGAGCTAGGTTTGCCCATGCCAGATCATGCAGGCCACTCACTTTCTCTACTTCCTTTGTCCTCACCACCACCTCCTTCTCCGACATTACCGTTCTCGGAGGTTAACACTGAAGATCCATACGACTTCAGCTGGCCTTCACCGCCTCCTATGGGAACACCTTCGCAGGGGCATGCTGGCCCTTCCAATTTGTCTCTGCCCTCCTCCAATCCTCCTTGGCTGTCAGGGCAAGGAGACTTTACATTTCCACAAGCTTCTTGCCCTCCAAGTCACGACCAGTGTCCGCTTCCCGCATCTAGCGCCATGGCTACAATGCAGCCAACTCAGGGTAACACTAGCCTTGATTCAGTCATCGATCCTCAGGCTGCACCCAGCTTGTCTCCTCCAGGGCAAGAAGAAGTGCCTTCTGCAGCACCTCCCATTGATAAGCCTGCAGGATTCTCGGAGGTAAGTGTCACTGATGTTTGTCATCGTTTGCAGAAGCGCAAACACCAGGAGGATAAGCAAAGTGCGGAACCACTTGCAGAGTCCCCAGTTGACAGTCGTCCCAAACGTGTCCGCACAGGGTCCAGACGAAATGAGATCGCAAACTCAATCGGCCAGGATAAAACTGCTCAGAAGAAATCTGCCGCTCAAGAGTGAGTATTTGGGACTCACTTGACGATAACTTATACCCACTGACATAATCATCAGGAACCAGAAGAAGACTGTTGGATAAGTGTAGATTACCCTGTTCTTGTCATGCACGCTCTTGTGGTTTTCCTTACAATATGAAGTTTTTTGGTCGTATCATTTACACCTTCGCAAACTTGTGAATTTGTCCCACAGTGTGATATATCACTATATCACAATGGCACCAGTAAGCTTCGTCAATCTTTACTTGTGAATTCTTCCCATAGTGTGATACATCACAAGACCCACTGTCATCTTACTGCTACTGATACATCAAATTTTGAATGTATTATAAGCTAAGGCTGGTATACGCATGCGCAACGATGTTCAAGTTAGTGCTTGTTGGTGTTGGCACTCCCAGTCATCTATCTATATTGACACAATATTAATATCATCGATCACATGACATGTCTCAGATCTCAGATCTCAGAGGAACACATATTTCACGCTTTAATATTCGAGTCCCATTGGCAGCTCATCACATGATACAAGCCACATGGCACTTTTTCCTCGAGTGGTGATGTCACTCAAGGAAAAAATGCCATGTGGCATCCAAAACGGCTCAGTGAGTTCTGGACTATTCTGTAACCGTATCTCCAAGGCACAAATGCATCGGCAGCAGTCGGAAGCAAGAAGCAAGTCAAAATCGGCTACAGTAGGCAGAAGCAACCGGTACAAAGATCATGAGTCCCGGGCCACTGATACATCACTCAGAGTCAAATTTTATAGCTGGTAGCCTACCAAAAAGGTTCTGGTTGACTGATATATCAGCTCGCAGAGGTCTACAGCTGCTGTGCCTTGAGTGATGTATCACCCTCAAAAAGGTTCTGGTTGACTGATATATCAGCTCGCAGAGGTCTACAGTTGCTGTGCCTTGAGTGATGTATCACCCTTACAACCTCAATGCGCTGACAACTCCCCATGATTATGTATCACAATTCTATGACAATGATCATATATTTGATGTATCATTATGACATTATAGACTGAGAACATAATAAACCGCTTTTCTCTTTATTTTTGTACCAATACCTGCTACAGAGCCTCTGTGAGTGTGACCCAATAGAAAACATATCAAAAACTGTTTTGCATTTTTGCCCCTCTGGTACTGGGGTACTCTAGAGTGTTTATAATATGTTTATAAATATATATGTACCTATCCCAGCCCTCACCTTACCCCCTAGAGTGTCCTACATCATGTACTGTGCTGTACTAGCATAAAATAGAAAATAGCTACGGAAATTTTGAGCTTTAGGTATATAGACTTGGAAATATGATCCCCAACATCCCTTCAATAGTATACACAATATATCAGGAGCATAGGGCAACAGGATCAGTCCCTGTGGTGCTATGTGCTTACCCTCTCCTGGTGGTTCACCCCCTGTGAAAACTTTTCCTGCAGCTCCATCCCTTCAGGATGGTAGGGTGCCTGTTCCTATTGATATATATAGTTTATAAATCACATAAGCCCACACGTCGAAAACATGCCCATATGCACACTCAGCCAGAGCACGGACTCGACACAGGCTTGGCAGATGAACTTCAAAGGTCTTTTGCATGGGTGCCTCTCACAACTCAGACGACGAATTTCTCGCAGGTCCGGAGTCAATTACGGATGAGGAGTTGCTCGAAGAATTTGACAGGTTTGAAAACTAGATGCTGGAATTGCGAGGCTTGCAAGAAGGTACTGGCAAAGTCCCAGATATTTTCAAGGGAGATATCATTGATTGGAATGAGCTGGAGAAGGTCGATAAAGGAATCACACCCACAGGGTTTGTCGAAGAGATTGACGTGGTTGCCCGTGGGTCACAAGGCATGGAGCCAGGCTGGAACATCAATACACTGTTGACGTCAGAGGGTGTAGCACAATAGCTTAGCTAATTTTTTTGCCGTGACCTTAGAACACGATAAAACGCTCGAAACAATTCTGCCAACTTTTGCCATTCTGCCATTTGCCGTTCTGCCGTTTTTTTGGCAGAACTCGCCCCAAAATACTTCTGCCCCCTACACTACCTGCAATAGTCTGAGTTGTGCGTGATCCATTTGTAAAATGTGGGATACAGTGGTGATATGAGCTGGTCGTTTTCTCGGCAGAGCTACATCAGTAAACCACAATTCTCCCACAGACTTTGGCTTTAGTGGCCAAGTGTTGACAGAGCCCCACAGTGTGACAGCTCACCCAGCACTCACAGCCGCTTCACGGATGAGATAGACTTCAGCCGGCAAGTACTGACAGAGTCCCACAGCTGTGACAGCTCACCCAGCACACACAGTTGGACAAGGACATAGTCACTCACGGCACACCAAGCATTTTTTTCTTCTTCTTACTACTAAGTACTCTGTACACATACCAATGCTATTAGACACAAATTCTAGCCTGTTGTGTTTCAAAGTGTTTGATGCTGCAGAACATTGAATCAGCTTGAATGGGAAACACAAATGTTTATTTTATTTATTTTGCTGACCAGACAAGGCTCCAATGGACCAATGATGACAACAAATGGTACTATTCAGGCTAATAATACATGGTGCACATGAAGTTCGTATATAACATTGTGATACTACAATATGTCGAGTTCGAGTTAGTTGAGTTGGATAGTGATGTTGCACGTGCGATAGACTCGGGCATTCAACCCTAAAAAGATGTGAGCCCCAGCGTGATAAGGAAAAAAGTCAGGCTGAACATACCGTTGACTCGGCTCGGTGATGCTTCAATCACGCAATCAACTTGAAGCTCATCGCCAGCAGCATCCAGCCCGAGTTTCTTTTCTGATGTGGCAGCTCTGATTTTGAACAAACTAGCCATAACCTCATGCTCCTGCACAATACAATCTGCAAGAAGCTGCTCTGCTCTGAAGACTTCGCACTTGCTAAATCCATTATGACATGCACTTCAGAGTCGTTGGGGTCATTGATGGTCTGCAAGTCCTGCATACATCAACCTTTCAGACGTGAGAACTTCACTGACATACCAATGAATCCAGAGCTTCGAGAATATTGTACAGCTCAGCACACAAATTCTGAGCTGCATGATTCTCAGATATGCATGAGCGCTTGAGGCCCTGGAGTGATAGGGAGTTATTCCTGTGTGTGTTGAAATGTTCTTGAAACATGTTGATGAGTTTTTCTTAATATCAACAAAGACATGTGACACTACAATTCAGTTCAATCGGCATTTGCCGGTACCATCTCTTTCAATGCTTCAATGTCCTTCGTGCCGCAAAGGCAGATTCGATACTCACGAAGCTGTTGCTCGCCACATGAGCCAGCCCAGATCAGGATGCCCAGATCAGGATGCAGCACCTGGATCGAAGACACCATCCGCATGAGAATGTGTCTTCCAGAAGATGATCCAATCAATGTCGATCAAGAAGCCGAGTCCTTCACTCACAATGACTATCACGAATCCACATCCCACTACGATGACGCTGACGCTGGAGGGTATTTAGATCATACTGCTGGGGGTTCATTTGATGTCAATGAAGAAGGACATGCCTCCAGTGGCGAATTCATTGATGTATTCCCAGGTTCAACAGAAGTATACGAAGGGGGATACACATTTCTCAGCTTGTTTGACGAGGATAAAAACAGCGTGCATCGCGTGAATAACCCATACTATCCCTTTAGTGGATGGAAAGACTGGGAAGTCGCATCTTGGCTGCTGCGTTCAGGCTTAAGCATGGGGAAAATTGACTCCTTCTTGTCGCTAGAGATGGTTAGTATTTCTTTGTCTCGTCTCCCCCTCCTCCCCCCATAGTAACATTGCTGTTTTTCTGTAGATCAAGACCCTTCCCTTGTCATTCTGCTCTGCGAAGGAATTGTGAGGCCGAGCAGAACAGTTGCCGAGCGGTCCACGATGGATGTCCAAAGTTATAGAAACATCTCATCCCACAAAATCCCCTGTGATTCTGTACTGGTGGGATCCTGTAGAGTGCATTGCCAGCATTCTGAACGATCCTTCCTTTCAAGATCATTTCAATTTCACTCCTCAAAAGATTTATTCTACTGCGGAGCGAATGTGTCGCATATACTCAGAATGGACGACAGGTGACGACACATGGAACATCCAGGTATGCCAAATTGGTCTTTGTTTTGTTTTTGCTTGCTTAAGGTTGATCTCAGTTGATGCTGCCTAGTGGTGCTACACTCCTTGGAACTATATTGTCTTCCGATAAGACAAACATTTCCGCTCTGACCGTCGATAGAGTCGCTCACCCTCTCCTGATTAGTCTTGCAAATATATCCATGAAGACTCGTGCAAAAATGTCATCTGACTCCTTTCTCCTTACCGCCCTCCTTCCGGTCCCAAAGTATATTCACAAGAAGAAATGCATGCGAGGCGTACTAGAGGACCGTCTCATGCATGAGTGTCTAGACATCGTTTCTGAACCGCTCAAGCAAGCTGCTTGTGTTGGAGTCATGATGTCAGATCCTGTGGGTAATAGCCGGCCTTGCTACACTGGGCTCGCAAGTTATATCACTGATACACCAGAAGCCATGATGTTATCCACTGTTGGGGGGAAGACATTGCCATTGACCATGGCAATGTTTAAACAGTTTGGGGACCCTTTTCGACACGAACCCCACACGAAGTCCACAACTCTCGCACAGCTCAAAGTCGTTCATACACGTGCTGACCCCCTTGATCTTGAAGCACTTTTCCACGAAGCACAGAAATTCTGGTTGAATGGTGTGGCTATGCCATTCTGGCGTGATTGGATTCTAGCTGAACCATTGCATTTTCTCACTCCAGAAATGCTGCACCACATCCACCGGCAGTTTTATGATCACGACGCGAGATGGCTCATCAATGCTGTTGGGGAATCTGAGATTGATTTCCATTTCTCCATCCTACCTCACATCACTGGATTCCGACATTTCCATGAGGGCATATCGAAGTTAAAGCAGGTCACTGGCCGGTGTCAACGTGACATCCAACGCAGTATCATTGCGGTCAGCGCTGACGCTGCACCTCCAGCTGTCCTTACTGCTATACGTGCTCTCATGGATTTCCAATATCTTGTCCAAGCTAGCCGCATCGACAGCGATGGTCTTAAGCGTATTTCTGCTGCGCTAGCTGAATTCCATGCCAACAAAGACGCCATCATTGCTGCTGGTATTCAATGTGGGGAGGGTAAAAAAGTCATTACCAATTGGCATATCCCCAAACTCGAGTTCATGCAGAGCATCGTCCCAAGTATCTGCAATACCGGCGTCCCCATGCAGTGGACTGCAGATGCAACAAAACATGCTCACATCACCGCCGTCAAAGATCCAGCACGGTCCAGTAACAACAACAATTATAATCCACAAATCTGCCGTCATCTTGATCGTGAGGAGAAGTGTCGTCGCACTTTTCATCCATTTCCCGCTATGCCCGACGTCACCCGTACCCAACCCGATGATAACCCGATACCCCGCACCTTAGGACCCGCACTTTCCCGTGCTTCGGACTATCCAATGCCCTTCGGACACCCATTATCCCTATGTCCAGTCCGTTCCCGTGCACCCCCATTGGTGAGTAGTCATTAATTCTCATGACTGACACTGTAGACAGCGCTATTACATGTGCTTCCCATAGTCCGCAGTACCTCATGTCTTTTTACATATTACCTTCGGACTATCCGCTATCTTCGCCTATAGGACTCCGGATTTCTATGTAGCTACTTATATAAGGACCAAGGGACTCTCACAAATAACTTACCTTTCTGTAGAGGGGAGTTCCCTAATACATTTGGTCCATGACACCTTGACACCTTGACACCTTGCCCAATACACCTGGTTATCCGCTCCTTATAGTCCGAACCTCTGCCATTCCTTTATTCTGATTCATCTCATCCGTTCCTGACGATATCCGCTCATTGTCCGTCCCATACCATTATCACCCGTTGAGTCCGCAGTTCCCGCGCATCGGACCCGTACTTTCCCGTGCATCGGACTACCCGATTTACTTAGGACCCGACATTTTGACCTTCGGGTTATCCTCTTCTTTGACCGAAAAGACACTAACTATCTTTCTTATATCAGACAGCAGACCCCTTTAGGGTCGAACTAGCCTTAGGCTAAGCAAGACCCACATAGGTATTTGGTAGGCTTGCCTCTTGGTAGCTATTATCCATATGCCGTTGTCGGGATTATTATTTCGCACAGCGGTACGGGAACAGTCCCGTTCATGTCACATAGCCTGCTCAGCCAATTGGTCAAGGTCAACATGATCAATTCGTCCACTACTACTTCGACTCAGTCTTACAAGAGAGCATGCAGTACCGCTCCGAAAGAACTTCCCACCATAGTACAAGGCTCTGCAGACGACCTCGAGTCAGTTCTTTGGGTGTTCCTGTGGGTCTGTCTCAACTACTCAGGCCCTCTCGGGATGGAGCGGAACAAAACAGGGTTGATGTCGGAGGGGTGGATTGACCCAGACACCACAAAGTGTGTTGGGGCCAAGTATGTCCTTTACCGCTCAGGAAAGGCGACTCTCCTCAATCAAATCGACCCCTACTTCAAAGACCTTACGACTCTCGCGGATACTTGGTTGGAGCTTATGAGATGCAATGATGATGAGCCGGTTAGCTGTGATCAGGTGCTGGACCTTCTGAACAATTTTCTGTTGGATTACCGGACAGATGAGTTTTCTCCAGAGCGGCATATTTCCTCGCAGGCATTGAAGCTTCCTCTGGGGGAAGATGGCGATGCTACAAAGTGCAAGAGACTTGTTGTTTCGGAGTCTGAGGGGACTTATCTTTCCAATAAGCGGGTGAAGGGTGTCTAGCATGAATTCCTTGTACTAGTATGGCGCAACTTTGGCGATTCATTTTCACATTCCTTTTACTAGCAGCATGTAGCATGATTTCCTTGGACTACACTAGAACTGTATCGCAATGTTATATATGAACTTCATGTGATCCTATTCCAAGCGGAGTCCATTCAGATTAAGATTGCTGCCGGCGGTAACTGGTTTAATGCTTTGTTCTATTCACCACTCATTTTCACCGCCAACGTTCTATGTGCTATGACTACATATGCTATGTAATTGGTGTGTGTAGTCTGAGGTAACTATCTACTTCATACTAATATCCCCGCTGACATTTGTCGATCGCGCTGACTCTACTGACAACTTGAGGGTGTTAGCCGGCCTGTGTGTATTATTACATGTGCGCCTCGAGGTGCATTGCTCAATTTGTCTGCCTTGCTCTGATTTTTAGTTTCAAAGGCAAAAAACGGGATTGGATGATTCAAACTCCATCACGGAAGTCTGGACAGCAGGGATTGAAATAGCGGTGAGTCTGGATGACAAATTCGCATGTTCCAGTCTTCTCTCATCCCCTCACACCAATGGCCAGTCCCAAGAAGTCTAAGGGCAAGAGAAAGGTTCAAGATCTTGATAATGGACCTCCAGCTGGACAAGTCAAGAAAACACGAATTCCAAAGAGTCACCCCACTCCTTCAACTGACAGTCACCCCGCTCCTTCGGGTGAACTCAGTGGCCCTAGACGCTCTGGTCGTTCAAATGCAGGGACAGGCGGACAGAATGCACAGCTGGAAAAACTCGATTCAGTCTTCGATGCCTCAGCTCGCAAACGGCTGTTGAAAGGCTCTACATCCCTTGGCACTGACATTCCAAGGAACCCACAAGCTCCCGACGCTCACAAGAGCCGCAAGCCTAGAAAGGTAAGACATCACATTGGATGTTACTCAAGACTTAATCTAGTTTTTAGGCCACTGCTCCCCCTCCATATGCCCCAGCTGACACAAATTCCATGGATGTATCCGAGGTGAGCTTTATTCTTTAGGTTGATTTATCTTAACTATTTTACAGGCATCTGACTCACAACGTGGACACGACACATCGCAGCCTCCCCAAGCCCAGAGACCAACTGTGCCTCCCGACGCCCAACCGAACTTGTTCGTGTTGAATAACCCATACGCAGCTGCCAGGTCTGAGCAGGTACCATATGGAAGCAAGGCAATTCCAGCCACCTACAATCTGTATGTAGCCACACTCCCCTCAGCACCATCACTTGTCACGGGTGCGCATCTGGAGCCGAGGTTTCTGAACGCTACTGTCAATCAGCCTGCTGGACCCGCAATAATTCCGGAGCATCTCATAGACCCAGCACTACACACTCGGGCATCACCACTTGACGCAAATACATGCTCTGTGCCAACATTTTCGAACACCACCCAGTATGTCAATCCACCATTTATTCAGTCTGCCACGCTTCCGAGGCTTCCACAGTCTGTTGTGTTGAGTGATACATCGGACGTTGAGGATGGGAGTGATGAGAGCTCAGCGGAAGAAGACACCGGAGCAGAGGACGAAGATGCTGATGGAGATGATGACATTGGCAACTGGGGAGCAGTTCGCGGATGACACACGATCCATCCAGGTAATCTCTATGTTCTACTCGTGTACTTCCCTCCCTTATTGATACTACACTGTCCAGGATTTTCTGAGGAACGGCCCCCTCAGCCCCCTCCAAACCCATGTGCTTTGACGCCCAAATTTGATTTCCAGTATTCACGCGACGAGGATGAAGGCCATGCAGTGGCTAGTCTGGCCTCAGCGCAGCCGAGGAACAATGTTCAGTACTCACGCAATGAAGTCAACACAGTGGGTGATCTCCATGCTCTACTCATGTACTTCCCTCACTGATTGATAATATACTGTCCAGGATTTTCTGAGGAACAGCCCCCTCAGCCCCCTCCAAACCCACATGCTTTGACGCCCGAATTTGATTTCCAGTATTCACGCGACGAGGATGAAGGCCATGCGGCGGCTAGTCTGGCCTCAGCGCAGCCGAGGAACAATGTTCGATACTCATGCAACGAAGTCAACATAGCAGCAAATCTCACCTCAGCGCAGCAAAAGCCCAGGCCCAAGCTGAAACGGACACATAGTGATGTCCTCGAGCAACATCAGAAGAAAAATGGTCTGTGCCGCCTCCCTGACCCCAAGTACCTCGAAACACTTTGCCAGCAATCTGAGATCAATGTTCAACGTGAAACTCAGCATGAAGTTTCTCGATCACAATCCAAAGCAAGGCCCACGCAACTCAGGTGGTACAGTACCAGCTGGAAAGTCTTCCTGGAGGAAGCGAAGGGAGAGTGTTGCACGGTTCACACATTAACCAACCCATTTCCAACTCTGGCGGGGGACTTACCAAAATCGATAACGGGAGTCCTGTCGGCCCTCAAGATTGAGTGGGAGAAGAACAGGAAGCAGGTAGAAAGTGGTAAGTTTTCGTGTGTTTCTGAGTTCCAAGGTCTCAATGTTAGCATAGGTGTGTGGCCTGCGCAGCAGTCTAACATGGCCAGGCTGGTAAGTGTGTCCTTGTTGTTGTACAAGCCTGCTGACCTCCTATCATAGCTCTACAACAATCTTGCGACTTGGCGGTCTGAGTTGAAGAAAGTCGTTATTTCCTTGACCCTGATCATGTTAGATCTCATCCCCCCCCATCAAGATACCCACCCAGGAACAGCCAGCATGGATCACAATTAGAGCGAAAACACTATGTCATGACTCTCTGTTCCTGCGGAATGGATTTGATATAAACATTTTTATTTTTATTTTTCGTTCATCCCTCGCAGCGCTGACATATGAGAACAGGGCAAGACTAATAATTTCACAAATCCAGCACTCCGAGAAGCCATCATCATATTCTACTACACTGGATCATACAGATTAGCCCGGAGAAGGCTAGATCTATTTCGCAAACAGCTACCTATAACATGCTTAGCGCTTGTCTCCGCCGCGGTATTTTTTTAAAAAGTTGATTCATAAAGTCACTGATCACTGACTACATTACATGTGCAGTTCAATTGTGTCCTCCTTGGCTTCTCAACAAACGGTACCGGCAAGACTTTCCCCAAATTCACTGTGAAGGAATACGGACAAATCTACAAAGAGATGATGACAATGATCGAGTCCATTTTGTTGGATCCATATCACGGCCCCAAACTGATCGAGCAACTTGAAGATTGGGCCGCATATGGATGGTAAGTGTTCCTCCGAGTCTTTCATTTGTTCTGATGCTGATTGTAGTGTTTCATCTAGGTCAGAAGGCTTGAAGGTTGATGGCGGCTATGGCTTGGAAACAAAGCACGAGCACTTGAAGGTAGTACTCGATTAGGCGCTGGACCTTCTGAACAATTTTCTGTTGGAGTATTGGATGGATGAGTTTTCTCCAGAGTGGCATATTTCCTCGCTTCACGTTTTCTCCTGTCGCTCGTCAGACCAGTACTAATATTACTGCATGTTGATACACATTTGTTAGCCGTTTTTGTCAGTTGCAATATGATCTTGTTTGTTTGTTATTTGTCTGTGCTACTGGTGTGCTATACTATTGGGAAGCACTGGGGAAAGTAATCTACAGACATGCCAAGGTCCGAGTTATGGACAAGCAGTACTTTCTGTGATGTCTGTGGGACACTGGAAAGTAATCTACAAACATGCCAAGGTCCGAGTTATGGACAAGCAGTACTTTCTGTGATGTCTGTGGGACACTGTACAGACCTGTTCAAATATTTTTCAGAACCCTACTGTCTGTCACAAGGGGACCAGGCTGTGGGCCTGGCATTCTGTGCAGCCCTGTACAGCTCTGTACAGACCGTGTGAGTTTACTGATGTATGTATGTGCTACTTTGTCGATAGCTGATTGGCCGTTTCAGAGTGGATCGTGAGCTTGCGAATGTTGACACGTGAAACATGGCCTTTGTAAGCAGGCCCATACAAAGATCCTCCAAGATAGTGCTTTGATCATAATTGAGCACATATCTAACTCATCCATTCTTAAGGATGCGCTCTGAGAATCGGATCCTCATTCCTCTTCTCTTCTCTCCCTTGTGCTCATCCCCATTTGCGCGTCACTCGACGATTTTTAGCCATTCCCTTTCATTGACGACTACACAAATCTCTCTTATCTGTCACTTATGGCCTTCATCACCCCCGTCGCTGGTCCTTCGACCATTCCTCCTTCCACAACAGGCAACTCAGCGACGGCGTCCTCTACCACAGCCACCAATCTGCCAGCTACTTCCTCCAGACATACGTCCTTAGATCAGATCGTTGCCGATAACATCAGGCGTACTAATGACAATCTCTCTCTGCAACAGTGCAGGGATGTGGGGGAAATAAATGTCCCACGGATGAGCTTCTCATCCCCCTTCCCCCATGGCCCACAGGCACAGCCTTACAACAATGGTTGTCCACCTTCGTGCAGCTCTCCCCCAACTCCCAGAATCAGGGTACAACCATCTTCACCCCAAAAACTCTATCCAGACCCAACATTCCTGCCGTCGCCAAAGTCCTTTTTGATTCATCCAAGGAGGCCCCCTCCGGCGTGGGTCTGGACTCCACCTATAACTTTGGTATTCACAGTTTTATCCAAGACCTCTTGGTCACAAGGCAGTACTGCCCACTTACTCTGTTCACTAATTCTAACACCGAACATCTACACCACGAGGGACACTCCCTCAAAAGATCGAAGATAAATGTCGCTGGGATCTCATATCACCTTCTCAATCTCTCTCAATTTGAGAATGAGCTCGACATGGACCCTCTCTCCTGGCAAGAGGCATACCAGCACTATCTTACCTGGATAAAGGACATTGGTGATGCTCCATCTCTCGACCGCTGGACCAATCATTTTACCACTCTCTCCAAGGATGACGTGGTCCGCAAGAACTTTCGCGCCATCATTGAGTTCGACATCAAAACACATCAAAACTACACTCTGCGCCCTCATCAACACAATCAATTCAAATGGAACCGCTGTCTGCAAAACAAGAAGTATGAAACAATGCAGGACGTCATGTTCTGCACTCAGGAACATCTCTCACACAACTCACTCCCTGATCATCATGCTCACGCCTCCTCCTCATCCACTCATTATGAGCCGTACAATCACGACAATGTAGCCAAAGCCCGTGGCAAGAAAGGGCCCGAAACGGACACACAGTCCTTTCGGGATGGTAAACCCACCAAGACCGCTGATCCCATGTGCATTATCTGCGGTCACACTGGACACTGCTTCTCCATCTGCTCTGAAGAGACTTCGACGAAAGGAGCACAAGCTTTAGAGTTTAAAAGTCCAGTTGCAAAATCAAAAAAAGACCACAACCGGACCGAAACCGGACCGAAAAAGACCGGACCTCAGTTGCTGGTTGCCTCAGGTCCAGGAAGGTCCGGTTGCAGTTGCCTAACTTTTGCGAAAAATGAAAAACCGGTCCAAGACCGGTTTCAACCGGTCTTTTTGGGACCGGTTGCCTATATATGGGTAGTACTCATCTAGGCGATTCTATCGGTGGTCTGATCTTCAAAATCGGTTGAGATTTGGGAAAGTTATAAGCATTTTAAGAATGGCTCATATAAGTCTGTGGGGTGTGTTTTTACGCTTGTTGGCACTGAACCAGGGATTGATTTCCAAGCTTAAAAACCTTTACCAGTGTGTTCATAGACCTCAAAAATGGTATGGAACATCAAATTTAGATAACTCTTGATGAATGCTCCAAGACTAGCACAAAGATCAGACGTGTTAGAACGGCAAGTCAAAATCAGTCAAAATCACCGATTGGCTCATAACTTACCCAAACCTTGAGTGTTCAACAAGATATGAGTAGCTATAGACTTGCCTAGACTAGGACTACAATTAACATTAAGACACCTAAGCCTTACGACAACTTTTAATTTTCAAAGACAAGCCTGATAATGATTTTTTGTCAAGCTTATATCTTGCTTATATCTTACCCTATTGACAAGATAAGACTAGCTATAGTATCACCTTGACTAGCAGCACATATTTCGTCAAGAAACTTAAGCATAGTAATGACATTTCATATTTGACTCACATGCAGGGCGGAGTTTAGGAACCCTTTTTTATAATGCTCATATCTTGCTCAGATCTTAACCGTTTACTACAAAAATTAGACCGTTGGAATCGTGGGAAGTGGTACTACACTGCCACAGGACCGGTTGTGGTGGCAACCGGTCTAAAACCGGTTGCAGGACCGCAAAAGACCAAAAACATCGGTCTTTACGGGTCCAGTCCAGGTTCACTGATATCGTGGGAATAAAAAGACCGGTCCTGGTCCGGTTGCCTCCAAATAAGGCAAAAGACAGGTCTTAACTGGACTTTTAAACTCTATACACGTTCTCAGATGGATCACGCTCCGAAGCTCTGGCTTTCAAGATCTCCGAGAACTCTTCTTCTCCGAACTGTTAAGACCGTGTTCAACGGGTCGGACCGGAGGGGCTTAGCTTCAGCTCGTGCGCTGCGCTCTTTACCCGAGTACGTGCCCCTAATTTACAGGGGGTTGGATATCGTCGGCCGAAGGGTATAGACGGGCCGGACGAGAGAGAGAAGACTACCCGAGACTTCGTCCGGGTAGAAACTAACAAGGTACAGACTACCCGAAGGTAGAAGCGGAGGGATTTAGCCTTAGGGATATAATCCCGAGGCTCGGAGGGTCGGACTAGGAAGACAATCCTAAGAGCCGAGGGAACACGAGGAATGAACTGAGTCTAAGATGATATTCGAACTGAGGATATACTACGGGTTACAAGGGGTTTATATACTATAAGGTATCCGACGGACGTCCGGCCGAAGCGCAGTCTTCGGATCAGAGGGCTATGTAGAAAATGTACTAACGGATATGAACTGCTGCGGACGATCGAAAATGGAGCCGGAGATTAAATGAAACAGGGGGGACAAGTTAAATGAAAGGAAAATGAATAGACTAACGGACGGATCAGAATGAACCCGGATATTAACTGTCAGAAGGATCCGGGCGTATAGGGGCATCAAGAAGCATATACAAATGGGGACACGGGGAAATGAATTCTAGAATGGAACCGAGAGAACGGACGGACCGGACCGGACAAGAAGCTTCAGGTACAGAATATGACACGAACCTTCTTTCTTCGGACTTCTCGAATCGCATCATCACTGCACATTGCCACATCACGTGATCTCTGCAGACCACCACCCTCTGGCGCTGCTCTGCAAAGCCAGACCTTCCCACACAAAAACCGGATCTACTGTCGGAAAAAAGTTAGGTGCCATTATAATACTGCCATATTACAAGGTCGGCTCGGTACCTTAACTGGGCCTTACAAGGCATTTCAACGGGCCGTTCTGAGGCATGGCGAGGCAAAACTCAATGTAAGGTCATCAAAAGGGCCCTTATAGGTGCCTTTTAATGAGCATTTAAATGTTATCTCCCCGATTATAAGCCCTTATAAGGACACCCTCCAAATAGAGCATTAAAATGTCTTGCAAGGCCTTAAAACCCTGGGAACTTTTTTCTGACAACACTTATTAGATTTGTGTTGATACATTTTCTTACATAAAGCTCTCTCTCGTTGATATCACTTAGTCACATCTTATCTCATACTCTCACATCAATATTAATATCTATATCAATTTAATATTGATTATTATCTCTCATCTTCACCTATCAGCCACGTGATAATACAAAGGTGGCCGTTTCAGAGTGGATCGTGAGCTTGCGAATGTTGACACGTGAAACATGGCCTTTGTAAGCAGGCCCATACGAAGATCCTCCAAGATAGTGCTTCGATCATAATCGAGCACATATCTAACTGGGCATTTAGCAGACGATATCCCCAAAGCGACGAATGCGGTCCCACGAAGAATGTTTTACCTCATTATCGGCGGCCTGCAATTTCCTTCCCAGACCATCTTGATGATGAGACACGAAGGTCTCAACATTGGGGGCGGAGAAAGTGGTTGTACGCGGGTGCATGAAAATTTTGGATATGGCTGATGATGATTGCAAGACTATTGTTCTTGCAGCTGCAACGTTGTGGAGGACTCGCGAGCCAAAGCATGATCACCCTCGAATACGCTGGAGTTTATTGGGGGCCTCGGCGACAGTTTGGAAACAGCGCCTCTGACCCCTTGGGACGGTGATACGGTGACCGTCATAAACGGCGACTCGCTTTGCATGAAGGCCACCCTGGGAGCACCTTTTAAGGACTCTAGTTGTTCTCTGTGGCCACACTCAGGCTCGTGGCCAAGACTGATTTCATCATGAAGTTCCCCTTCAAAATGCTGAAAGCAATGATGAGCAGTCGGAGGGAGGCTGCAGGGCATCAGAATCTGGGGAAGAACGACATGGAGTCGGATGGTGTGGGGTCCAAAGGGATCCGTCAAATTATGGTGCCTCGTGTGCACGGGGGCCAGGTCTGTTGCGCAAGGAGAGAGTGGTTCGAGGAATGGGTGATAGACTTTGTTTGGGACTGTAAGAAGAGGTGAAGGAGTGGTGATATGAGCTGGCCGTTTTCTCGGTAGAGCTACGTATGTGCTACCTTGATCGATAGTTGATTGTACTAATTATCAAGCAAAATACATGGGCGCTCTGGTTATCCAGGCTTACAGCTAGCTGTCAAAGCTCTTAGTCATCCGAAGGCGGTCCCGATCTGCGACGTTCACCTAGGTTCACTTCTCTGGAATACACATACTACTGGCCATGGAATACACCTGCGACCAAAGTTCATGGTGTAAGCTATTGATTTTCGAAGACCGCGCATGTTGAAACTCGAGCTCCACTTACGGAACAGTGGGTGAGTCACGACAGACCACGATTCGGTAGCGCCGATTCGGTTGCGGTGTGACTCTTGACGTACGTTGAAGCTGGTATAAATAAGGGGCTATTGGTCGAAATGACACTCATAAGCCCTCTCTATCCCTCTTAGAACGTCTCAAAGTCCCTTTATCAATACAAATGGCCCCAATTGGCTCTCTCTGGGGTCTTCCTCGTCAAAGTCAAACTAAATACGCAAGTTCCATTCAAGTTTTGTACACAGTTCTGTTCCTGACCAGACACAATACAGATATTAAGCGCTGCTGCTATCGCAGGCCTCGAAGTAGATCTCCAACCTTTCGAGTTCGGTGTGACAACCAAGTCACCTGAATTTCTCGACAAATTCCCCTTTGCCAAAATCCCTGCCTTCGAGGGCAAGGATGGATTCACTCTTGTAGAAGGCTCCTCAATTGCACGTTATGGTCAGCATGTTGTGCTTCGCAGCCTATTGTGCAATTCTTACTGTGCACCGCTGCATGATTAGTTGCATCTCTAGCCCCTGAGTCTGGTCTTCTTGGCAGAAGCATCAAAGATGCTGCGCTAGTCGACCAATGGATCCACTTTGCGGAACACGAGATCAACGCATTCACCAACTTAATATGGATGTTTGTGGATCGTTTCGCCCCAGAGAAAGCCTATAGTGAAAGCGTCAGTTGTTCTTTACGTATACAGATTAACTTCGAGTCAATGGCTCACCGGCACTTTCATTACAGATCCACAAGGCTGTATTTGAACGTCAAGAGCGTTCCATCAAGTTTCTCGAACAGCACATCGACCTCCACGAGTTCATCGTCTGTGACGAGATTACGCTGGCGGACATCATTTTAGCTGGTGTGATCCAACGCGCTGCTCGTATTACCCTCGGTGCCGCTGAACGAGCACTCTACTCAAAAGTCTTCACATATTATGAGAAGGTGGTAGCTGACCCTCGCATCAAGGATATCTTCGGGGCGGCAGATTTCGTTGAAGTGCCCATAGCACCCAAGAAAGCTGAGTAGAGCCTTATGTGGGGAAGGGGAAGAAGAACACGAGATTGAACTGTTTGTTTGTGTTTTAAAAGGCTCTGGGCTTTAACTGCCCCTTGTACCGTAGTCGAGTATGATTGATAATACCTGCTACACTCCCAGTTCTTGATGTCCCGGCAAGTAAAGCTGTACCAAGTCATCCTCTCGTTTGTCCCTCCCGATCAATTTCCGCGACAGTCTGAGTTGCGCGTGATCCATTTGTAAAATGCGGGATACAGTGGTGATATGAGCTGGTCGTTTTCTCGTCAGAGCTACGTATGTGCTACTTTGTCGATAGCCGATCGTACTAATTAGCCTGGATAACCGGAGCGCCCATGTATTTTGCTTGGTCACAGCTAGCTGACAAAATTCCGAAGGCGGCCGCGATCTGCGATGTTCACCTGGGTTCAACTTCTCTGGAATACACATACTACTGACAGCAGATATTCCGGATTAGTATTTGACTAGCCATGGAATACACCTGCGACCAAAGTTAACGTTCACCTTTGATTTTCGAAGATCACGCGTGTTGAAACTCGAGCTCCACTTACGAAGCAGTAGGTGAGTCACGACAAACCATTAGTCGCGACTCGCGAGTGAGTCAAGCTGGGGGAAAGCCGATGCCCGGAAAACCTTTTGCGATCAGTCATTGCATGGCTGTTGACGTACATTGAAGCTTGAAGCTGGTATAAATATGGGGTTATTGGACGAAATGACACTCACAAGCCCTCTCTATCCCTCTTAGAACATCTCAAAGTCCCTCTATCAATACAAATGGCTCCAATTGGCTCTCTCTGGGGTGATCCTCGTCAACGCCAAACTAAATGCGCAAGTTCCATTTAAATTTTGTGCACAGTTCTATTCCTGACCAGACACAATACAGATATTAAGCACTGCTGCTATCGCAGGCCTCGAAGTAGATCTCCCACCTTTCGAGTTCGGTGTTACCAACAAGTCACCTGAATTTATCGACAAATTCCCCTTTGCCAAAATCCCTGTCTTCGAGGACAAGGATGGGTTCGTTCTTCTAGAAGGTGCCTCGATTGCACGTTATGGTCAGCATGTTGTGCTTCGCAGCCTGTTACGCAATTCTTACTGTGCACCGTTGCATGATTAGTTGCATCTCTAGCCCCTGAGTCTGGTCTTCTTGGCAAAAGCATCAAAGATGCTGCGCTAGTTGACCAATGGATCCACTTTGCGGAGCACGAGATCCACACATTCACCGACTTAATATGGATGTTGGTGGATCGTTTTGCCCCAGAGAAAGCCTATAGTGAAAGCGTCAGTTGTTCTTTTCGTATAAGAGTCAATGGCTCACACCGGCACTTTCATTACAGATCTACAAGTCTGTATTCGAACGTCAAGAGCGTTCACTCAAGTTCCTCGAACAGAACATCGGCATCCACGAGTTCATAATCGGCGACGAGATTACGCTGGCGGACATCATTTTAGCTGGTGTGATCCAACGCGCTGCTCGGATTACCCTCGGTGCCGCTGAACGAGCACTCTACTCAAAAGTCTTCGCATACTATGAGAAGGTGGTAGCTGACCCTCGCATCAAGGATATCTTCGGGGCAGCAGATTTCGTTGAAATGCCCATAGCACCCGAGAAAGCTGAGTAGAGCCTTATGTGGGGATGGGGTAGAAGACACGAGATTGAACTGTTTGTTTGTATGTTCGAAAGCTCTGGACTTCAACTGTCCCTTGTAGCTTGTACCGTAGTCGAATGTACCGTAGTCGAGTATGACTGATAATACCTGCTACTCTCTCCGTTCTTGATGTCCCGGCATCCGCGACAGTCTGAGTTGCGATCCATTTGTAAAATGCAGGATACAACGTGTCAGCGTATACCTCGTCTTTGCATGGTGTAAACAACACTGCGAAGCTCCAAGAATTAATGCGCTGAATGGCACTATGTCCGGGTCTTATCGATCCAGGGTCAACAATCACGAAGGGTAGTTGAAATGAGGAAAAGGTGTCTTGTACCTTCATTCAGGATCCACAGAGATTGACTCTCGGATCGTACCATGATGCCTTGCTCTCGGCCATAACGAGAAAACAGACAAGTGATTCACGACATGCAATGATCTCACTTCGTCCGATATAACGTGATTAGGCCCATCAACTTTGTGTGGGGACTGATTGAAGGCGCCCTTGGATTCGAGACGCCCCAGAAGCTTTTTTCTTTTGGATCTTGTATGGAACCAAGGAAATCTGCGTGATGGATCTCAATCCATGCTTATGAAAGTTGCGGTCTGAACGAAAATAACGAATGATCCGCCAGATTGGCGGGCACGTACATGACAAGCCTATAATTGTTCGATATCTTTCATTTTTGCTTTGAGAAGTTTCAAGTTGACGACGGAAAAGGACGATGAGGAGTCGGATGATATGGGATTTTATTTTAAATGCGGGCGTCTGATGATGGTGCTTCGTGTGAATGGGACCAGGTCTGTCACATAGTGAGAGTGATTTAAGGAACAGGTGAGAGACTACAAGAAGAGGTGAAGGAGAGTAGTTGATACGAGGGGATCGTTTTCTTCTTAGGTCAACAATTCGGTAAGACGAATAGCCCCACGTCTCCGCACTTGACATCATGACACATAGTACATATTCCGTACCTGCGAGATCAAACGTCCCTCAGCTCCGATTTCAAAATCACGTAAAAGGGGAAAGGAGAGTAAATGAAAACATTTACCAAACTGTACTGGTGACCCTATTGAGGCCAAACAAGTTGCCAGTTGATGTTGCATAGAACGATTGGTACGTGAGATGACAGGAACCAGGGGTCCAGGTGTCAAGCGGAGTGGGGCACAGTGACGTCTCTACCTTGAGAAGGTACAGGAGAACAAAGTTGTGTTACTTACAAACAAAGAATGATACTCCTATGACGAATGCTGAGTGAGTCCTATGTCATGACCAACGTCACCACAAGGGCGATTTGCTCGGTACTGACCGAATCTATTAGATAACTTGATGGCATGCCAATGTACAGGGTGAAGCATGGAACTGATTTGGCAGAATCAGCTGTTTTAGTTCCGCGTTGAAGTAACAGGAACGTTGCGCATTATCAATGCGTTTGAGGAACAGGTGTGGGGGCTTGTGTGGGATTGTAGGAAGGAGTGATGGGGTGGATTGTGAGATGTGCGGGTCGTTTTCCTTGTTGGATTGTGGGGAGACGTATGCGTGATTTAGTCGGTCGAGACGATCATCAAGGTAGAGAAGATGATCAGAGAGTGAGAATCTAGTCAGTAGAATCATGTGGCGTCTACTCAAAATCGGTCAGATCAGAGATCGTGGAAGCAGGGAAGCACGGCGTGCTATGTATACAGTGGCCTAGTTATCGACCTTGATACGAGTTGATAAATATAATAGCACTCGTATGGGATCAGCATGTCCACTTCCGTGCTTGTGTAGACATACATTTTGTGGGCGCGTCTCCCATGCTGTCTATACGCTCTGTCCTGTCCCCGCCTCAACTGCTCTTACAAGTGTAAATCATCCTAATAGCGAATGGGTAGGATTGGTTCTGCACGTATGGAGGCAAGGTCTACGGCTTGATCCATTGCCTCGTCAATCTCTCCGATGAGGACACTAGGAATGGGAGTGTGAGAGCCAGTGTTGTAATTGAGTGATCTCACGCACATCATATCGCCTTTGACAAGATAGAGACCTAGTTCTACTTCTTCTACGCCTTCGTCGATACTATAAATCCTCTCCTTTGAATCGCTGAGGACGACATTGGACTTTTGGTCGTAACCAGCTAGGACACCGACGATAGCTCTTCCGTCTTGGAGTACGAGAAGGACTCGCCCTGGATGATAATCGTTGTCAGTTATAAAGTTTGATAGAGAGAATTGGACTTGCTATCGACGTAACCCTGCAAGCTTGACATTGAAGTTACAGTAAGAGACTGACTTGCATATGTGTGTGTGGCTGTGTTATTTCATCCACCAGGGGATGCCCTGCAGGGGCGTCAACTTCACCGTTCTATCATCTACTCGGTTTGCGTTTAATCTTTTCTTCCTACAACGACGCTTCTTGCTCGTTGCCATTAGCGACGTCGAATCCTTCCCTACGCCGCCATTCGCGACTCTCTCCTTTTCCAACAATGGAGAAACGCGAATTAGAGAAACTTGCTTCTGTCGAGCTCAACGAACAAGTTCGTCAGAGCAGGGACCTTCCTCAACCGGCCATCGCACAACAAGCTCGCAATCGTACAAAGTTCAGTGCAGCTGCGATAATTCCAGTCTGGATTTGTCTGAGTAGTGGGGTCATCATCTACAATAATTACATTTACAACACCTTGAACTTCAAGTTTCCTGTCTTTTTGGTCACTTGGCATTTGACTTTTGCAGTCAGTCGTTCGTGTTTTCTTTGTGCTCTGAACTGACAACCTTGTAGGCCATCGGAACACGAGTCCTTCAACGTACCACGCATCTTCTCGACGGTGCAAAAGATGTTCCAGTCAGCAAAGACATGTTCTTTCGCTCCATCCTCCCCATAGGTCTCCTTTTCTCTGGCAGTCTCATCCTCAGCAATACCGCTTATCTGTACCTGAGCGTGGCCTATATTCAGATGTTAAAGGTCCGTGAGGTCCCATGCGTTTTCGTTATCTGTTGGCGCCACTTCCATACTACGTGCCTTTCACGGACACTCGCTCATCTCCGTCTTGAATTTTCTCTATTGCCACTTCTTCTCCGCGTTTTACCTTTTCTATTCACGTGTTTTTCCTTACTACGCGTCATGTGCTCCCCTCCGCCGCTTTCCCTCTGAGATCCTGCTTCCTTGATACTAATATTTACACAGGCATTCACCCCCGTAGCCATCCTACTCATCACATGGGCCACCCGCATCAGCGAACCTTCACGCAAACTGCTCCTAATCGTTCTCATGATTTCTTCCGGCGTCGCCATCGCAAGCAAGGGTGAGAGATGGTTCAGTTTGGTCGGATTCTTCATTCAGGCTGGAGGAGTCGGGGTGAGTAGTTCATTATCTCCTCGCTGCAATGACTCACCTTTATTAGTTCGAAGCCACCCGTCTCGTACTCATTCAAACCCTCCTCCACGGGCTCAAGATGGACCCCCTCGTCTCGCTCCACCTCTACGCACCCGTCTGCGCGCTCATCAACCTCTGCGTCATACCCTTCACAGAGGGTCTGCAGCCATTTTACGTAGTATGGGGAAGTATCATAGGATCATATAGCCATGCGATGTCTGCTGTATCAGGCAGCGCAGCATCTGCTATGTCCAATGCCGCATCCAATGCCACCGTCTCAATAGTCGGCGGATCGGGAGAGTTATTCGCCGTTATAGGCGAAGAGGTGGCACCTCACATCACTCCCTTCCTACTTCTCACCAACGCGCTGCTTGCTTTCCTGTTGAACATCGCAGCTGTGTTTTTGGTAGGCGCGGGGAGCGGGCTGGTGTTGACTCTTGCGGGAGTGTTGAAGGATGTGTTGTTGGTAGCAGGGAGCGTGGTGATTTGGGGTGGGCAGGTGGGCGTGATGCAGGCGTCAGGTGCGTTTGTTGGTTTGTGTGATTGGGCGGTGTTGATTTCTCTGTGCAGGATACTCGATAGCGCTGTGTGGATTGGTGCTGTTCAGGGTATCGGGTGGGAAGTGAAGCTCGTTTGAGACAGGACCTTTCCGAGCTCGTCTATGACATTGATCGTTTATTCTGCTCTGCTCCCATATTGTCACCACTCCCCTATGGCTACATTTCCAGCTCTTGATTTCGGACTCGCTTGAAGCAGAGTCCTGTGTGCGCGTTTTGGCGCGTTTATCTATCTTGGATCGCTCCCTGCCGGATGCTCGTCCTCTTGCATATGATTGAGCTCTTTGTTTTCTGCTCCGTCTTTGCACGCACTTTGTACCATCGCAGTCACCCCTCCTGCATACCCACTTCCAACGCCTAATTCGCAATTCCGGTTCGAACATCAATCCTGCTTCGTACGACGCGCAATCCCATTGCGCACAACGCCCGATTTACCCCACCTTATCCCCAACCTCCGACGTCTAAAACACATGGACATTTTTACATGCACGTGCTGATATTTAACGCATATAGATAGACTTTGAAGATATGCGGACATTTGCCTTTTTCCTTCCATCTTTCGCTTATGTCACTTTTCGCTATCATTACACCACCATGCGTCATTTTCCATGGCCAACTAGCGCTTGGTCCGATTATGCTAGTATTGAGACTGTCTTTTTGTGTTTACTGTTTTCTTTCTGCACCATTCTTGACACTTGTTCCCGATAGCGTGCGTGCCCTACTTACCGGTACTAGTACTTACCCTCACGCTATTCCCATAGACTTCTTTTTTGCAGTACTGTGCTTTGCTATTTTGTGTTCCATAGTTCAGATCCTGATCACTGGGGAATCCCAGGCCTAGAGGGATTACACTGAATTTTACGCGAAATGAGGAATGTTTTCGACAATTCCAAGTAGGGATTACATGATGCATCACGTTCGGAACTTCGCATGGTACCACGACCAAAGAGAGTCCATTCCACCATAAAGGACCTCTTTGAAACTATCGGAAGACCAATGATACACCGTAGAAGTCCCGAGAACGATCATGCAGTCGTTTCATTCCAGGGCACCAAGGCTTGACACGAGCCTCAGCACTTCAAGCACCACCGTGACCTGGTATATCGTGCTCCCCGCATCGCAATTTCTTGGCGTCTTATGAACCAAATTCTATACTTGGATTCAAAACATTTAAACGCAGCCGTATCATCCCGCTCGCAGTACACCCTGTCCGGAAAAAGACTTTCGTTCAGCCTTCATTCCATCTGCGCAGCGCTAGGTCCAGCCTCGTATTGGGAGTTTGTAATAATGTGGCAATGCTTGCTTCGGCTGCTAAGTAAATAGCCTTGCCATGGTACTCAGCGGTGAGAAATCACGCACTTTCATTTCAGCTTCGCTTGTCTAATGATATCGCCAACCATGTTCTCAGTGATTCAACTGCTGCTGGCATAATGTCCGACTGTAACCATGAGGCTTTTAATTGTTTAAGCGTACAACCGTCATCAATATTCAGGGTTGCAGTAAGTACGACTTCCTCCCACTAGTTTTCAAGCCAATATTATATTGCGTATTCGATCTGCTCTTATTCCTCCCCATACCATTACTCAAGTGGCAGTTAAATGTGTCCAGGAACAACCACGTGGATTTAACCTAGCGATCAACTAAGAACTGTGCCGTGAATGACAGCACCAATACGAAACCAGAATCATCACTCACTCATCCTTGCTAGCCATCAGCTCTCGAGAGCCCTTTTTATTCCTTATCGATCAGGTGTCAGTGCACATTCCGTTGTGCTATCAGAAGGCGCAAAGGGCAAGTTAAGAGGTTTGATTCCTACATGCAAAGCGAACCGCACTCACACAATATTGAATACAGCAGGAGGCTCCTACGCAATCGGTACCACTGACACACGATCGCGCGTCAAATACAGGTGTTGCGCTGACAGACATAGACGCTGTCAGAGCAGCGATGACGGTGAGGAAGGAGAAGCGCATGTTTGGGATTGGAACTAATACGAGGGTGATATAAGATTTGTCTGCGGGTTCCTCGAAACTCTAGGATGGGGGCATGGTCACGGTAGGCAGACTACCTGCTTTTATGTATAGAAAACGTGGCTAAACGTTTTGGGAACGAAGATTGGAAAGTCATTCGTCAGCTCTCTGACTGGCATCAACTGTATTTGAATAGTGGGCGGGGTAACATTATGTGCTGTACGGCGTTGATGTCTACATTCCCTGTGACATACGAGACGGCTGCGCACAGGCACGCATTCGCATACACACTAGTGCGTATCATAATTGCGGTACCGGTATATACCGAATGCGTGTAAAATACTCACAAGCTCCTCCAGATTCTCCTGTGCTTCGACGGCATGGTCTAGGGACCTGCAAGGACGTCGTCTACATCTTGCCGTTCTGCTGCAAGTGCAGCCCAGAATTTACTTCCAGATCCTTGCGCGAGAACTGGATCAAGCAACCAGAGGAGTGCTGTGTGAGAGAACTTCATCACCATCATTAACCATCATCATCTGGCTTGTTGATATTAAATGTCCGTGCTTGGCGGTGAAAAACTCGAAAGTGGTATCCTTTGCAGTGGCGGATGATATGGCTAGGCAGATCATTGTTGCGACCCTTGGATTTCAGCACAAGGGCAGTTGTCGAGGTGACCACAATGCTTGCATTTCCGGAAATAAGTTACGGCCAGAGCGTACTGGCAATTATATTGAGAGCCGAGACGCGCAAAGTTATCGTTGATTAGGGATGGCACTAGACAGCCACCAGCATGGACCAATATTTATTATTCTGGGACGAAGGATCAGCGTCTGCGACCATGTTTTCACGTTTTGAAAATATATGCAGTGTGCATGTACATATTATGATGGACTGGTTCTCTGCCCACCCTGGGTTCTGCCAAGTGTTCTGCCAGCCATTTTTCGCGGAGTTCTGCCAAACCGGGTGGCAGAACTCATCAGTTGTGCCCACAACTTTGCCCGAGGGATGTTAAACATTTGCTCCTTGGGCCGGACTCGAGCATCACAGTTACATTTTGTATTCACATCGTGGTACTGGTAAATCTAGTCCAATCGCACAACGACGATCACGGGGAGGCATGGAACATACGTGTAGATCGAACTACGCATATTGATACATCGTTTGAATCGAAAATTTGACGTGAGTGAACGAAGCACATACCGCAACCCCTGATGACGGGTCGTAAGCTTGAAATATCAAAAGCCTCATAACAGTTGAGGTTGGCGGTACCGTAAATTCAAAGAAAAGTGTAGCAAATGCATGTAGTCTAAGTTAGATAATATAAATCGATTTAAGTGATACCATAATACCATCGGGTTACCCTGCACATCGTATCATACATATGAGTGTGGTGGAAAATGCTGATTCATGATTCACTTAGTATTTCAGTTCACGCTCCTCACTTGCCCTGCGCCATGATTCTCCCTTGTGTAGCACCAATAAAACCAGTAATTCCGTCACAACCAAAACGCCAGCCCATGCCGTATACAATCCCCCATCTCCTAAGGCATTCTATGGGGGCTAGCATCAGAATGTGTGAAGATACAGCAGATATCAAGAAAACTCACTTGGAGCGGTACAGCAATCAAAATTGAAACAAAAGCCAACGATCCTCGGAACGAGCTGTTGGTCGCCACCGCTGTGCATGAGCGACCAGGATTCGCATCAACGAGGTATGCCAATGTACTGGTATACATCCATCTGGAAGTAGATGTTAGCGCGTCCACGATCATGAATAATTGGTCTACCGACATTGAGGAAAATCCAATAAGTAGAAGCAAGATGCAAATGACAGCGACGTTGACATGCTTTTCGCAAACCCAAGCATAACCGACGACAAATGGAGGGAGCCACAGCATCGCCAGTTTCGAACTCTCCAAGCGCATCTTCAGACAATGTCAATCAAGAATTCTAGTGCGGGAGTATGAAAAAGATTTACTTCTGGGTACCACTTTCCTCCGTTCGCTTTCATCATCTTCGCAAGCACCCGGTCAGACCAACGCCCACTAATCACACTCCCAGCGATACTTCCTGCATAGGAAATCAGTCATCTGCCACGATCCAGGGTGCGAAGATAATCTCACCTACACCCAGGCAAAGCAAGACCAAGCCAATGGTAAACGCACTATAGCCATATGAATTGGCGAGAGTGCGGGCGCACGTGTATGAAAGGCAATAGCTGAATCCGAAGACGAGTCCTTATCCCAAAGTCAGCTCACTAACAACGTGGACAAGAGCCAAGCTGTCACTCACCATTAGCGATAAGAATCAAAACATTGTTCTTTCGCGATAGAATTTGAAAGTAAGGTGGAAAGGGGTTGATGTCCCTTATTGATAGCCTTACATCGTCCAGCCCTGGTGTAGAACTCGCCACTGAGATATCGTCTGGAATATTCGGCTGTTGAAGCTGCTTCTCGGTGTCCTTGACAGGTGTGTGGTCCTTGCTGGATTCGTGACCGGCGATGATAGACCCGTTGGGAACGCGTTCTCTGGAGGTAAGAAGTCGTTGTAAAGCAGAACGATATGTGAGACTCCGTTCACGTCGGTAGGTGTCCTTGAACAGAACGAGGAAGGACATGAAGATGATGACTTCACAGATCAGCAGGAAATAGAAACTTGCGCGCCAGTTGAAGGCTTGTGACAACGATCCGCCGAGAATAGGGCCGAGTGCGGGTCCTAAGAGAGGTGCAGCAAAGAATATGCCCATCGTGGTCCCTCGCTCGTGAGTGTCGTACATATCGGCCAGGGTCGCAGCTGAAATGGCCATGACAGCACATGATCTGCAGGAGAGGGTGTCAACTAGTGCTCAAGCTTTGTGGATGAATGCTCACCCTGCAGCTTGAAGTACTCGCATACCGATCATCATCTCGATGGTCTTCGAAAGTGCCAAGGCAGCACTTCCTGCCATGAATAAAGCCGAAGCCACCAAATAGACAGGCTATTATACATAAGATTCGCGTTCATCAAGTAGATCGAGAAGGGTATGCCTGTCATAGACCAACCTTACGTCCTCTAATCTCACTTGCGGCACTCCATATTAGAGGAAAATTCCCTTGTACGACTAGGAACGCTGCCAATGTCCAGCTAATCTGGCTGCTTGTTGCATGCAGATCTTCCTCTATCAGAGAGTTCGAGGCTGCGAGAAGATATCAATTTCAAATAATTCATAAGGAGAAGACATGTGACGAACGATTTTGGATGTTAGAAGCTAATGCAGACATCATTGTAGCCAGCGACACAATGCATAAGGTTGTCGTCTACAGGTAGTACAGCGTCAGGTTAGCCACAGAGCACATGGTGTGACACACCTACTTTTCTGGCACGACCCCACTGACGGGGGTCGTCGTTAACCGGGGCATGTTCTATGTCGATTGTACTATGTCCGTCTATGGACGACTCGACATCAGTGTTTTGGCGTAGTATTTGGGGTTTGGACACATAAGGCGTTTTAACAACCGTTGGATTAGCCATGAATCACAGATTGAAAAAGACGATGCAGTGGAAGCTTGCAGTCTCTGACCGAAGATGCATTGCTTTTATACAGTGAAAAGGGCCACCTGCAAGGTGATCTTACGCTTTCCGATATTGCGATACTGGTTAGTATCGAGCATGTGTATGCCCCTTTCCGTGGAGGTTGATCTTAGCCTGACTAGCCACAGCTATCGTAGATTGTTCCGACAGAATTCCGGGGGACTTTGCTTCCGGTTCCGAGGAATGCCATAGTTCCTTCTGCCGTACTCGAGCATCGACGGTAATAGTTCTTATGGCATTGGTCCGGGTTTTGTAGTTTCAATAGCACATGTTCGAAGACCTCCCATCCCCAGAGAACAGTGTTGCCCGGACCGCCCATAAAAGCGGCATAACAAACAACGCCTGCCAGGATGTGAAGTCGAAATAGCCTTGATATAAGGTTATTCAGATCAATTAACACGTCTAAATGTATGCGTTGTATCAGCGCTCAAGCCTCGCGCTACCTCGTGATCATGATGGGGGGCACAAGGGTCAGACTGATGCACCTGCCACCAGTCACGTAAACATACAGCATTTCGGACAAAAGAGAAATGGGATACATTGCAATCCGCCAATGAGGGGAAATAAATTGTGGAACACAAAAGTATTGCGACGAAGGAGAGTTAAAAAAACAATAGAACACATACCCTGTGCATCTTGTGTTTTCTTCCTCGTATCAAAATCTCCAAGTACTTGCAGATAGAATTTCATGATATCAAAAAGGTTCGATACCGGTTGTCCCAATGTTCGGTTTGTCGAACTCGCTACACTCGAGTTGATCTGTTTGCGCCTGAAGTTCTTCTGCCAGGCCAGACTGAATTGGGGCGAGCAGAATTGTTACTGATTGGAAAGATTGAATTATAACTTACTTGACCGGGAATAGCTATGGCTGAGTCCGTCAGTTCTGCTGAATCCACATTGGGGCATGGCATTTCTGGTTGTGATGAAAGAAAACCCGAAGAGACACTAGATTGATCACTTCGGACTTGGATAATAATCTGATAATGGAATGAAGATAAGAAATGCGTGTGAATGCAGGGATTGGCTTGCCTGAGGTTGGTTAAGTGCAATGGCGACGGTCCAATAGAATACGTTCCAACGCAAGGCCTGGGCATTGGGGTCTCTAGCTAGTCCTAGTTCGGTGGCTAAGTCAGCACTTGGGCTTCGTCTTTAACTCCGACTCTTCGCTTGTTGATCACACGGATCACATACAAAGGCATTGGCCACCGCCACTATTCTTAGGCATTTCGTCCCCGTCCTCCAATAAGTACAGGATAGCACTTGTTACTTACTAGTCGAATGATCTGCGCTACGACTCGGAGGCCTTGAATTTACTGAGCGGCTACTGGACGATATTATTGGTGAGATTTGATTCAAGAAACGATCATAAAAATATGCAGGCGAGTGCTAACTTACTTGAGGCCGTTGTGCGGGACGATGATCGCCAGCAGTGTCGAATAAGTCACTGAATCACGAAGGCGAGTAGTGTGAACTTCCTCCGATCGTCAGCCGCTGTGTTTTTGGAGCCGAAACTTTGAAGAGAGATGAATCAGATGATGAACGTTCGAACGACCGAGGATTAAGTTTGTATTGCAGGCAGAACTAGTGCTACGTACTCTGGGTCAGTTCTGCCGGTTCTGCCGGCAGAATGACCGGTTGTGCCACTGCATAGCAAAACAATCGACCTATTCTGTCGCTGTGTGGCGTGGCTCTGGAGACGGGATTTCCCTAGTCTTCTGCCAGTGTAAGTAGTAGGCAGCTTAGGTCAAGTTCAATCCGCCGTCTAGTCTATTAAGCGCCATGATTGTCTTTATTTGTCCTAAAAACTCAACTTCCGTGTTGAGGATAATGCCTCCTATATCCGAATCGCCGTCCTTCCTAAACCTTTTGTTTGATAGACCTTTCGAGCCGTTGCCTTTTCCTGGCCTTATCTTCATTCAACTTTCCTGAATGATCTAGTGGGGTTTTTTTTGACGCAGAAGTCAATTCGATTTTTATGTCCAAGGAACTTAGACCGACAAGGCTCTTCAATTACTACAGAGTCATGTGCTTCATGTGCTTCTGGTGACATAGGACACCACGGTGGCCGGTCACCTTCACCTCTCAATTTTTTCCGTGTGCTTGTTGACTCTCTGTGAATAATTGTTCATGCCCTCATAGTGTCCTCATGCTGTGCAGTCCGCGTCACCGACCTGAATTCACAAAAGTGTAGTGGGCTAGATCAGTGAACCGACAATCGCAAGCGATTTCCCCCACGGCCATGACATTTTCCAATGGCTCGCAAGACCTTATTCTTTGACACACCGCGGTGCTTGAGCTTCCCACCGAATGCCATTTGATCCCTTTACGCATTGTCAACTCGATTTTGTTGCTGTTGGCATTGTTGAAGAGACCGCTCAGCAGTTGTCGGCAGCTCTGATCATGTCATGAAGCCTGACCCAATGCTGACACGTGCACAGTTAGTTACCTTCTCAACTCATCATCCGCGTAGAAAAACATCCTTCTGAGAGTTAGAGCATTCCATCACATTGTAAGTAGCCTATTTGACGTATAAGAAGCAATCGATCTTAGGTCAGAGTTTCCAAACTTCCCCTCCCTCGTCATTGCAACCTGCGACTCGTGGCTACCTAGGTTCTCCTGCCCCGCACCATCCATCTGGGTGCTGATCATCGGCTTCAGCCTTAGTAGCGTCAGCGGGATCGCCATGACGAAATAGCCCTTCGCTACAAGCTTGGGCGTGGTGGCATGGGGCCACAATGAACAACCGTGCTTTTGAAAGGTGCGCTGATGAGATACAAGATGATGGAGAATTCGCTGTTCGTGACGCTCGCCGTGTCACCGTCCCACATGCGGGTTTTATCCACCGTGTATCTTAGCTGGAGCCTGGCACAAACTCATCCAACTGAAGGTCCCCACTGCCGACATGTGACGAAGATCGTGGGCATAATTGCATGGGTGAGGTAATCGTCTTCGAGCGCAGCCAAAGAACCAACACACTTGATGCGCAGGATTACGACAGTGACGCTATACGCGGAGATAACGACCCCTTGTTTCTCTTGGTTGCAACGTACCATTTACACTAATCCTCGCTAACGCCGTCAATGTGCTTCCCTCCAGGGCCACAGATTCCACTTAATGATATGGTGGGACATCAGTGAGGTACTGCCTCCTGGGGACTTAGTTTTCGTGATGTGCACTACGGAGAAACGGACGTTAGCATTTTGCCTGTACCCGGGAAGGAGCGAAGGTGGAAAGCACAATGATGTATACGACATTTTGTGCGGTGTATGTTGGGAGGGCGAGTGTCCACGTGTGGATCTGACCAGGGCTTCCGCCAGACTTGATAGCCTCCATTGTTCGTAGAGTCGGAGTACTTACTTGTCTGGCTAGTGCTTACCGCTCCCGTTCCTTGTTCTCATGTGGTGTGTCCAAAGGCTATTGAACATCAGAGTGCCAATGTGTCCTGAACTCGCGAGGGTCATGTACTCGACGCTAGAGCAGAGCCTTCACGGGGGATCCATACGTTGGGAAGGTATCCGCCAAGGCATGTAAGACGTCAGGTATGTCGGGTGGGAAGTGAATGCTAAGCGCTTGACGCTGTGTTTGATAAATGTAGTGCTTGTCCCCCGTCTATGAATTCCATGGCTTACGGGTCTCGCAGTCTGAGGCTCTTCTCTCCCTGCAATCCCTCTCCCAACACCAACCCGGCTTTACTAGGCGATTGGAATTTGGGTCGCAGTGTAGTCGGGTAGTTCCACAGCATCACTGCCATGGCCTAGTATGGTCAACTTCGATTCTTCAAGCGCTCGTGCACAGGACATACTTGCTGCGCGCTGAGCTACCAATGGACTGAAAAAGTTCATCATGCCAGATACTATGTCAAAGAAACTACCACATGCGGGGGCCACAGTTTCTTCATCTAGAGTTTAATTCGTCGTTCAAGCATCGTTTTATGATCCATCTTTAGTATAGTCTCGGTCGAGCTGTATTTAGTATGTAACTAGACCAAAAATGTAGCAACGGAGATCTGACTGCAACAAACGAGGAAGCGAGGAAGAGATCAACATTATCAGCGTCAAATCAGTCTCCGAATCGATGATTATCAGACATTGATTCGATTATCATTGATTACGAGGGCTACACAAATCTACTGCTACTAATTCACGAGTACTCGTTTAAGAATTGCCTGTTGTACAGAATCAAACCTTTCACGCAAGGTATGCGAGGCACGGATGGTTGTAGTAATGTAAGCTATGATTTCGTGGTAAGCATCATCAAAGGCAGTAGAGTTCACCGAGACATCAACGAATTGACCAGTTCGATAAGCCTGTAGCACGCAACGAATTGTTGCACCACACATTGCAAACAAACGATCGAGCGGACCATGTATCACGTCTGATAGGCCCCCTTTCAACAGGTCAATGACCATGTTGATGAGGACCTTGTTCTCCAGGGGCCGTTTAATCTCTGTGCCGTCGATGGTCTGTGGCCAAGTAAGCCAAACACCCCCACTGATTTGATGAGGATACTTACCTGTTCAATTTCGTGCAAGTACTCTGAATCCTCGAGTAGAATTTTGATTCGGTCTCGCGTGTGCGCCGGCTGGTCCTCCTCAGAAAATAATGGTAGACGTAGATGGTAACCAACTGGAACAGTGTTCAAAGCGTAAGATTTGAAGCTTCGTCGCATATCTGCTAACGAAGCCACCATATAGTGGTTGATCCCCTTGATATCCTCGATTTCCTCTATGAAACTCATTAGTGTCTTGATAATTCGGATCGAATAAACTTACCTTGACCGATTTTCGTTCGTGCGATTTGCAGTGCAGTATCGATCATTTTGTTGCGAAGCTCGTCTTCGGGAGCCCCGTCCGTTTCGGGATCCGCATTCAGGATGAGGCTGCGAAGATGTTCCTTCGCAGCCTCTTTGTACTTTCGCATTAATGTTGTCGAGAGCTTAACACGTCTCGAGATAGGTGGGTCCACGATTGGCACAGCGGGAGGATTCGGTACGACGGCCCCGGGTATTTCTGGTGTGGGGGGAGTCGAGCGTTACGTCGTCGTCTCCCGGTGTCGAATAGATGTTTTTGGGTCTGTGTGTCGGGTGGATACTCGGTCACGGGCGCGCTCGGGGGATGAGGGGGATGACTTACTCGGATTACGCCCTGGGTTCTTTCCCCGCGGATCGTCTCTCCTGGGTGGAGGGGTGCAAGGGCGACGAGCCGTGCGGCCCCCCATGGGGCCAAAGGGCCATCTTGAGTCAAATCCAACTGTGGTGGGAGCCTCGATGACAACCCACCCCGAAGTAACGCGAATGCGGCGGCGTACGCCTCCGCCACTGCTCTGTCCTCGTTCCGATCAGCGTGGTACTGGGGTTGAGGTGGGGGTTGTGGGTGGTATTGGGGTTGAGGTGGGGGTTGTGGGTGGTATTGGGGTTGAGGTGGGGGTTGTGGGTGGTATTGGGGTTGAGGTGGGGGTTGAAACGGGGGTTGCGGGTGGTATTGGGGTTGGGGCGGAGGTTGTGGATCATACTGGAGTTGAGGTGGATGGTACTGTGGTTGAGGAGGGGGTTGCAGATGGTACTGGGGTTGAGGCTGGGGAGGCGGATGGTACTGGGATGGTTGCGGATGGTAATGGGGTTGAGGCGTGGGTTGCGGGTGCTGCTGGTATTCCGCGGGTGTTGCTGCGCGGTCGCCAGCTAAGCCAAGCTGATTCGCGACAGCCTGCCCGCTTGGATTAAGATCTGAGTGTATTCCTGGGCGGAAACCTTTCTGTAGATTCAATGGTCAGTAAAAGAAACGAAAGGCTGAAAAAGGTACTTACTCTTGCGGCGCTGGGCTTGCGCCTGGCAGTGGATCTTGCTGGTCGCGGTGGAGAGTTGTTCATGGTGGTTGCGGCGTAAGATAGCTAGTTAGTCATTGAATCATAAAAGGTGCGGTGAACTTTGTCCCTCATCGATAATCGATGAAATGCATGCTTCTGCTATTCAAACCACTATAGTACATTGTACAAATGAGAATAGGGTTTCGCGATAGGAATGAGTCGTAGGGCGCCGACAGAAGTATTTGAATTGGTACCAAAAAAGTAGTATGGGTAGCATCTGACCACACTCGTGGGCGACAATCAGCCTGAAAGGGTAGGTTTGTGAGCTATTTTTGTGCTCTAGGGGGTAGAGAATATTCTCTTACCGTCCAAAACACCATAATCACTATTTACAGAACCATTGTCAGATTGTTCCTCCTCGTAAGCCTCCTCACCAGGCTCGTACTCCGTGTCACTACTGTTTGGCAGCCTGTGGGAGACGTATTGTCTTGCAAGCGGTGAGATTGACGAGATTTGGTAGAGCTGCTCGTCAGCTGTGGCTAGGGATTCGAGCTCAGAATCGTGTGATTCCTCCAAGTATTCAGCATCCTGCTGTAGGGCTGGAAGTTCGCGGCCCACTAAGAGCTTCTGGAACAGGCGAAAATCTGACTCTGCCATGTTCAGTCGCTTCTTTTCCTTCCGCTCAAACGCTTTGAGAAGTAGCTCGCTATATTGTACCTCCTGGATCTCCCAACCGAGCTGCTTGACCTTGTGACGGAGACTTTCTCGTGTAGCATGTTTGGCGTGCGCCGCCAATGTTATGGTGTCATCTGACAAAGATGAGAGACCGCTCAAAAAAACGTCTCGCCCCTGCTGCAGTTAAAAAAACTCATCAGTTACAAAATAAAAGGCCTGCTTGCCTTTATGACATCAGTAAGGGTGATGTCAGAGTTTCTTTGAATTGCCTTGCGGGCAAAACGCAGCTCCAGCTGGGTGGGAGCGCCAACACGCGAGTACGGGTGGCTTCTGTTTGCAGACCGCGCTCCACCCCGGGAACTGCGAGTGCTGCCGATAAGTGATTCGGAATCAGAGCGGTTTGAAATCGGAGAGTAGGTCTCTGAGCGTGGAAAGGGAAACGACTTGGGCTCTAAAGGCGGGGAGGTCAAAGTCATGACCTTCTCTTCCAGTGGTTTGGAAGGGTTAGAAATTTGGAAGGAGTCGACACGAGTTCGACCACTGGATCCTGATGTAACAGATACAGATGATGGAAGAGCATTATTGAGAGAACCTGGAATCATAACGCTGTCTAGACGTCGTTATCGGTGGTGAGTATTCAGCAAGAGATGTCGGAGTTTGAAGAACTTAGTGATTTTTTCTTCTAACAGACCGCGAGCACACCACGATGGAACAGGCAGAAGGGTGCGCTGCAACTGGGCTGGAAATACGAAATCATCACAGGTGAGTTCATCAAATGGTACAGCAGTAACTGACCGACTTTGTTAGTGTTCCCTCTGTACAATGTCCAAATTGCCGACTAGGGTTCGCGTCAAACCTTGCTGTTGTAGATCATCTCAATGATCAGGCGCATTCTTGTTGGAGCCGCGAGCCCACTTACCGCTTGCCAGTCCCTCCAGCTTTCCAACGAGGCGATAACAACCGGGAAGAGGTCACTGGCCAGTACCATTCAAAATCAGGCTACCTTTTTGGACGGGGACGAAATGTCTTACAGGAAATGGAGGATCATGATTCAGACCAAAAGCGCCGCAGAGCAATAAATTCATCGTACCCTTTCGTTGATCAGGCTGAATGGCAACTAGCAGAATTTCTCATCCAGCGGTTGACGCAAACTGATATTAACAAGTTTCTGAAGCTAGATTGGGTGAGTGGTGTTATCTGTATCTGCAGTTCTGACTGCGCTGACCATGAGCCCTGCACAAGTTTAAATCCAGACCCAGCCCATCCTTCAAGAGCGCAGATCAGCTATTTGGCTGGATCGATGCATTACCAAGTGGCCCAGCGTGGCAATCAACAACACTCGAGTTTACCAACTACACAACCATAAGGCCAATCGAGCTAATCTGGCGTGACGGCCTCGAAGTCGTCAAGGATATCTTCGCAAACCCAATATTTTCCAACCATATGATGTACGATCCTCACATTGTTATGGTCGGCTCTGAACGCGAATACGGCGAATTCTTTACTGCCAACAGGGCTTTCGCTATTCAGGTATGGCTCTTTGTTAGTAGTAAGGCAGAATCACTCAGCGCTCTGCAGAACAACCTTCCAGAAGGTGCAACCATCATACCAATCATCCTTGCATCGGACAAAACACCCGTAACCAGGATGTCAGGTGGATTAGAAATGCACCCAGTGTTCCTTACGATCGGCAATATCCAATCTGAAGTTCGGATGAAGGCCACTGCTCACGCATGGAGTTGTGTTGCATTCATCCCGATTCCAAAGTTTGACGTTCACGGGGATTTTCAAACGCTCCTCCACGCTCGTTTGTTCCACAAGTGCATGGATTTGATATTCGCCAAATGCAAGGTGGCTACGAGGATCGGCGAATACATGCCAGATCCCATGGGTTATCTCCGGCACTGTTTCACTCCACTCGTCGCATACACAGCCGATCTCCCTGAGGCACAGCTCATTGCTTGTGTCTCAAAGAGCGCATCACCACTTACAATGGCTACCCAAAGTGACTTTGGTAGTGCGCAACTTTTCCCCCGTCGAACAGGCGACCACACACTCAAGCTCATCTACGACTTATGCCAACGCGTTGATCCGTGGAATGTACCGCTCTTCCAACGTGAAGCCAAAGCATTGCTGCTCAGCGGTGTTCATCAGCCATATTGGAGAGATTGGCCGTATGCAGATCCAAGCTCTTTTTTGCCCGGCGAACTGCTTCACACGTGTCACAAATATTTTGGCGACCATCCTTTGAAATGGTGCAAGGAGGTTGTTGGGGAGGATGAACTCGATGCTCGCTACAAGGCGCATCATAAACGAGTCGGGACGCGTCATTTTGGGTCCGGTATCTCCCACATCAGCCAGATGACCTGCCGAGAACATCGCGACATCGAACGGACCATCGTTGCCACGATCGCTGGTGCAGCGAACACAACCCCCAATTTCGTACATGCTATCCGTTTCCTCACCGAGTTCATCTACCAGGCACAGAGCCCCATCCATACCGACTCGTCCATTGATGCTATGGTGCACTCCCTCGGCGAGTTTCATAGGCTGAAGCAAGCGATACTCGATGCTGGTGCTCGGAGAGGCAAGAGTGGAACGATCAACAACTTCTCCATCCCGAAGATCGAATTGTTTCACAGTTTTGCGGGGTCTGTCAAAGATCTCGGTAGTTTGCTACAGTTCTCAGCCGATGTCAGTGAACGGCTCCTGATCACGCACTGTAAATTTCCTTTCGAACGGACTAGTCGCCAAGCCAGGAATTTTACCCTACAGGTCGTCCAGATACTCAATCGCGATGAAACCATGCGTCGTTTCAATCTGTATACCCTCTTGCATTCGCACGGCACACCGCTCGTGAATGCAATTGCAACCGAAGATAGTATTGTCGCAGAGACAGATCCCACACTGGCCTGGATAGCGCGTGTGCTCCCCGGCGAGCAGAAGCGCTTCCATGGCCCGCGTCCCATCCGAAACCATTTTCTGAAGGGAATTTTGTCCGTTGAAGCTAATGCTGCTTTTCACGTCACCGTCTCCCCCGATCGCAAGTCCCTTTCTATCACTGATTTGCAATCTCTCTACTCCCTCCCCGATTTCGGCGCGGTGCTCGCAGAATATATCAACGATTCGTCCCAGAACACCCCGACAACGGCCTGGACATGTACGCGAGATTCAGTCAGGACATGGAACAAATTTCGTTTACAGCTGCTATCTACCTTCAAGTCGCGAGTCATGATGCCCAGCCAAATTGTTCAAGCGTTTCCACCATCGGACACCTTCCCTTTGGGTAATTGTGACGCGGTGCTCGTGCAATTGCCTGCTAACGATGGTGAGTATCTGACTGCCGTCGTTATTCATGCGCTTACAAGCCTGTGCAGATACCTACATCGCACAAGTCCGTTGCATTTTTCAAGCCGTCGCGAAGAAAGGTCATACACTGCCCCGCTATCTTGAAGACTCTCCCCTGCTATACGTTCAGTACTTTCAGATCACAGCAACGCCTACTGAGGATACGAGCGCTGGCATGTACCGCGTGAAACGCATCTATCATCGGGATGGCACAGGCCGGGTCTTCCGACCCGGCAGCATCATTCCACTCACAGTGGTCACCTGTGCCATCGAGCTTATTCCTGTGTACATCAGGGATCCGACGCGAAAAAGATAAAGATTGACAAAGCATTATCTAAAATAAAATGCGTATAAAATCTGTCATAATTGTACTCCAAATGAGAAAGCTTTAAATACCCGGAGTAAGTTGGATAGAACCTGCCAAATGCACAATGGTGACAGTCTCGCTGCAACTACCTGCCGGCTTATCGTCACAACGGGACAGGTTGCAACACCCAACAGTCGTGACAAGGGAATATTGAGTTGTTAAAAGTCTCCACCACTATCTAGTTGTGTATTAATTATAATGCACTACAATTTTGCCTGCCCTATGTACCCTTTGATTGTTTTTTCTTCGTTGACAATTTCCACATGAATGCCTAAGTCAGATCAAGCTTTATATGGCCGGACTGCGTTGGATCAAAGCTGCCGATGCCCCAACGATGTCATGTGATCATAGCGCAGCGCCTTGTTATCTCGATGTGGTTGTGATGTCGCCAAGTGCACAATGTGGGTAACAAATGACAATCTACTATGATCCTTCCCAATGCTTACAGGTTATCATCATCAGATATAAGGTGAGGGGGATATTTTATTCCTCGCAAACTCTAAACAAACGCTGGCTCTAGATACAGTCTTCGAAGACCAGGCTGTCTCTGATCGAGCTGCCTTTGGTCCAAAGGTGCGAAGCGATGACAACATCGTGCCATCCCCCAGCTGGTCGCCGAGGCTCGGTCATCAGATATAAGGTGAGCGGGATATCGTATTCCTCGCAAATTCTGAACAAACTCTGACACTAGATATAGTCTTCGAAGTCCAGGCTGTCTCTGATCGAGCTGCCTTTGGTCCAAGCGCGAGAAGCGACGACAACATCGTGCCATCCCCCAGCTGGTCGCCGAGGCTCGTTCATCAGATATAAGGTGAGCGGGATATCGTATTCCTCGCAAATTCTGAACAAACGCTGACATTAGATATAGTCTTCGAAGACCAGGCTGTCTCTGATTGAGCTGCCTTTGGTCCAAGCGCGCGAAGCGATGACAACATCGTGCCATCCCCCAGCTGGTCGCCGAGGCTCGGTCATCACGTTCCATCTCAGTTGGTTATTTTCGATGGTCCCAGCTTACGCGGGGTTTAGCTGAAGGTCAGTTATCTTGCAGGGCAGGCTCGCGCGGAACAGTATTGCATAGGAGATCATCGTGCTATATGATGAGAACTTAGTATCGTTGAAAAGCGGGATTTCTGTTGTTTTGTGATGAGGTGATTTGGAGGCCAGTATTGTAGTCATTTCAATGCGCTAGCTTGGTTCCGATAGTCACGAGATGGCTAGTATTAAGTGGTATTTGTATTTACTACATGAGGACATAAAGACTACGAAGGGATTGTGTTCGAATCTGCCGCCTGTTTGGCCGCGAGGCGCTTGAGTCGGATTTTCGATAAGGCGCTGTTGGCGCTAATTGATCGCTTGGCGGCAGAGGAAGTAGGGAAGACTTGACTGCATAGAAATATATAAGCTTCAGTGAAATGGTAAATAGAAATAGAGAAATCAATACCGATTCCACCATGTCAGCAGCTCCTCAACCTCCTTCGATTCATCAGGGTCTTCGAAAAGGTCAAGGAGGCTATGATAAAAGGTCTCTGAGTCCGTGGTAGTGTCGGTCCGCGAGAACACCGAGGAAGAGCTTAAAGCGAATCGAACCTTCAAATGTAAGTATATCAAAACGCTTAGCTATAAATATATAGAATCAACGAACCTGAGTTGCAACATAAGCAATGGAAGCAATGGTGACGGAGTTCATCCCATGGAGACGAGCATTTCCGGATCGTGTCGCTTTTGGCTCTTTGTCGACTGAACTTGGGGACGTGAAGATGTGCTTATAAGCCTGGCGTCAAAAATATAGTGAAAAACTATGGGAAAAGATGTCTCCACTCACGCATACCAGCAACCGGCTCCTAAGAAGCCCACACCACGGGTCTTCTGTGTCATACGTATGGTGGGCGAACAAAAAGATAGGCCATTGATCCCCACACACCGACAATTCGCCGCTTCGGAGGTTCTCTCTCATTCTACGCAAAGTTTTCAGCACTGCAGACACCGGAAAACCAAGAACATACTCTGTATTGTTCCAATCCAACCCAGCAGGACAAAGTAGTGATCCGGTAAGCTCGTGGTTGAATCCGCGATCAATCTTCGAGTTCCTGTGCAAAGGAGGCTGGATTGCTGCGTCTTTCGGCGTAATCCAATCAAGTATGGCAGACTTGAGCGTTTTTGTGTCGTCGCCTCTCGCGCCTGCAGCTCCTTTACCGATCTGAAACCCATCAGTATGAACTCTGACCACGCAAAAAAACAACGCACTAGCTCTCCAACATGGAGGATTTCTTCCTCAGACCCGTTTTGTAGGCGCTCCAAAAGGCCGGGATAAGACTCTAAGAGCTGTTCAAAGACGCGATGTTCTCGTCGTTCTCTGCCAAACGCGTCAGTCAACAGGCTAGTTAATAAGGATGGTGTTTTTTCACTCAGCGGAGAAGTCCTCCAGTGGGGTATTTTCCATTTGTTCTAATCTGAGGATACCGTTGGTGAGTAGAGAGGGGTAGTTACACAGCGCGAATACGGTTCGACCAAAGTGACGCCCGTGGGATATGAGAGGATCAGACGTAGAGCTGTGCGACAAGGTGAGCATACAAAGCCAGAGCCAAACTTAATCAACTTGCGCTTTTTTGCGAGGCCCCAATTGCAGGGCAGATGCAGCGCGTTTGCTTGGAATGTTGGAAGTACCTTCGGTGGTCATGAGAGAGCCGGCAAAGATTAAAATGTAACTGTATCTGAGCAGATACTAGGACCTAGCTTTTTATCTCCAGTACTATGCCGCGTGGGATTCCAGGTAAGCGGTGTACCTGATGGCCGCCAAGCAGAGACCAAGGAGACTGGCCGCTAAGCACTGGCCGCTGTGCTGGCCGCTAAGCACTGGCCGCAATCCTGGCAGCTATGAAACCGGGACCGAATACCCTTCCGTCTAATCAACGGCAATGAATAAAACAGTTCAAAGAAGCGCTGAAGAATTACCAGAGGATAAAAGCTCCCTGGCCAGACTAAAATTGCCATACATATTCACCACTACGTCCAACCCGAATGTCACAAACCTTGATTCAAAGTCAAACCTTGAATCTATCTGGATGTGTTATTAGTTTGAACCTTCGGTGAGCCTGGTAACCCACTGACAGCAGGACGTGCTAATTGTGTTTTAGGATTGAGTTGGCGAGCAAAGTCAATGGGGGAGGCGAGCCTGCAGAACTCGCCAGTGTAAGGTACATGAACACCACCATCAATCAGTTTCAAATCTGACCGTATATCAGCGACGCGTATGTCGTCAAGAACAGGCCCTCAACGGAGAACAAAGATCTGCCGGAGCACAACCGTGAAACCCACGAAGAGTCCGTGGCCGAGCTCAAGGAACGACTGCGACTTGCAGAATTGAATATATCGAAACTGGGAGAGCTGTATCGAAAATACAGACTGCGTTGGCTAGAGGAAAATCATCGGGCAACGATATTGGAGGAATACGCACCAAATGGAATCAGTACTACCTCTCCTGGCCAGATTATATGGAACGCCCCTTCTCCCTTTCCAAGTATGTCCGACGCGTATACGCCTAAAATAAACTGACTGTCTTTCTTAGCTAATGTCAACGACCCCGAGAATCTAGAAGAAGACATACCGTAGCACTGTCGTGTAGTATTACAGTCGCTGTACAGAAGATGTCAGTGACTCTTCATGGGGCAATTTTGTCGTTATTGGACCTTGAAGTGATGAAACATGCCCGAAAGAAAAAGTTCTTTTCCAGAGTAGGCCCGAATCAATTGTTTTGCCCGCGGTGAAGGAAAGTCAACTGAGTTCCGCCTAATCCAGCGGTTCGATGTCGATATGCCGAGCGACGTGCAGGTCACGAAGGTAGTGGAGGAGGGACGACAACTGATTCATCATTCGTGAGCCAGCTGGCGTTACCACGCCGGCTGCGAAAGCAGATTTTCAACTGAGATACGCGAGCTTGTAGGACTTTATTCACGAAGTGCAAAAGCGCGTAAGCCTTGAACAAATTCAGTTGATTTGATGGCGATATGCGAGGTGTAGCTGAACGGGATATGCACGAGGTAACACGAAATGTACAGAGCGATGACACTGGTAAAGCGTGATGCAAGCGAGATCAGAGCAAGCAACAATGGAGGGGGTGTCCGGGCGGGTACTGGTGCATTTGCGCGAATCGACAAATCGAGCGCAGGCGGACAACGAGCAAGATGCGTAGAGCACTGAGACAGCAGCGTGACAGCGACAAATCGAGCGCAGAGCAGAGGGCATAGATGTGGCGCATAAACAGGCGGGTGTGCGGGGGGAAAGGTATTTGATAATTATAAGATCAACATAAAGAACAAAATCAAAGAACAAAAAACGAAGTTGGCGTTGTGGGATGGATTGATGGTTGAGTTACACAAAATTAACTATGATCATGATGCTCGTGTGATGGATATGATGCAGGCGGGGGTTAGATGGTGTAGGTGTCCGTAAAATGGATATGCGTTTTGAGTGATTATTAGCCGTGATGATGTAGAAGATTGAACGAGGGGGTAGGGACCATGCACGTCGTCGGCCCTATGAGTTTTCATCTTTGAAATCCTCGTCGCCGTCCATGCCTGCTGCTGCTAGCCGCTCCCTTTCCGCCCGATTCTTTGCACGAATAGCTGGCAACTCATCCAAAAGAGACACCTGCTCGCCCTCTTCCCACCGCTCCAGAGCCCACTCTCGTACCAGTATGCTCACCTGCAAGATGACTAGGTCAGCTACTTCAAACGTGCAGCTCATTATGACGCACCTTCATGAATCGCTTGCCAGCGTATTTCTTGTAAAATGATTCGTGACGGACAGGTTTGAGAATATAGTTGAGCATCAGGTTGGCGGTCGGAATTATGGAGCTTTCCGCATACGACGAGTAATGGGCATGATTGGGAGTCTAGAATCCGAAAATGTTATCAACGAGATCAAAATGTGGCATACACATGACGTACCCATTTCGGGCTTCATACCTGGATCCCGCGTCTACGTGTAGTTCAACGGATCAAAAATGACCGGGAGTTCGATTCTTGCGGCCAGAATGCTTCGTCTGGTAGTACTTGGAGAAACGGCCGTATGTAGCAAGAATTTCGGGAGGAATGATGAAGTCGTTATTGGGTGCGCTGAGCGGCCAGAAGTTCGTGCCGAGAACCATGATGGAGAAGTTGATGTCCATATCCTCGTGGTTCTGCATACGCTCCTGGAACTGATCAGTGAGGTCTTTACTGAGACTCATGTCTACGAGAAGCAAGTAAGCGACCGAAAGGTGATGGATGGAGCATGGAATGCACCTGTGAACATTCTCTGCAACTTGTTGGTGTACTCGAAACCACAAGCCTCCTTCAGCTTGGAGATCATGCTCGCCTCGAATTCGTCCGATGCAGATACACCGTGAATGAGGCGCTTAGACAATTTCGTAGCGTAGAACGTCTGGAAGACGTCCTTGTCCTCGATGTACTTGAAAAGTACCATCTACGCACGCAAATGAGAAATCAGCACAAAGCCATCGAGCGAGATACTCACAACGTGGTTCAGGGCACCTTCAAGGTCCTCCTCCTCAGCCATCTTGTTATTTTTGCGCAGCAACATATCCGCGTTGTTGGCGAGCAATTCTGGTGACTTTGTTGTCGATGAACCTGTCGCAGCATTGCGGTTGACGAACTCTCTGCATGCCTTATCGAGCGACGCAACGAATCCAGCCTCTCCTCTAAAGCTCCACGTCACGGTTTCCGAGTTCTTGCGATGAACCTCAAGCAATGCGTCGACGTATGCTTTGGGATCCAATGAATCTGCACCCTCTGATCCTTCGCCCAACAGTTTTGCAACAGCAGCCAGACCGGACTTCTTCACATGTTCCTCAAATTTCTTTCTCAAAGGCTCCAGGCCTTCGGGTATGCGCGATAACAATGCGTACATCCTCTGCAGGTCTTCGTCTTTGTCAAAATCGAGCAAGCTTTGGAAGCTCTCCCAGTCAGAGTGTTGTCGGATCAGCACATGCTCACATTTGCTGACGAGCTGCTTCCGTGTATCAGCGTTTAGGTATCGGTCCACGCTGTCCTCTTCCTCCTTCAGGCGCTCTTCGGCCTTTTTCAGATTGTCAGATACACTGCTTTCTGCGAGGAATGCCTCGGACTCCTGCTCGTAGTACTTTTCCGTTGCGTCAAGGAACGGTGTCTCCAGATGCTCCCTGTAGACATCAAGGGACGCTTTGTTGATGTCCGACTCATCAAGACCCAGCGAAACGAATGAGTCGACCACTGTTTTCACAAGACCTTGATCGATCGTCTCGCCATTTCTTTGGTGCTCAATCAATCTGAGGATGGCACCAGCGAGCTTTGTGTGTTTGCTCTGGACGTGGAGGAAGAAATTCGATTTCCACTGCACGAGCGCGAGCTGTGAGAGGCGATCAGTGTATGGCGATCAGCATGACAGCGTGGAGAAAAGGGGTGACGCACCGTGTATACAGGATATACGCCTTTCCGACCTTCGTCCCGTTCTCGCTTTACCCAGTGGCGATTGAGGTAAGTGAACAATCAATTGATGTAGTTGGCACCTGTAGTGTATCTGTCCCATTCACTGGCGTTGTACCATAGGAGAGCTTCATCTTGGAGGCTATCGGATTGCTGCAGAACGGACAATAAGAATGATGTCTGATCGCTCGTGAGATCAGAAAAGGAAGTCGACGTACATCCTTGAGGAGCTTGAGATGGGCGATAAAATATCGTATGAGGTTGTTGTACAAATCCGAGCCCATTAGATTAGCCCCTGCTGCTGAGGAGTCAGACTGCGGCCAGGAATTGTCATCACTGTCAATGACACTTACCTCGGCTGCCCTGCCCAACAGAATCAGTAGTGGTACTATGCACGCGCGAGGACGTGTAGCAGTTGTATGCCGCTGTGTAGAGGCTCATGTACTTGGAGTAGGAGACGCCAGTCTGGAGCTTGGTCATGATGTGGTCTACTCCGTCCTGAGTACATGGCAATAAATCAGCCTAAGCAACGTAGACGAGAGCGAGAACAAATACCGTCAGCGGCTCATTAAGTTTCTTAGAGTTGGGCACGTTCGGGAAATGGTAGCATGTGAGGTTGTTGTGCTGCGGTTTTATTTGCGTTTCTGAATCGAAAATTGTTTTCAGAATTTCCTTTTCTGGATATGTCATAAATTCAAAATATCTCGCTCATCATCGACCGATTCTCTAGATCTTTGGAGATCTGAAATCAAGCGTGAAAATCGATTATGATAAAATTCTTCAATTCGGACCGATAAGCAAGATCGTAGCAAGCTCGTGAAATCATCAGAATGTCCTAGTGTGAGAGATCATTAAATATTATGTGGTATACTCTGCTAGTGGAGATATGATGGTGATCTACTTTTGTAATATGTGATGTAGATCAGCAATCAATCAGATGAGTTATGCATATTGCATATGGGGTAGTAGGTAGATCATAGCACTACTAGCTAGTGTTGTGGTATGCTGGTATGACTGTAGCGGCACGCTAAGCTTGAAATTTGAAGTGCGGTTCATAACGTTCATAGCTAGAGCAGTTTAGTTTTCTGATCGTCAAATAAAAATAAAAAATACGTACACTGTGCATCACTGAATTTACGCGTTGTGCCACGCGTTGCGCCACATGAACAAGGCCGTCGGCGCAGAGGCGCGCAAATTTCCTGATTCGATGTGACGTTCGGGGCCGCGGAGAAGCAGCCGCCTCGGGTACTGAAGTCAGGCTCCGTGACGGCGACGATTTACTTAAAGCATACCCTGTTTGCGATCCACAGCTCAAATTGCGTCTGGAAAAATGTGAGATTATATTTAAACTACGTACGCGACGAAACTTACACGATTATCGCTTCCGATCTGAGGGGAATGTGCGACTCGAGTCATTGTCTGACGCGTAGTGTAAGTATGAACGATCGGGAGAGTCCGATTATACTTGCCGTGAATATTCCTTATTTGGTGTTCATGAACGGTGATATAGATGACAGAAAGATTATATCATTTTGTCACATCAAATAATGACAAACAAAGTCACGTGATCTACCCCATACGTTACCTCGTACATACATGGTAAATTACCGGTTGTATATTATTTTTAATATGTCAAATCAAAGACCCCATAGTGTTATGGTATTGTCGTCATCTTTGGGCCATTGGTCCCGCAGGCCGTGAGTTCGATCCCTTACGTACACAATATTTTAAACTTTTTCGCGGCGCTGCTGGACCGTAGTTTTGCAATCTGGCCGACGCAACGGATCTACTGATACACAAAATTTAAGTCAAACATCATTTTCGTTATATAGAATGAATGGACGTGAAGATTACTCGATCCCTATGAGGCGAATCGAGAATTTGGACATCAGAATTCTAAAATCAACGTTTTGCCGTGTAGAAGAGTGATCCATTTCTGATATGGAATATACAAAAAAAATCAGTCCAGTTTTCAAGTCGCGACTACATTAAGGCTTCGTGCAGAAGTGAGAGATGTGCATCTCCACATGGTGGCTGGGAGCCGGAAATGAAAACTGCGCATAGGGAACTTGGAAATCCAGGGCGCTATTGATTTGTATGGGCGAAATATCGGTCAAGGTCTTCACCCGCCTCACTCCCTGTATTATTGTTACTTTCGGGACCCCGTTCTTGGTATCCATACCGAAGACATTTACTTCCCTGAACGCATATAAACAATGAGCAAGATCAAAATATATGCGAAGGACACTGACCGTAAGGAAGGTAGTTGTTTGATCGCTTCGGAGAAGAGAGGGAACTGCTCTGGGCACATATACATATCATTGCAAGCAGCTGTGACTCGTGGATGTAGCTGGGGCGCTTTCAGGTAACACTGCGGCTGCGCGTTTATACCATGAGTAAAGGCCTGGTACATCTGATAGAGGCGCGGCTTTCGTCATTGCTATGTGCTATGATGGAGAAAAGACTCACTAGTATGACGAGCGAGCATACAGTACTGCATCGTAGATTGCCATTCCAGTCTTGAATGTCCCCAGGAAATAAATCCGCCATCCGTCCATGGACATCAGCAAGTTCAGGGAGAGGTCGCATCAATGCGACCCATAGGACCTCCTTAAAAGCCTGAGTAGTAACAAGATCACTGATTGCTTGTTGAATCTGACGGACGAAAGTCTTCAGCATCGATTATGTAGTTTCTTGTCTCTTACCCAATGCACATTGTCCGAGTTGAGGAGAATGATCAAATCAAGAATCCTCTGGTTTCTATGCTCGTCGCTGACGACAAACCCAGTCAGTGGAGACGCACTACCTCTTGCCACCTTCCGCAGGTCGGAAGTATAATCTATGTACGAGTCCTTGAACTGTCCCTAATGTTTCAGAGCGAGCGAGGGCAACACATCAGAACGAACGTACTTTGTTCCTTAGATATGACCAACCCACTTCACTTTCGATCTCAGCAGCGTTCTTGATCTTTACTGACCATTCCGTTAGCTATTGGCATGCAGAACTAGAACCAGACACTTACACCGTTCTCCAAGTAGCGCTTCAAACGTTGTATTGTAATAAAGGACTGCTCTGATGAAACACGTGGTTATCAATTGCCTTGAGAATGCGGGGTGCATATCAAACGGGTTTTCTGGAATCCCGACCAACAAGTGTCCTGAATAAAGACATTTCCCCAGCTGAAACGGCTTTCCCCAATATGAATTTGCCAACGAAACTCGGAGCGACTGTTTCTGATAACTGTCAAGGATATCCAGCCTAGATTCCACTATCCAGGAGAGCTCTGGGTGAAAGGATGGCGCCTGAACGGCGAAGTCATCATCCTCAAGGGCACTCGGGATAACGATGTCCCCTTCCTCGACAGTGGTAGCGCCATATATAGATGCTGTGACGCCTCGTCCTGTAGATTCGTAATCGTCATCCAGAGACGGGTATGGCGACGTCGGTGCTACCAGACAGAAAGGCTGCGGAGGGTGCTCAACCGTGATAACGAGGGGTGGTGCAGGAGGCGGAAACCCTAATGGAAAAGTGGCTTCATGAAACGGGATGTTATGGATTTTCTGGAGCATATCGAGCTATGTATTCGGCGTGATGAGCCTAGCAACGTGCTAGCAATGGAAGAACTCACTGTCCAGATGGGAGAAGCCTCCCTTTTGATTGCATTGCCCTTACAAAACAAGCTACTGATATTCCTGAGAAAGGTCGAACCGCTCTCCTAATATGTCCATCGCATCAAAATTTAACACAGTATGATAGAGCTCTCACCCGTATCTCGTAGATGTCATATATTTTATCGCCGCCAGTAGCCAGGTAGCCTATATGATTCATGACAGCATGGGATGCGTCCGCGAGATGGATGTGCTCTCGAGGCCACTGTAAACGAGCACAATGAGATGAAATAATTAGATTTGAGAATTATAGCCTCACATAGATTGGCGATAGTTGCCCTTCATGCGCGGCATACCCCAGAAAGAGAAGATCGGAGAAGCCATGGAAGGGCTAGAAACAAGTCAATCAGAAAGTCACACTTATCGGTGATAGCGAACCTCGTCGATCTGCAGGGTCGTCAGTGATGATGCGGATGATTCAGTGAAAACTGTACTTACACTATTGAACGATAATTGCGCAACTTCGCCTGCAGCTGGTACGAAGACGAAGATTGGAGGATAAAGAAATCCTGGCAGTACCATTTGTTGCATCTTGCGAGTGGGAGAGTGGAAAGGTGAAGGAAACAACACCAAATGAGACTCTAATAAATATTTGGGCGTGCCCGTTTGCCGCCTTCAACCGCTAGGCAATGAATTACAAGCGAGCACCCCCAGGGATCAGCGCCAATCAAGTTACATGCGTCCGAAACTAGAAGTGAAGGTGAGTCAGTACACGCCAAATATTCTCAATTCAGTGAAGAACGGCCAGCAAGAGGGCGTCAGGCCATACCAGATGTTAGCATCGCGAAAATCACCGCCATACCAGGGATTGGGAATGGGGTAAGGCACCGCCAGTGAAACCCGGAAGTGTTAGGCTATACCAGATATTGGGTTAGTGAAAAGTACGTTTGATGGCGAATCAGGGCACGCCAGTGATCACAATACCAGAGATTAGGTTAGCGAAACGTATGTTTGATGGCCAGGGATCACAATGCAGCCAAGAGCCCGTCGGCCAGATGCGTCAGACTACGCCAGGGATTGCAATGCCGGCAAAGAGCCCGTCACCAGATGCGTCAGGCTGCGCCAGAGATTACCGAGGCGAGTAGTGAAAAAAGTAGCAGTAACCAGCTAATGATTGGCAATGCGGAAAAGAGCCGCCAGGAAGAAGCGTCAGGCTACCGATTAACATGGCGATATTATCAATCCTCGTAATCAAAAGTATGGCATGTCGTAAACATGTCGTCCAGAGCCTGGACAATCGAGTCTGTGCTAGCATTAAGCCCCTGATCGAAGAAATCATGATCCTCCACACCAACGTGATCCTCATCTTCGTCCTGTTCATCGCCGTCGTCGTCATCATCAATAGGAGGTTGTTGGAGCGTGGTTTTCCCAAGGTTTCCCCGGCTTTCCGCACGTTCATCCGTCCGCATTGTGGTCTGTGTATTAGAGCGGGGTGCCAAGCAGGGATCTTCTAGAATATTTGCTTGATGAGAGTAAACGTGACCCACCCCAAGGCCGTAGTGATAGCGCATGATAGTGTCACGATCAACAAAGCTAAAGTCCCAGTATTAGTCGTCATCATCATGGGGTGCAGGTCCACTTACCTATTGACATAGTACTCATGCCAGTCGTGTTTGTCTCCCGCGAGAGTGGAAATCCCACGTTCACCTGGATTACGCTGGAGTCGAGAAAAGGCAGGGATGATATGACATGCCCTGAGTACGTCTTTTGGGTCCACAAAGCCGAAAGCATTCTCATTTTCCAGAGGCTGGAAATGAACGCGCTCCAAAGTGCGTGTGCTCCATGCGTGAGTCTGCGCGGATTCGTACCAGCGAACGAAGAGAAATTCTATTCGGTGAGACTCGTATACGTTTGCGGCGCGCACGACGTTAACATGATGTATACCAACGACTTTGGCATAACGATAGTGGCCATCGTGACTGTCATCATCTTGAAGTAACATAATGTTACAATGCGGTGTCCTCGGGTTGACAACATCTTGAGCCCTTCTAACGTCGTAGGTAGTGTAGTTAAATCTGGCCAGGTTGTGGTGATAAATTCGATTACGCTTGATGAAAATCGAATTGTGCTGGTCGGAACAAGCTGATCCCCCCCCAAGCGATTCGGCGGTTTTCGGCTCGAGGCGATAGTGAATGTGTTCCTTCAATCGAGGTAGGAAATCCTGCGTAACAGCTCAGGATAATGACCATCGAGGAGTCACATAAGTTGCTCACCTTCATAGCAGGATCTCCTGCGTGGTTTCGGAGGTACCGACCAAACTCGTCGAATATCTTCTCACTCTGACCGATGTGGTGGTGTAGTTTGGGATCGTTCGCTATTTCGTGTAGATCTGTACGAGAGACTCCGTTTTGTTGGCGTTGCTTGATGCGGCGCAGGCGCGCCTCACGGCGTTCGATCTGAGTCAGTTGGCGAATAAATGTATTTCGGTCGGTGCGACGGTATCTGCCTTTTGGCGTACGATGCTCCAACTCTCCCTGATAAAATTTGAGTTGATAATTGGACGGATCGTGGACTGCGACTTACTGGTTCAGTACTATACGAATCCGTTGTACCAAACTGACGAATGGAGGCAACATAGTCTCCCAGGACGTGGAACTTGTAAGTTTGAATGTTGAATGATTTTTTCCTCCGCAGTTGCTTTGGTCCAGGTGGGTTCTGCGACTGCTCCGGTCTCGCTTTCTCTTTACCTTTAGCGTTGGAACCTTGGGAAGCTTGCTCGGGGTCGTGTCCATTGCTAGTCCCTGTCCGTTTGGCTGTTCCTTTTGCCTGCCGGCGAGATCGTGCGCCGACCTCACGATCGAGCTCCTGAGTTTGATATGAGGGGCATACTTTGTCCTTGAATTGACGAAACCGTTCGCCGAGTTCGGTTGTTTGTTGGTCAAGAATATCTAAAGTTAGGTCAGAATGTATGCGGAGCTTGGCAAGTCCGTGCCAGTGTGACATGGTGAAAAGGAGATCAATAATGATAGTATTGTGAGTGCCGGGGAAAAGGCCGTCAAAGACCGGGATAGAACACTTAGACAGAATTAGCACATGAAGACGTATGAGAATCGTTTAGTGTACGTACTTGTAGAAGATCCTCGAAATTCCGTGCAGCCATGTTTGACATCTCGGAGACGTTTGAACAGAACCGCCTGATTGTCGCCGGTCCAAACGGAGGGACCTGCCTATACCTGTAGAAGAGCGTTAGTCCACCAAGTCATTACTGGGATATTTGGCTGACCTCCTGTCAAGCTCATTGATTAGGTCCTTGTCCAAGGAGGTAAGAATCCTGAGTAAATGAATTAAGAGCATGCGCCACACTCCAAGCTCGACCTCGTGTAAGAGATCGACGACAAGCGCAATAAAGATATTCAGTCCAAATGGACCAAGAGAGTCCGAAAACGCGTTCTATTGATACATTAGTAAAGGCGAGACGACGAATTGATGGTCGTTCTTACGGAGGTCGGTACCCACGATTCATGCTTCAGAATCGACTCAACTGCTGTGCTGCCTACACCAAAGTTCTTCTCGTATATGAGGTTCCGTGCGGTGGCAACCAGCTGACTCCTCGACGTATCAGCACGCGCAAGTGTCTTACGCTGTTGCCTATCACGATTCATACCCAGGTTATGAAGCCTGTTTGTGGGTATGAGGCATCGCGAGCAGGGACAACCTCCTAGCTGCCGGATAGTAGCGACGAGGACCCTGGCCAAGGTGAGTTTATGTATCTCACAGACAAGTATTTATGACTCACTTTTCGGGATAGTCTGCGGAGTAGGTAAATACCCGCGGATAAAATCTGCGTTCCATGCCATCACAACAGAGTATTACAATGCCATGTTTGTAGGCTTCTAAAAACTCGTCGTCGAGCAACACTTTCCACTGAGCTTGGAACAAATCACGATGGCAATGTGTGGTGCATTCACGGCCAACGCCCTTGCCTTCGGTGTAAGACCCCGTGAAATCCTTAAATGAATCCGGAAGCTGTCAAAGTCGTGAGTTTAAACATAGAGGAGAAATGACCGACATACCTTTTGAAAGTAGGCAACATGATTAGCCAGGTGACAGGATGGCTTACAACGGCGATACTTCGACTCGTTTCCAAAATACATGTATACCGGCCATAGTCTCGCGTTACCGAACGTCGTCAGCTGTGTGGCATCCGACCAGAACATGAGTGCTGTAACCACACGAGGTAAGTCACATCCTGCTTCTCCAGGAGACGCCTGAAGCTCGCGATGTGCATCCATGAACGCTGGCGAGGTATACAATTCGCCCTGTATGTTTACCTCATGGGGTAAATGGGGGGGGCTCCATCGCAGTTGATAGGGTTCGTAGTGAAAATGTTCATCGTCGTGAACATTGGCGAGTTTCTCCCGAATAATCGATACCAGAGGTCGATGGTAGAGTTGAGCTCCGACGTAAGGTCGAGTATCCGGCTGAGCTGTGGTGCGAGAGAAAGGTACTTGGATGTTTACTTCCGTCTTACGCCAACCTGCATCATAATCCTCCCATTCATATCCCTCCTCATCGTTAACGCTCGCGCCTAATTGTGAATTAATCTTGTCCCAGTGTGTATGTCGCACATCTTCAGGATCGAAATCTGGGCGTCCGACGATATTGAGTAGTTCTTTGAAGCTCTCTTGTGACTTCTGTACACCACCGTTCCAGTACCAATGGCCAAGATTGAAAGACGTTTGATTGGGGTATGGGTGAAATGAGTCGCGAGGCTCGGTATGGCTATCCAATTCCGCTGGAGCCACATAGGGGATAGAGCTGATATCTTGGAACGTTACAGCCTCTTCCGGGTCATGGGACGGGGGGGTTGAAGAAAAAAACTGGCGCACGAGTCCGAAAACATTCCTTGGCGTGCGGAAAGGAACGGATTGCGATGGTGTACAAGCTGTGGTAGGTACCTCAATGGATTTTGCGGGCGGAACAGACTTCAGTTGTTGAGCAGCATGGCTTGGAGCGCTTGGAGGAGGCTGCGGAAGTATATCTTCATACTGTCTAAAGCGCTGCGGCATGCGAACACCAACACGTTTGGTTCTGCGCTGGGCCAGGGATGAGCCTTCATCTATCTCCATAGACGCTGTGCCAAGATTGGCATTGGGTACTGGGACGGGCAGATCGTCATGTAAAGAAGAACCTCCATATGACACATCCTGGGGGGGGTGCGCTACCGACGGAGCTGGATAAGTGCTGGGAGACTCCTCGCTGAACGACTTGTGAACCTGATCGGAAGACACGGACGAGGATTGCGGGCAGCGGAGCTCCGTACTCGAAAGCGCCATGCTAATGGGAGCATTCTTGACCTCCAGCCGGGACCGTTTTGCAGCTCCTAGGAAGTCTTTTGCTTTTGATAAAGCAGAGAATAAACGTTTTTTGCCTTTCGCACACGATCGTTGATGCCTAGTGTAGGCACTTTCCTGAGTAAACTCACGTGTGCAAGTGCATTTGAAACGTCTCCCAGATGAATCGGTCTGATCCATGGGAAGCTATAGAGACAAGAGACACATGAACCCCGCAGTGAAAAATCGGATCGAATGGCTCACCAATTTCATCCAACAACTTGGTATTTCATAATAGACCTAGGCACTAGATGGCCAGCGCGACTAACCGAACATGGCTATATTCCCACAGGGCAGAATCCTGGCAGCATAGACCAGGGCTGGCGCACTTGACGGCGGCAGAAAAAGCTGAACCAGCTATGGCATTCAATAAAGAGGCGAGTCTTTGCTAAACAGACCAACCAATGGAGGTCCCATCTTCACCTTCTTCTATCATCACTGCCCCACCAGACTATCGTGAAAGTGCTCGAAGGCTCGCCAAACTCGTTACAGAGGCCATGACTTGCGACTTCGCCCTCCTACATTATGACAAAATATCAAGATCAATGATCGAATGGTGCTGGTGAGACGCTGTTTGAATCACGTACCACATTTAAGCGTTGACATGGCCCACAAATGCAGGCCCAACGATGACGAGGGAAAGAAGGTGCTACCGTCGAACTTCAAGAAGTACCGTGAAGAACATGACTTTCTATATCCGTGCTGCCTGTGTGCCGAGGAGGGTGGAAGAGGGGCATACACGGAGGCGGCGGTGTACTCATGGAGGGATAAGACCACCGATAACACTTGTTGGAAAGCAAGATGCGCATCTGATCGATGTGGATATCGAGGTCAGTGTTCTTCATATTTGAAAGATAAAAAACTAACTATCACCTAGTTAAAATCGATGCATACTATCACCGATCGTCTGTAGGAACCTGCCAGTACCCTCGTCGAGGTATGAACTTGCTGCGCTGCAGAGTCATAATTTTATTGAGATACTGCAGAACAGCACAAAGAACCGCGCCCGATTCATCTCGAATGGACTTACCAGGAACAAAAAGAATTGATGAAGAACCTTGAGTCTGCTGGCGATGGAATTACAGCAAATGAGTTCCACACTCTTTTTAGACGCTGCAAGCAATGTATGCGGGTGGGAACAAGGCCGATCATGAAGCGTCATATTCAAGTCTGTTCAAGAGGAGTGCAAAAGCGAAAACCTCGGTAGGTGTCGGGATAAGGCTTCGTTATCGCTTATACTGATGACACTAGGTCTGGGGTAGGAATCACTGGCACGACGTAAGGTTTTGGGCTGGTCCGAGCGCTAACTAGGGATGGGATCACTTGCAGGTGGAGCTGCACAAGAGGGCGAGGTCTGATCATGTTAGATGAAGACCTGTACTTAGCCCAATCGCACTAATATCATTTACGCTGGAAAATTCACCTGTGAATTGATGCTCAATCCTCCTCGTTTGCGAATCGCCGACTGACTTGAATACTGTATTTTGATAAACCATCCATACCAACTTGAGTCAAAGTTGACACGAGCGATAATCGACAAGTCTTGAGCTTGAACATGATACGACAGTACTTGCTGACCAACAGTGCTGACCAATCAACTACGGCCATGGCAATGGACCCGCATCAGCGTCGGAAAATAGCGGAGCTTATGATACCAATCCTTGATTTCTGCATCCATGCACTTTCAAAGTGGATTATTTGAAGGATCGTCGGCCTGTGAGTTATCATGATCAGGCTCGTGCTTCAAACGCCTTAATCATGCCAGGGTAATTTAAAATTAACTTTTATGGGATACACTACGGACTAGCACTACGGACGAATACTCCAATGTGATATCGTTCAGCGTTTGTAGCAGCCACCGTACCATCACGCTAAGTCCCTACCTCATCTCACACTTGGCCGTCTGTTGTCACCTATTACCAGTAGGGGCTTTCCCCGAAGCCTGTCGCCCAGCAGCGACGTCTTTTGCTGTCACCTGTCGAGTCCTGACCAGGCCCCCACGCCACCTTGGACGCGAGAGAAAGACAGCTCTCCTCGTCCTCGCAACCCTCGTAAGAATGAAGGCAGAGTCAAATCGTGTACCCACATCGTTTGAAATTTTGTTATCAGATTTTCAAGACAGACGTTCGTGGGCGCAATTAAGCTGTATCCTGTTATATCATTGATTTATTTTTCTGCTAGGCAATGGAGTTGAAATACTTTAAACCGTGACGATACTACCTATATCTTTAGCTACCTCTGAAAAGTTTGAGTGCGTTTCAGGCCATTGATGATACTTCATCGGACTCCAAGTCCTTACGTCATTTTGATGGCCAGGGAAGGGTTGATGGCCAGGGGATATTCAATCACCGCAGCGCTAGCAGTTCAATACAAATATATTCTCGGACGAGAATATCAGAAACCACACGCTGTACATACTTCCTGCAATTCACCATGTCGACCCCATCCTGCCTTCCCCCTTTCAGCCCCCGTGGCTATTCGTCTCGGAATGTTTGAACTCTCGAATATATTAACTGCTCCTAAATGGCTGGAATTCTATATACGACTTATACCATCGGAGATGGTCAGTTCATAATTTCTAAAACTTTGCACATCCTGGGCCTGAAAGTTCTTCATACAGATTCGAACTGAATTGTACTTGCTTTACGTTTTGCTTAAAGGTCGGGTCGATCTCAGCGATATATGGCAAATAGTTGGGGGGCGTTTGTCGGAAGCGCAAAGGGAGGAATCAGTTGAAAAATATTTCTGGCGACAACACAAGGCGTAGGACCGCCGAACGAATTTTCATGGAAGATAGGAGGGATCGGTGTCAGTTGGAAGTATCCCTATGCAGTCAGGCCATCGATTACGTCCAGCAGAGATGGATAATTCGTGAGATTTTTTTGATTCAGTATTCGAATGAGTGCTTGAGCGATCTGACACCATCTTTTTTAGCATTGCGTCCTATCGAGGTCCCAACCGCGGATTATGTCTCTATCTCAGCAACTCCGAGATGCGCTGTTACACCTCCCATAGTGGTCCATTCGGCAGCTGCAGCTGCTTATTCGGCAGCTGCGCAACAGAAATGTGAAAGTTGGTTAAGGAGACAACACACCGACCTCACACCATCTAACGAATTTTTCTCGATCGAAAGTGACCTGCCTCCGAACGCTCTGGCTGCCGGTCAGCTTGCTCATGCCCCTGAACAACGAACATCAGTCTTCGTAAACGTCAGTATCGTCATTAATTCCCTTGGCTGCTCTTACCTTATCTTTAAAGTGCAACCCGTCGTTCCGCCTGTGCAGCACATGGGTTACCCTTTGCGTCCACGAGGCCTTTGATGAGGCACGCAAAGTGGAACTAAGCACTGAGGCTGGATTGATGGCAACATATCTCGACATTGAACGTTACTATTCTCACCACCGCAATGCCAAGTCGGAGCTGCTTTACTTACGGGCAAAGATGCTTCGCGCCAAAGCTGAGGTAGAAGTTTTTGCGCTGGCCATCGAAAATGCGTGTGCGTCCAACTACTCTGAGAGCGCTTTCTCTTCAAATGCTCATGTCATTACAGCTTCACCACATTCAACTTATTTCCAGTCGGTCCTACCAGAGCAGGTGCATATCTGCAAGGAACGGACTTTTGCCGGATCAATCAACGATCGTACTGACTCGACTTATGGTAATAGCCTTGCGTTTGTCTCAGCCTCGATGTAGGTTGCCATGCTGCTGCGTACGGTCGAGTGTAATATAATCTGTTTCACTTACATCTGCCGCCGTTCGAATTGTACTGGTAATCAGGTGCATATATTATCTATATATGCTTGTATGTACTGCCGACCTTGTATACGTATACCATTGAGTAGCTTCTTTAATTTTTATTGATCAGACTCGAATTCAATGATTACGGTCTGAGATCTGAACTTCCGACGCTCGAATATGCCCATCAGAATATTTGATCTGCAATGGGTTCCTGGAACTCCATTAAAAGGTGTAACCGTTGTTGGTGTTAGTAATTGCTGACAAAGTGGCTTACAAAGTACTAGTCTTGACTCTTGCCATCATCAAAATTTTGAACCTTTGCTCGAGACCAATATGCAGAGCTTGCGTGCGCTCATTCATATCAACTTGGTTGATCGCAAGGATTTTGTTCGTGACTTGTTGCATGTACGTGTCTGCGACAATGATTGTGCACTTGTTGTGCACCTAATCTTATTGCTTTTTAGGCATTTCAGGGTAGCTAGGTGTAATTTTTCTCATCTCCTGTTGCTCGTTCCTTTTGAAATTGATCATCGTGCCCAGCGCACCGCTGCTCGACGCGTCTCGAACAGAATCAAGATGTGCAACGACCGCGTGCCTATGATGACACTGATCTATATGATCTGATGCTTATTGCCCGCGCTTCACAGATCACTCATTTTTTATTCACACAGGATTAGAGTTGCTACGGAATCGACTCCCGGTCATTTTCGGTCCGTTGAACTACACGTAGACGCGGGATCCAGGTATGAAGCCCGATCCACTCGAGTGTTAGCCATTTTCCGGACAGGATGGCCTTTAAGGTGCGTAGCTTCAGGCACTATTCATGCCAGTGTTCACAGCTCTCTATTGCTCAGACCACCAGCTTTTGCTCCACGGAAGATATGGATAAGGCGACCACAATGGACAAGCTAGGTGACCAAATCATGTGCTCTTCGTCACGCGAATCCATCGTGTATCAATCGTCCAACTTCGACCAAGCTATCCACTCTCCCACTTTCGCTCGTATCAGACATCATCTTGAATTCCGCATTTCTACCTGATGGACTTGATGCCCGGAGAGATACCGCTCGTTATGAGATCCGAGAAATTAGTCAGAAACCCGAGATGATTCTGCCAGAGGTCTTGCATGAGGTTGCATACGGTAGGAAAATACTTCGGAATTCTGGGATGCTGGTGCTGGGATGCATTGCGAACGACCAGTGGAGTTGGCTGATAAATATTTCTAATCCCTCAAATCTGCGCTAACACCATCAGTTTCATCACTTCAGCCGTCAGCCACTCAAAATCTAACCACCTCGCTTGCTTCCCTCGTCGTCCTCATCATCACCCTCGCTCTACAAGTCATTAACTTGTGCTGCATCAACATATCTGTACCGTACGTCCCTTTCTACCGAGCCACCGCTTCCTCCACTGAACCCTCAGTCCAACTACGTTGGTGGCATCGACAGAGTTCGCTCAGCTCTACCTAGCTTTTGAGGGTGTAGGTGTTGATGACGAGGATGTATTTACCCTCGCCACTATGTAAGTCCTCCTTGGAGGAGGTAGAAGTTTCTCAGCTGGTGAGTAATCATTTCCTTCGCCACACGTTTTATTCAACTTCTTGCATGTGGTCCTAGTAAGGGAATGTACTCCCGACTTTACACACATCCTGAGTCAGTATCGGCCCTGAGGACTATGGAGAATGGGATCGACCGAGGTGAGTTTATCTGATCTGTATGACGGTTGCGTGTGAGCTGATGATGGATGATGCCACTAGACCACCTCAGGACGCTGGTTACCAGCCATCATACCTGCAACAGTCCGAGCCATCTGGACTGTGATTCCCTGAACCACCCCCACCACCCATCCCCCACGAACAACGCACATCTGGCTATGAAAGCGGCTGCGTATTCTCAGCCTTCTCGCGACTACTTTTCTGTCCCGGAATCGCTGGAGCCACGTCATGGAGGCAACGTGTACGCATCCCCTGCTGGTCGCCCTCCTGGGGCATCATCCAGTTATGCGCCAGCGGGAGGTTACACCACCTCCTGGGGCTCCCCCTCAAGCTAGACCTTCATATGGACACGACCCTTCTCCTCAAGGAGGGTCGGGTCACGGCGCTGCAAGTGATTATTACAATCGGCCTCCGCCAGGTATGCATAGACTGCCAAGTATCGCTTCTTCCTGATTAATGGCGAAGAAGGTCAATCAGCAGTCACATTCGTACACTCCCGATCACGCAGCTGCTCATGGTGAATCCTTTAACCTACCACGCTACCAGCCTCAGCCACCGAGCGAGTTCGACGAAGAGGTTGTACAAGTCTCATTTCTCTGCTCATGCTCAGGCTTATGGGTAAGTTCTTTCTAATGAAGGCGGCTGGGCTGAATCAAATGGCGCTTCTTATAGTTCTGGTCATGACGATAAACCGATGGCGAATGATGATATAGGCACAGCTGCCGCTATCGAGGCGCTGAAGATCACAGCTGCAAATAACCAGGAAGACCACAGGATGGATTCCAAACTAACACGGACGCTCCGCATGCAAGGCCATCTGCCGGACCACAAGGTGGATTCCAGACTGACACGGACACTCAGCATACGAGACCGTCTGCTAATATTTCTTCTGGTGCGCAATATTCATCAGACATAGGCGGGCCACTGCTTCCTTCCATCTCATTTACACGGATTCCTCGCTCTTAGGCGTTTCGTCCCCAATGCTCCCGGCCAAAGAGGCAACACCTCCTGCACAAATGCTACCCCCACCTAACCAATCAGTTTAGCCTGCTTATGTACTAATCTATCTCCAAAGTTGAACTTGAGCGTGTCAAGAATCAGCTCAAATCGAGCCTGGTGATGGCTCTCGAGAGTCGGGCGGTGGAGGTGAAGGTGAAGGATCTTTGCCGGAAGGTACGACAACTTTTATCATAAACATGCCCGCATACTCACGTGATAATTTAGTTGCCTGTCCACAGTCGAAAGACTCCTGTGACCGAAATGACTACGACCTATGATAAATAAGGTGACTCCTGACTGCGTGTGCCGCGTCGCTACTAGACTATTCGCACCTTCGTCTGGACACAGGGCCACAATTTTGACGATAGGGCGCGGGGATATTATGAGATTGGAAGGCGACATTTCAAATATGGTGTTTCCAGGAGCATGAAAGTTTGAGCGCTTTATAGATCACTGCATATTTTCGGTATTTAATTTAGGCTGCCAACAACTTGTTTTTCATCATACGAGGTGTGCTTGACGAACAATATAAATAAAAGAAACAAACGCGACAAGGAAAACTTAACCAACCCACAAATGACTTGGAGGGACGTTGCTTTCAGATGCATCAGATGATCAGATAATCGATAATCAAGGATGCGGCTCCAAAAAGGAAATAACAACAACAGGTTACCATATATGCGTTGTGGTTCTCACGTACTAGTAGTACTTCAACAAGCGATTATTATTGTTTGCAAGTGGAAGCCATGGTACGTTCCCGAATCGCACCTTATGACACTGTACAGTCCTCCAAGTCTCAGGATGTGTCTTGTTCTAGGAACTCAAGGCTATCAACAGCGCGTAGCGGAGCATGCTGGACCGTAGTTTTGGAAATCTGGCCGACCGCCACTGCCTCGGTACGCTGAACCGGTAATGTTGTGAGTACGGATCTAGTACTGATACATAAAATTTGAGTCAAACGTCATTTTCGTTATATAGAACGAATGGACGTGAAGATTACTCGATCCCTATGAGGCGAATCGATGACCCTCCGTAAGTGACATTCGCTCCCATTAATGATATCATTGACCGTTTTTAACAGGCCCGGATTGTATGGGAGTGTTTGGGAGGAGTTGGTACACCCCTTGGGGGGGACTTATTACTATCACAATAAAAAGGTGAGCACTGGCCGTTTGTATAAGCGATGTATTTACTTACCTGAAATTTAGAACACATATACGTCACTAAATATACGCCACATGGATCGACAAAGGCTCGAAGAATTTATCGATGTATCAAGAGCCGCGGCGAAAGAAGACGATTGGGTATTGGTTGTTCACCAAATGAGCTACAGAGGAGAAGACGTATACCAATACTACTATGTGGTCCACAACCTGCGCATCATCACCTGGCTCGATGATCTGGACGGCTACCTTCTTCTCCGAGAATGTATCAAGGCAAGCGAGTGGAGGCATAAGAGTGCGTTGCCATGCAATTACTTGATCTTTTTCTCGATCGTGTTATACAGGGCTCGAACTAGAAGCTCAGTATTGGTGAGTTTGGTCGACGAATATCGTTTCACTTATTTTTATGTTTCACTGCTTCACAGGAGACACGTTGAATTTTTTCCGCACACGTTCCGCATGACGAGCTCCCAAGTTAGACGCACACGCAGAGAAATTCTTTGTTACCTTGGAGGTAAGCCCTATATTACTGCAACGACAATCAGAATCACATGAACGTACAATAGAAGCTACAACTTTGGCCCAATCTACTGCAGCTACGATTTTCTGGACTCTAGACCAAATGAGACAGGTTGACGCGCAACTTGCTAGTGTCGGTATGTGCCCAAGTCTTGTCCGCCATAACATCGTGATGACCGAGGAACAGAAGCCCTTGCAGAAAACGAAATCATTGAGGATACTGGTGTCGTGCTTTGTTGTATGTGAGCCCAGCAAAA